ATTCCTTAAAGGGAAGCTATAGTCACCAAAACACCTTTAACTTATTGAAGCAGTTTCTTTGTATAGCTTGTGCCTCTGAAGTTTCACTGCTCAATTCTCTGCCATTTAGAAGTTATATCACTTTTGTTTCTGTTTATGCAGCTCCCCTGGCTGTGACTGACACCGCCTGCATGACACAAAAATGTTTTTTATTTTCAGTCAGATGTACTTTTTTTTTTTTTTTGAATTTTTTATTTTTGTTGTGCATGGTTTGACAGTAGGATATACGTTGCCACAACAGCAAACATAATCACATCAATAACATAGATGTACACATATGTGGCATAGAAATGAAAGCACATTTTTAAAGCATTTTTTAAACGTAGTAAGGCAATCTAGTGGTATATGTTATGCACGTATCAACAATAGTTAATTCGTCTTTTAAGCAGTGTCGTCAATTAAGCTTAGCTAGAAACAGGCTTGAACAGTGATAACCATGAATTTACACTACTATGCGTGGACACTTTATGCTGTAAGTGGTTTGGTTAGCAGGCATAGAAAACATAGGCTTGCAACATATTATAGGTACAGAAAGATTCTGGGCGCTAGCCGGCAATGACCATTTGCAGATTTGGGTTGCGGTAGGGTCACCCTGCTTCGGAAATATATGCAAACTTAAAAGTAAAAAACGAAACAGCACAGGGTAACATTAGTTCAGGTATTTCAAATATATCTGAGGGGTGCTCGCTAGGTAAGACCTGGTCGACGGTGTCTGCAGGAGAAAGTCCCAGCGTGTAGGAATGTATAGCTCGCGTGTCGGTCTTCCGGCCTGCCCGCGCCCGGCGCTGAAGGGCTGGTGCATCCCCAGTGAGGCCTGTTCAGCCAATACCCCGCTTGTGCATGGGTGTTGCAGTGGATGAAGGTGTCCGGCTGGGAGCCGCTGTGAACGGCTTCGTGCAGGGTGTTACAGTCCCTTGAGTGAGTGATCTCTGGAGTGCTGTGGGTATAATGTGGGTGCTCCTTGGTCGATCCCGTCCCGACCGGCTGGTATAGTGGGGTTGGACATGCTCGGATCCCCCAGCCCGGGATGTAGCAGAGAGCACTTCCCTGTGTCCTCGGGTCCCTCTCCTACACGTGGGGGGACCGTGGGCCCTCCGGAGCCTCAGTCTCCTGATGCCCCTTTGGGTGTGTGGACGGTGGGTCGGATTTTGGTCCGGTGTGCTCCCCTGCCCAGAAGGGGATTTGTGGCTCCGAGCCGTAAAGTGTGATCGCTGTCGGGCTTGTTGGGGCGGACGGGAGTGCTTGCCTTGCTGTGTCCGCTGTTCGTCTGCCATTTTGTGCCCTCCTCGTGGTCGCAGTGAGGGGTGAGTTACCCGATTACTCTCGGCTTGAGTGCATAGGCGCCGTGCCAGCCTGCGCCAGAATGCTGCGAAAATTTTGTTTATCCTTGCTGTGTAGTCAGCTGGGTTAGTGAGGCTAGTTTTTGGCTCCTTTGTGCTCCCTCTGTGTTGCTTGGGCGCCATCTTCGCCTCAGTCTCAGGGGCATTCCGGAGCCGTTGCGTGTCCGGCTGTGGTGTGGGGTTAGTCGCCCCCAGCGAGGACCGGGATAACCCCCACCGGTCCAGAGGGGGGGGTTGCAGGGCCCTGTCGATTGTTCGCTTGCCCTGTGTCGGGGGATCGGCCGCCTCCCCCTACCTGCAGGTCCCGCTCCGGAGTAGGCCTCATGGCCGGTCCATGTATGTTTATGTGGTTCCGATATGGGTCGGGTATCATTGTGTGCCCCGTGTGGTCCTGGTTTGTTCTCTGGACTCCGTTTGCTGCCAGCACCGGTAGTTCCTGCAGAATTTGCGTTTTTGTGCCCTGTATTGCAAGAGCTCTCAGAAAGCACGACCGGCCATCTTGGCTGTCAGGCCCCGCCCCCCAGTCAGATGTACTTTAATGTAAAAGTTTGCATTTTCTGCTCTGTAAATTGAACTTTAAATACATGCAGAGGACTCCTGCAGAATCTAGCAAGCTATTAACAGAGCAGGAGACAAGACATTCTAAATTAAACTAATTGTACAATAAAGAAAGTTTAAACATTAGAGGACTCTTTACAGGAAGTGTTTAGGATGACTGTGTGAATCACATGCTGGAAAGTGTGACTAGGGCTGTATAAACAACGTGACTTAACTCCTAAATGGCAGAGAATTGAGCAGTGAAACTGCAGGGGCATGAAATGTACATCAAAATCACCTTAGTAAGCTAAAAAATGTTTGGTGACTACAGGGCTCATTTAACCAGGAATTGCCAGAAATGGATCAAGAAGTTTTAGGCCAAAATGAAATGAAAAAGATCCAAGCTATTTTTCCAGGTCAGTTAATTTGACCTAAATTTTGCCATTGGGTTTTTAGTTAATTGTTTAGTGAATCAAGCTTTAAACGTTTCTAACCAGCTGGTGGAAGTAATGGTCTGGGAGGAGATCAAGCGTTATCAAATGTGTTCTGGAAAAGGTTAGCACTTTAAATGGGGTTATTCACTAAAACCTGAATGACTCGATTAACAAAAATTATCCGGTCCAGACTGCAGATTTCAGACATTATTCTCAAGTTTTACCAATGTCCAGATTTTGCAATACAGTCTCCTAATTAGACAAACAGGATTATTTACTAAAGTGAGAATTAAAAGTGAATTTTAAATTTAAGTCCAAAGTAGCCAAACTGGAAGCATGAATGATTTAGAGAATTTATTCAGCTCAGCTATTTTCACCTTTAACGTGAAACTCATTTTGTATTCAGCACACATGATTATTTTAGTGACTAACTGCCAATTTTAACTAGATTTCAGATTGATCTAACCGTACCTAAACACTTGAAATTTGGGACCAAAGGATGGAAAAAAGCAACTGAGCAGTGATTATTAGTCAGACCGAATAAGACACTGTCATTAACATCACTTTGATAGATATTGCTGTAGGATTCACCTTCAAAAAGTAGTGGACATCAATTGGACTTTCGTGAATAAACCCAAAGTCTTTTCATGTAAGAATATATTCTTTTAAATATATTTTTGTAGGAATTGGGGTGAAGGTGTTGGCCAGTTTTAGAAACGGATTCCTTTTCACTTGGACAAATCCGCTACAGCCATCCTCATGTTAGGGGGGACATTTGAGGTCTTTACCACTTGGACCTAAGTTATAAAAAAAAAAAAAAAATCCTTTAACGAGTCTTAGTTCACTCATGTTATTAAAGTGACACTATAGGCACCCTAGACCACTTCAGTTTAATGAAGTGGCCTGGGTGCCCTGTCTCTGTCTCCCTAACCCTGCAATGTTAATTATTGCAGTTTCTGAGAAACTGTAATTATTACATTGCATAACTTATATCAATCAGACAGCCACTAGAGGCACTTCCTGCTTGCTAAGTGACTTTTGGTCGATTGACGCTGGATGTCCTCAGGCACTGCATGAGGACATCCAGCATCAGAGAAAACCCCATTGGAAAGCACTACAGCAAAGCTTTCCTATGGGAAGGACCTAATGCGCACGCGACAGCTCCGTCAGAGCACCGACCCAGCGCCGAGGGAGAATGGCGCTGCAATCGAGTAAGTGCAGTAAGGGTTTTACAGTACATGGGGTGCAAGGGAGGGGCCAAAAGCGTCAGGGCAGAGGGAAGTATGGTGCTAGAAATACAGATTTGTACTCCTAGCACTGTAGTATCCCTTTAAACTAGTTAAAATGCTGTAGCAGTTTCTATAGGCATGCATCAGATCCCAATCAGTATAAACATGGCACATGCCTGATATGCCACAGGCCTAAATGAATCCTAAAATTCCAATGACAACAAATAAGAGGTCAGTTATTGACCTGGGTAGTCTCTGCAAAAGGGAAAAAAATGATAAACCACTGTTTTCTATTTGTAAATATGTTAACACACTATTATCATATTGCATTAAAATAAACGGTGGCAATTCAATCCTGGTGTGTCCTTATAAAGTAAATACATGGCTTCATACGGGAACAGGTTACCACGGTAACATGCAGCAACATGGAGTACCATTCTTTTAGTCAGCTGCCCTCCTGAACAAAAGGAGAAAACCCAGTGTTGCCATGGCAACATGAACATTCATGAATTCTTCTGGTCTGAACTGCATCTGTTTGAGAGTAAAGCATAGATTCCTGGAATAGAATGTTGGCACCTGCAGGTATAATGATAGAGGGGGAAACTTTTCTTACCTTATTTACAAAAACTATTGGAAAGATCCCTGTCAGGTTACAACACAAATCATTTGTACACAACCAGATTTATATTTTTAGGTTTCGATCTCTTTAACTGCCCACTCTTGCTTTTCTACAATCTTCCTGTTTTGACAACCAGCAAACAAGAGATTAGCAAACAGTAAACTGCCTCATGATCAGATGCTTGCAATTTTGGCAAACTATGCAAATAATGAGCTTTGAAGATAAAAACACAGCAGCTGGTGCACACATTATATAAATTTATACCAGCTAATACACTGGTGCAGCGTTGGATATAATCTATATTAGTGGTTCATATGGGATCTTTATTTTGGTTGTCACTATGTGAATCGTGTGTACATGATTACCCCGGAATTGTGTGTACACAAAAAGAAAAAATGTGTTTATTGCAAATTAATTTTGTTTGCAATTGCTGCTCATACAGTTTAGTCGTCGCTGACATAATAGCGCTGTCTGTGCTGAGCACCCCCAGCAGCTCCATGGGACATAAACACAACGGACGAGTTTCCCCCATAGTCATCACACACAGACACACACAGATAAGCATTCAGAGACATATACACACCAACACTCAACCACACAAGGATACTCATTGCCAGACACACACTCTCTGGCATATACACAGGTGCACAATGTCAAACCTGATCATAAAGATACCAGTACAGAATTTATGGGCCAAAGTATATTTGAGAGGAGGATTATAGGAGTATGACTACGCGAGGATTACCGCTGGGTAGTGAAGGGGTTAATACCTTTTCCCAGCTAGTTTCTGCACCAGGGCTCGCTATTAAAATGGTCCTGTCAACTCCATTATATAGCAACATTAATTTCAGCTATACATTATGCAAGCCTGACATCTAGCACCGGGGTCAGAAATACCTCACACGGTTATTCACCAATGTGAGAATTCAAAGTGAATTTCAAACTTCAGGCCAGAGTAGCTGAAATGGAAACATGGCTTTTCAATTCAGTTATTTTGGCCTTAAACTTGAAATACATTTAGAATTCTCACTTCATTACACATCTATTGCCAAGCTCCTTGACACAGGAAGAGTTCCAAATATGGCTACTAGAAAGGGACAATAGTGCATTTGTGTGCAGGTGCCTATCCGCAAATGTCAAAAGTGCTCTACGTTATGAGATGTCATTCACATCAAGTCACTAGCATGCCTTTCTTTGTCATCTTAAATGAAGTATAAGCATATATTTTCCTCTATACATGTATTCGCAGCAAAAGAGAGACATGATGTGTTTACCTACCTGTCAATGACCTGTGCCATTTGTCCGTATTCAGTGTCTATTCATTTTTTTCTAACCACAGTTTAGGCAGCCTGGTTGTCCAGAAGGTGGTTTTTGATACAAGCAGCCATGGTACCAATTTAGAGGGATATTATAGGCACCAAAACAACTTTAGCTTAATGAAGCATTTTTGGTGTATAGAACATGCCCCTGCAGCCTCACTGCTCAATTCTCTGCCATTTAGGAGTTAAATCACTTTGTTTTTACCACCCCAGTCACGCCTTCCTTAATTTGACTTAATTTGTCTGCATAAACACCCCACCCCATTGTAAATTACCTTTAGACCTAAACTGCTTCATTAAGCTACAGTTGTTTTGATGCCTATAGTGTCCCTTTAACAATGTATTTTGATGGGTTTTGTTTTTGGATTTTTATCTTTGTAAAAAATCCATAAATGAAGACTAAACCATGGCAAAGGGGTAAGAAAAGAGAGCTAGAGAGGAAAAAAATACAAAACAGCACCTACAGCCCTAGAGTATAACTCTCACGAATCTCAGACAGACAAGAATGTCCCAGCACTGCTCCTCTACTACACAAGGAAAGTAATACTCATAGATGCAATCACCCATGTGCACTACAGGTTTGATAACATGATCTGCCATGATACATGATCTCACTCTCTCTCTCTTTTTGTACATATGTATTATGGGGAAATTATGCAATTGAGGGGTTCAGTAGACATATTATTAAACCACAAGTCTGAATTAATAGCGCCAGAGAACAAAACTGCATTATTTTCCCCAAATGCGTGATTCACCACTATGTTTCTTTTCTATTCCATCATATTTTAGACTAAGATTACTGAAAGGGGTTGTGCAAGGGTTAGGGTAAAGTACATGGTTAAGGAGAAGAGCTAAATGTTAGCGCGGAACCAGAGCATACTTATCTTATGCTGCCTGTTATTAGTGGGAGCTACATTCCCCAGCAACAGCTATTTCAGCTGCTGCCAATTATTCAGTAAGAGTAACCCTCACCAATCTTGGGCAGGCTGGGACATGTACATTTACAGGTCCTGCACTGCATAGTGTTAGTTACACTAATATAACACTTGTTTTTTAGCACTGTGTGACACATTGTAGATTTGAAAACATTATCTAATAGGGAGCAGATCATATACAGTTAATTAGCCATAAATGCTCTTGAAATGGAAAATTCACCTTCGAGGCTCTCTGCAGTGCAACGTTTAACAGGGGCCTCGTGAAATCTATCTGTATCACATTTCTTGTAAAAAAAAAAAAAAAAAAAATCTGGGCTATTTTAAACAATATCATTATCTAAAAACGTACATAATGTTTTGGAAGGGTTTAACAGAGAAGTTTACTTTATCTGAAGATCAGAATTTCCAAATTCAAATAATTTTACCTCCCAATGTCAAAAGAAAAATATAAAAGAAACCACACGGACACATAGCTCACTATGTTACCTACCCGAACACCAGGCATAGATGAAATACACAGTTAGGTCAGTGCCATATAGCAGGTTTATTAACACAGTAATAATATGAACATCAGCCTTCAGGATAGGTGGTTAGGTCAGAGTACCACAACAAAACCAGACGGAGTAAGGGGGGGGGCAGGAGACTGGGGGCACCCACTGACAGATGCTACCCCCATCCTCTCCCATTCCTCCTATAACAGAGGAAAAAGAAAGCAATGGGGTGCAAATTCATTCTTGGGAACTGGGTAACCTTCTGGTGAGTAAGGTTAACAACTTTTCTGAATGCAATGATACACTCAAGGTTCTCGAGGGTGGGAAGAGGTTAGGGGTTCACAAAATCCTTCTAAAAATCTTGGGACAGCTAAACTGGCAGTACACAGATTAACCCTCAAAGTGCAACACATTAAGAAGAAATGCACCACTCATCTCTTGGAGGGTTTAAATGAGTGTTCTCCCCTTACTATGGCTAGATGAACTCAAAGTGTTAATGACACCTCTGTCTTCACAAAGTGTATATAGATAAATATATGTCATAACACTATGGGTGTGTCTTGCTTATGTATACTGTACGTGTGTTTGTATATAAATATAAATATGGATTTATGGTATTAAAAGCATTCAGAATAAAACGTTTCATATTAATACTAGTTCCGGTAATCTCATCCTTCACAGAGAGGCAGTGTGTGTGTGTGTGTGTGTGTTTGAGCGCACTGTGCGTGTATGTCTGCCAGCAGAATTTCCGATCAATAAAACAGGGATCATGTCATCGGTTTGTGTGCATTAGTGTTGTTTTAGAAAGCATCAGCATGTAATCTATGCATGTCTCTCGATCACCGATTGACAGCTCTGACACACCACATGTTCGTGAACAACATTATTTAAAGGAGAACTGTATGTGGCTACACAACGGTAAGAAAAGTTTCAGTTAAAGCAGGCGAGGTCTAAAAGTTATTTGCCATTTCAAGCTTAGAGGGAATGCGGCACTCTCATTGGGGGTTGTGGGGGGATTTTTACTCGCCAATTCTAAAATTTCACTTGCCAATGTCTGGTGGAAATTTTGAGACCTACTGTCACTTCCATGAAAGTAAAAGTTCCCCATTCACCGAGTAAATGCCACTGCAATGTTAAGAGAGGCGAGTAATGCATTTGAGGGAAGTAAAAACATTTATCCCTGTAGCACGTCCATGTGCGGGGCAATGTTAACACCCCATGTTTTATGGGCATTTATACATACACTTGCACGTGCCCACACAAATGGCACTGTGGGGGTTAAATTAAGTTGCATGATTTACTCTGGCTGTGCCAGGACAGCGAAGCATAGATTTTAAATTAAAATATAAAGAAAAATTCAGACTGTTTTCTAAAAAAAAAAAAAAAGAAGAAGAAAAATAGCACAATCCATATATATTTCATAAATAACAGATGTGTTAAAGTTAGTCATCGCTGCTCTATGTGGTTATATGCAGAGGAAATAGAGTAGGAGGAATGATTTAGCTCAAAGGCCAACAAATAAAGACCTCCAGCTATTATTTGACTATAACCCTTGTAAACCTCAGCCAGCCACACAGGATGCCAATTGGGTTCATTCCAGTTACAGTTTAACAATTAGATGCACTCATTTGGCTATACCAGATTTGGACCACTCTATGTCCCCATATGTCCATGGATACCATTACTATTAGGCCTGGCAAACAAGGTCAGTAACAATTCTGCAAGGAGGCTATGGGTGCAGTACCACTAGGCTTTGAAAAATCGTTTTTTAAGAGGTCTGATAATATAACGTGAATCTCCCCTGCACCCAAAGTCATCCCCCCTCTTTAAACAATTTGGTGTTACTGAACTGACACAGAGTCTATGTCATTTCAGCAGCGCAAAGCTTCAACATTATTACAATGGCCATAGAAGATGTGGGCTTTAGGAGCTGGGACGGCCCCAATGAGACATCCAAAGACTTCTCCAAGAAAAACCATAAGCTGAAGTGGTTATGGTGCTTGGAACAACCTTTCAATGCATAAATGTAGATACTGATGCAATGTGCGCAGTGTCTGTGACATGTATGTATATCAGATGTGCGTAAAGAGCATAGTTGTGTCTGCCTGCCTGTGTAGGGAGGAAGTGGTATAACACTGAAAGTTCAAGCTTCTTAAACGGAGCCTTGTGGGAAAATCCCAGCTATTGCACACTGACTGACTGAAATGAAGATGTAAAAGGAGGCCATGCGCATCAACGTTTTTCCAGTAACCGCAGGGTTTGTGCCAGTCCTTGGGTTGTGCCAAATGCAAGGTATTGACAGCACAGCCAGTCCTCCAAACTGACCCCTCCTTCCCTCTCAAGAGCGCGCTCTGCTAGCCTGATAAGCAGCAATGTTCTCTTTACTTCTAGCCAGTTATTCAGAGCACCTGGTCCTTGGATTGCTTCATCACGAGGACCCCAGATCAGACAGCGTAAACCTGCCTTGGCCTGGCCCACCTGCAGCCTGTCTGATGGGCTGTGATGTAGTAGAAGTCCTGCAAGACGGCCAAGACCATGGGAGTATGGAGACCGGCGTGGCACAGCTGGCAAATCACACGGGCCATATTCTCTTTCCTTCAGTCCCCCATCCAAGAAAGGATTTAGTAAGTGTAGCATCTCATAGATCAGTATACCTGTTTGGAACTCATCGCTCCTCCTATATTGAGTGGCCCCTACAATCTCTGGAGCCAAACGTGAGGGATCACCCAATCCCTGTGGGCGCCATGTTCCTTGGCTCTTCAGCTTGGCCTGGTTAAAGTTGGTGAGGAGAAGGCGGCCTGCACAGGTGGACATTGCTCTTTGCTCAAAGGCACCTATCTCCTTACCATGCTCACTTAGTTCCTCCTTAGAAGAGTCACGACAAAAACTGCAGCCTGACTCACTGGGCCGACAGCTGGCAAGCAGCAGGTTATCTAGCCGTAGGTCGCAATGGGTTATGCCTTGTGCCTTTAGGTGCTCCAAAGCCCCACAGAGTTGGAGAAGTAGCAAGCACACTTTCCTCTCATAAACCTCTGGCTCTCTTCGGTGCTGGATCTCTCCCTCCCGAACAAAGTCTGCAAGTGTCTGCCTGGGAGGTTCTCGTGTGATAACTACTATCCTGCTCCTTCGTTTTCCCAAAGAACCCTGGTTTCCTGATGCAGGCTGCTTCTGACCCCCCTTTAGTGCTGGTTTGGATTCTTCTGGGGTAGAAACACTTTCTCCTTCTTGCGTTTCTTCCTCTTCTTCTTCCTCCTCAGACACGGTGGGATCCTCCCATGGAAGCAAACGTGCAGGCACCTCTGCCAGGAAATGGCCACAGTCCTGCTGGATGTTAAAGTGTTCTGAGAGGCCTTGCCGTACTGCCAAACAGTGATAGTATTCTCGTTGGGCCTGCTTTGCCTTGCCGCGGCAAATCTATAAAGGAAACAAAATGTCACTGAATGCAATACCAGGGGTAGCCACAGGACAGAGTAACAGGTTTATTCTCTCAAGTGAAATTTGTGATAAATGTCAAAATTAATGTCGAAAAGCCAAACTGGGAAAATCCAGATATGGTTCCAATTCAGCCAATTTGGCCTTACATTTCAAATCCTACTTGAATTCCCAGCAATTCTTAATTTAGCGAATAATCCTGTAAATGTTTAATAATCTAGTACAGAATATGCTAACACTACTTATTTTAGAATAAAGGGGGTGGGGGATGGGGCCCTATAACTTAAAAACTAGAATGATAACCTAGAATACTTCTTTTAAACTGCACAAAAGTGGTAACAACATACAGCAAATTCTCAAACCCTGATGTAGCTGTTTTGGTGAAAAAAAATAAATCAATATTTAGAAGAGAAAATCATACCACTTCACTGAACATGCAGAGAACTTTAGGTTTATACACTGAACAGCACCTTACGGTTAGTTGGCAACCAATTTAGGTCAATTATCACAAATGGAAATCCTAGACCCATCTCCAATTCAGAGGAAGGGTATGTGTGTTTGAATGTGAATATAATTTTCCCACCAATGAAAATTTACTAGTAGGTTGCCAGAGCACCACAACTTGCTGTTTAGAGAATAAACCCTTGTGAGAATTGCCAAGGGTTCAAAGCGAATTTCAAAATTTAAGGTCAAAATATCTAAAGTGAAAATAGAATTCACTTGGAGAATTTCTTACTAACTGGGCTATTTTGGCTTAAATTTCGAAATTCACATTGAATTCATGGGAATTTTCCCTTAAGTGAATAACCCTGTTAATGTATAACCTACAAAAAAAAAAAAAATAATCAAAAAAAATAAACCTGTTCATAAATAAATAGGTTATTTTTTCACAACATTTCGCCAATAGTGCAGGTTACTTTGTGTAAACAGAGATGGTTTAATTAGTAACCTGGCTGTCTACAGATAGAAATGTAAATTATTATAGTTTGAGAAAAACATGTAAATGAGTAAATTTAAAGATACTGTAATTAAACTTTTATTACTTAAAGGGGGGTGATCATGAAACATGCATTAGTGATGTGTTGTGGCAAACATTATATATGTTGCTTTTTTAACGTTTTAATAGCCACAACCATTTACTTTAAAACATGTAAGTGTTTTACCTCCTCATCCAGCCTCTACTTGTGACAAAATTGAAAAAGAATGTTTCAAAGAACCAGGTTCAGTGACCCAGCCAAACTATCCCCATACATTGACATAGAGTGTGTGTCTATGTTCTGACTGACACATACCTTCTCTGAGGTAAATAGGTATATCATTCACCTTCCACACACTTTATTTTTTATAAAAAACACACACATACACATCCGAAGCCACAGTCCCAGAAAGCCATAGTGCACATCATCAGAGCAGTTGGTTTTCCCATCAGTGTTAATTTTGGCGGCAAATTTAAATTTAGTTTTAGTCATAGTCTTTGGACTATAAATCCATTTTAGTTTTAGTCGTATTTTAATCATCTGAATTGTTTTAGTTTTACTCGATTAAATCTCTAGTAGATTTTAGTCGACACAATTAAAATTTAATGGGTTTAGTTAAAGCCTCTATCTGTCTCTTTTGCCCCACATTCAGCCCCTCTGTGTCTCCTTGTGTCCTCCAAACCCCTCTAGGTGTCTCTCTCCCAAGCCCTGATCTGTCTCTTTTGTCCCTTCCACAGCCCCTCTGTGCAGTGTTAATTTTGGAGGCAAATTTCAATTTAGTTTTACTCATAGTCTTTTGACTAAAATGCCATTTTAGTTTTAGTTGTATTTTAGTCATCTGAATTGTTTTAGTCTAGCTTTAGTCGTCTAAATCTCAAACATTTAGATAACTAAAATTTGACTAACATATTAGTCGACAAATGAACACTGTACCCCATCAATACTGCCTTAACTACTGCCCAGTCAACCCCCGCAGCTAATCTTCCACCTTCTGCGTATGGCTCTCACTTTTATGTTAATATATGCTGCAACATAATTAAAAACAATAAAACATCTTTTATAAAGTTGGTTCTATGATGGTACACTAGCTGTGGTGGGGGAGGAAGGGGTGCATTATTTATATGGTTACTTATCGTTATATTTGTGATGGTACTGTTTACATACTTATATACATTTTGTGGTGGTGCTATTTATTTGTTTATTTAACTTCATATTTTATATGATGGAGCTGTTTATATTGTTATTTTTCTTTATATTTTGTGATGGAACATTGTTTTCTATGTATTTTCTATTTTTTGTAATCATAAGTAATGTAGAAGTAAATAAACAAGTACATTGTGAGATCAGCAAAAAAATAAAAGAAAAAAAAGGAGGGGAACTTGTAAAGTGTTACAATTCGGGAAAAGGGAGGGGACACCATCGGTCAATATGATTCACTATTGACAATTTTAGTTAAGTAATCATTACTTGTCTCACCAGCACATAAAATGAAAGCCTGTGTACAATGTCTATTGTAGTAGAGGTTAACACAGTAAAGGAGTTTAAGCATGCGTGGGATAGGCATAAGGCTATCCTAACTATAAGATAAGGCCAGGGACTAATGAAAGTATTTAGAAAATTGGGCAGACTAGATGGGCTGAATGGTTCTTATCTACCATCACATTCTATGTTTCTATGTTTCTATTAGAGCTTTTTTTTGCTCAAAACTATGACCAGTAGTGGGGAGTTCGATAAGATTAAGGGGGGGTGGGGAAGGCCCAATGTAGAAGATGTGGAATAAGAGTAGAAGGTCTAGTTTGACTATGATCCTGAGAGTTAGCGATCACATTGTCTATGGTTCCACGGTGCCTGTTTAGGAGAAGTAGGGTGTTAGGAGGGGGATGACGGAGTAAAAAGGGAATGAAAACTATTTACAAATCCCATCGGTTGGGATATGGGGTTAGGAAGGGATGCGAATAAGGAGAGGTTCGAGAGTATATTGTTTTTTTATCTTTATATTTTGTGATGGCGCTGTTTAAATGGTGTTTTGTCTGTCAGGGTTGTTCACTAAAGACAGAATTTTCTTGAAATAAATCCAAATGGAAAACCTGAGACAAAACTCTTTAGTTTAATATTCCATAAACCTCCATGAGTACCGTTACAATTTGTATTTTTATTACATATGGCATAAGTGATGTATTTCTAAACATAATTCCCTATGCACCTCTCCAGTTTTCCTCCCACTCCCCCCCTTACCATATAAACTACTGATATTACCGTCCCATGAGTCTACTAAGGGGGAACAGGCCTCTCTAACCAACTCTCTGGTATTAGAGGCATCTAATGCACCCTGCCCCGCACGTATCTATAGAATACCTGTCTCGCAACCTTTAGGCAGGTGCTGCACACTAGTTACCTAACGGTTTTACTTTTTACTAGTAATAGTATTGCAATATTTAAAAAATGTGCTATGATATCAATGCCAACAATTGTTAACCCATGATGAACAACTTGCACTAGCTGCTGTGGCAATGCAAGCCTGTCTGTACCGTTTATGCACTACTAAAATAAAGTATTTAAAAAAAAAAAAAAAAACTTGCATAAAACAATAAAATAAATCAGCCATAGTCACAACTTGGCTATTCCGCCCCTTGTTTTGGCATTCAGATTTAATTCATGAAAATTCAGACGTGAGTGAATAACCCTGTTTATATTCTGCGGTGGTGCTATTTACATGACACTGTTTAGATTATTGTTATTCTTGTATTTTGTGATGAAGTAGTTTATTTGGTTATTTATCATTATATCTTGTTGTGGTTCTGTTTATATTAGTATTTTTATATTATTTAACCTGATATACAGAAGTTTATGGGAGAAGAACAGACTCCATATATTATAATAAGATGCTCTGATTTGGAGTGCTTTTTGTTGAGAGCAGCACCCTCCTGTAGCTGCTTTTACTGTAATTTTTGAATAAATTATCTATTCAGTGCATTGATATATAGGAGGTGGTTTTAACCCAATAGTTTTTCCTTACAATGATAAGTTTTACTAAATATGTATTGTTAATAGAATGGCTCTTGTGTATTACCTTCACAGCGTATAGGTTACCAGGGTCCCGTGCGTATGATGCTCGGTAATACACCGCGTCCCCAGCCAGGCAGCAAGGAGTCGGGTTAGTTAGGCGAAAATCAGGCCAGCTCTCCAGTCCAAAGCTTATTGGCTCTCTCTGCCCTGCCATGAAAATGTCCTCACACCGCGCGTAAAACCTGCGCAAGGCCTCGGTCTGTAATTTAGCAATCCGACCTCCACTCCCCTTTAACCTTTCAATGGAATCTCCTGACTCACTGCCCCCAGCCTCCCAACTCTTCTCTGTGTCATAGGTAGGGTTTGCAAGATTTAGTGAAGTTCCAGGTGTCTTCTCAGGTGTGAGCTGACGGGGTGTTGTGTTCTTCTTAGGGAGAGGTGGAGGAGTGGGATGAGTTTCTTGATCTTTAGGAGGGCTCCCACCTCGTGTCTGGCGTGGCTGCTTGTATGGGATCATGTTGGCCCGAGAATGACCTGTCGGAGAAGAAGCTTTCATAGTTCATCACATATACAAACACACTGCAGTTTTTTTAAGCAATGCCTCTTTATAAACAAATACTTTTGTTTTCCTTCCCACATTCTTAGCCTAAGGTCATTTGTAAGTGTTCCACCACAATGAATATACTGAGATTCCTATCATTGTTAAGTATGAATGAGCATACATAGTACAAGAGAGTTACAAGTAGTTTTGCATACCTTTTTTCTAAACATTAGCAGTTATTACAGTTTTGGGTTGACTGTACAGAGAGGCAGATTAATTCATCCATCCCCCCTCACCAAAAAAATTAAGTGTGACAGAAGGCTGTCTGACCTGTTTGTAATAAGATATAAACAGTGCATTATTGTGTTGGCAGTGGGGCAAAGGTTACTGGAGGTGAGCGGAGCTGGAGCGAGCATACTGCTCATGTATCATGATTCTAAGAGGTGAGGGGAGCTAGAGTGAGAATACTGCCAGGTATTGTGATTCTAAGAGGTGAGGGGAGCTAGAACTAGCATACTGCCAGGTATTGTGATCCTAAGAGGTGAGGGGAGCTAGAACTAGCATACTGCCAGGTATTGTGATCCTAAGAGGTGAGGGGAGCTAGAACTAGCATACTGCCAGGTATTGTGATTCTAAGAGGTGAGGGGAGATAGAATGAGCATACTGCCAGGTATTGTGATTCTAAGAGGTGAAAGGAGCTAGAGTGAAAATACTGCCAGGTATTGTGATTCTAAGAGGTGAGGGGAGCTAGAACTAGCATACTGCCAGGTATTGTGATTCTGAGAGGTGAGGGGAGATAGAATGAGCATACTGCCAGGTATTGTGATTCTAAGAGGTGAGATGAGCTAGAATGAGCATACTGCTAGGTATTGTGATTCTAAGAGGTGAGGGGAGCTAGAACTAGCATACTGCCAGGTATTGTGATTCTAAGAGGTGAGGGGAGCTAGAGTGAGAATACTGCCAGGTATTGTGATTCTAAGAGGTGAGGGGAGATAGAATGAGCATACTGCCAGGTATTGTGATTCTAAGAGGTGAGGGGAGCTAGAGTGAGAATACTGCCAGGTATTGTGATTCTAAGAGGTGAGGGGAGCTAGAACTAGCATACTGCCAGGTATTGTGATTCTAAGAGGTGAGATGAGCTAGAATGAGCATACTGCTAGGTATTGTGATTCTAAGAGGTGAGAGGAGCTAGAACTAGCATACTGCCAGGTATTGTGATTCTAAGAGGTGAGGGGAGCTAGAGTGAGCATACTGCCAGGTATTGTGATTCTAAGAGGTGAGGGGAGCTAGAACTAGCATACTGCCAGGTATTGTGATTCTAAGAGGTGAGGGGAGCTAGAGTGAGAATACTGCCAGGTATTGTGAGTCTATGAGGTGAGGGGAGCTAGAACTAGCATACGGCCAGGTATTGTGATTCTAAGAGGTGAGAGGAGCTAGAATGAGCATACTGCCAGGTATTGTGAGTCTACGAGGTGAAGGGAGATAGAATGAGCATACTGCCAGGTATTGTGATTCTACGAGGTGAAGGGAGCTAGAATGAGCATACTGCCAGGTATTGTGAGTCTACGAGGTGAAGGGAGATAGAATGAGCATACTGCCAGGTATTGTGATTCTACGAGGTGAAGGGAGATAGAACTAGAATACTGCCAGGTATTGTGATTCTAAGAGGTGAGGGGAGCTAGAGTGAGAATACTGCCAGGTATTGTGATTCTATGAGGCGAGAGGAGCTAGAGTGAGCATACTGCCAGGTATTGTGATTCTACGAAGTGAAGGGAGATAGAACTAGCATACTGCCAGGTATTGTGATTCTAAGAGGTGAGAGGAGCTAGAATGAGCATATTGCCAGGTATTGTGATTCTAAGAGGTGAGGGGAGCTAGAGTGAGAATACTGCCAGGTATTGTGATTCTATGAGGCGAGAGGAGCTAGAATGAGCATACTGCCAGGTATTGTGATTCTACGAAGTGAAGGGAGATAGAACTAGCATACTGCCAGGTATTGTGATTCTAAGAGGTGAGAGGAGATAGAATGAGCATATTGCCAGGTATTGTGATTCTAAGAGGTGAGGGGAGCTAGAGTGAGAATACTGCCAGGTATTGTGATTCTATGAGGTGAGGGGAGCTAGAACTAGCATACTGCCAGGTATTGTGATTCTAAGAGGTGAGGGGAGATAGAATGAGCATACTGCTAGGTATTGTGATTCTAAGAGGTGAGAGGAGCTAGAGTGAGAATACTGCCAGGTATTGTGATTCTAAGAGGTGAGGGGAGCTAGAACTAGCATACGGCCAGGTACTGTGATTCTAAGAGGTGAGAGGAGCTAGAATGAGCATACTGCCAGGTATTGTGATTCTACGAGGTGAAGGGAGACAGAGAGAGTATACTGATCAGGTTTAGTGGTTCAAAGACATGAGGGGAGCTAGAATGAGCATACTGCTCAGGTATCATATTTCCAAGAGGTGTGAGGAGCTAGAATGAGCATACTGTTCAGGTATCGTAGTTCTAAGAGGTGAAGGGAGATGGAGAGAGTATACTGCTCAGGTTTAGTGGTTCTAAGAAATGAGAGGAGCTAGAATGAGCATACTGCTCAGGTATCGTGGTTCCAAGAGGTGAGGGGAACTAGAATGAGCATTCTGTTTAAGTATAGTGGTTCTAAGAGGTGAGGGGAACTAGAATGAGCATTCTGTTTAGGTATAGTGGTTCTAAGAGGTGAGGGGAACTAGAATGAGCATTCTGTTTAGGTATAGTGGTTCTAAGAGGTGAGGGGAACTAGAATGAGCATTCTGTTTAGGTATAGTGGTTCTAAGAGGTGAGGGGAACTAGAATGAGCATTCTGTTTAGGTATAGTGGTTCTAAGAGGTGAGGGGAACTAGAATGAGCATTCTGTTTAGGTATAGTGGTTCTAAGAGGTGAGGGGAACTAGAATGAGCATTCTGTTTAGGTATAGTGGTTCTAAGAGGTGAGGGGAACTAGAATGAGCATTCTGTTTAGGTATAGTGGTTCTAAGAGGTGAGGGGAACTAGAATGAGCAATATCTATTTGAGGTATAGTGGATTTTAAGAGGTGAGGGGAGCTAGAACAAGATAGCGTGCAATTCTATAGACAGCCTACTACTCAAGAGGTGTAGGGACATTTAGACATAATGTGGTATAAAAAAAGAAAAAAGTGGTGAGAATGTCTGCATCCAAGCATTGTCTAGTTTAGCTCTTAATTCGTCCTATTTATTTATTGCTTTTAGTAAATACCATTATGATAGACTAGATATAATTAGCACAAACACATTTTAGAAGGTGTCAATCCTTCTGATCTTTTGTCTCAGTCTCTAAGAAGATCAGTATCCAATCATCACAAATAAAGATGTCTCAGGTAACAGGAAAAAAGAAAACAACCTCCACAAATCTCCTTTATTGCTCCACCCCATCATTTCTTCTCCTGTTTCCCAAGTCCAACTAGCTAGACAGGCTGGCCAGGATTCATTGCACTGTATACAGTATACAGCACCCTAATCTGCATCAGTGTGACAGCAAACACTGTCAACTGGTTCTATGTATTTTTGGTAATGACTAGAACACCTGCCTATTTACAATTTTGTTTCAAATGGAAAAAAAAAATCTTCTTGATTTTAAAAACAAAAGGTTGTCATCTCTCCCTTCCCCCCCACCAATCATCAACATATTGTGTTTAATTGTTAGAATCTTGTCTATATAAACATTGCTATACTGTCAAACAATATTATGACAAGAGAGAATGGCAGTATACCATAACATCAACAACAATTCTAGAAAACACAATAACATATGTGCATGTGCATCTCTTACTGGTGCAATGCTCTCCAGCTTCAGCAGGTGTGTGTACAAGTATTTTACATGTGCAATAGTCTGCAGTGGTAGCAAATGACGGAAGAATATTTTACTGGAGCAATATTATGCAGTGGTAGCAAATGACATGTTTTGCTAATGTAAGGCATGGAGTAATCAAGATATTTCCTGGGAAAGGTGATCCGTGAAACGACACAGTAATATACCACAAAGAGTGATTATACAAAGACCTAAACAGAAAAAGAGATAAAGAATAAATGCTCTGCGGGTCTTTGCACAGTGTTCTACAGGAGGACAGGATTGGATGAAAGGCAGGATAAGTCTATTTGGGTGTTAGCAGAGAAATGTTCTGTAGGTCTCTGGTTGAGGGATGGTTATCTCATCTCTCTCATGTATTGCACTACCTTGGTAAAAATAGTTTGCAATGAGCTGCTCTGCAGAATTTCGGTATTGTCTAACAGTTCAATACTCTGCAGGTCTGTCTTAGGTAAGTAACTAGAAATGCAATTATCTGCAGTAATGGGGTGGTTTACAAGGCAATGCTCTGCAGACTTTCATTATGGGTAGTGGTGTGACACTCTGCAGTTTCTGCTGCTCAGAATTGTCAGTTTGCAGATTAATATAGAGTGCAAGGTTCTTCTGCTTTTTGGTAGCTATATTATTTCTGGTTAAACACTTTTAAGGGTTCTACGTGCGAACAGACTGCTGTATTTCTCACCTAGATTGGTATAGGTCACTCCTCCAGGACTGCAATCAGAGGAATGGTCGGAAGCAGTGCCGGACTCCTCTCTAGCCTGCATCTCTGTATTAGTAGGTGGCGTCACCGTGCCTGTCTCAATTTGTTCATTAGAAGGTGGTGACAAAGTGCGGGTTGAAAATCCAGCTGGAGGGGTCTCCTGTAGAGGTGTATCATCAGGTGTACTGCATAGAAAATAGACAAGCCACAGTCAGACATAACTGGTCGCCCCAAGGCAGGTCTCCCCACTGTATCACGGTCTAAACCAACACATTCTATCACTTTATTCTATTTATCACAAGAGGTTGTGGTCTGTCAGAAAGGGGTTAAATAAAGATACCACTGCCGAGCGGGTTACTAAGGAAAGAAACAGAGACCTGATAAACAAAACACAGGAAAGCTAAATTAAAGTGGGACAGAGAAAACGGATCTACATAAAACTGACAGCATACAGAAAATTAGAGATTAACAGCACTGAAGAGGAGAAAAAAAAAAAAGCTGCAACTGAATGGAAGAGCGTTGACAAATGAGAACAATTTGAGAGGATTAGAGAAGTGAAAGTTAGCAGGAAATAGAAAAGCGTAGGTATGATCTCACCGTGTCCTGCTACTGACACAGCTTCCCATTCTGTGACAGGGGAACTGAACACTCATGGAAGGGGTAGCAATGAACTCTGACTTTACCTGGGAAGGAGTGTCTATAGACACCAAAACACTGTTACAGCCTAGCAGTTACACACACCTCTCCACACCCTACGTGGAATGCTAGATAAGAGAGTAAGGGAGGGAGAGTCTCCTCCTCCTTCAACCAGAAGGGGAGAAAAAAAACACACACACCTACAGCTATAATCTGTACATATGAACAGACTGGAGACCTGTACGTGTATTGGAATAGGAAAAGTTTAAAAGGTTTATTGGAAAAGCATGAAAAGAAATGTTACAGAAAAGAGATGATGTTACAGAAAAGCATTATTGGGAAGGAAGGGATGCAAGGTAATTCATTAGCCCAGGTTATTTTGTATAACCTCCTTACCTATAGACTGTAAGCTCGTTTGAGCAGAGTCCTCTTCAACCTATCGTTCCTGTAAGTTTTCTTGTAATTGTCCTATTTTTAGTTAAATCCCCCCCTCTTATAATATTGTAAAGCGCTACGGAATCTGTTGGCGCTATATAAATGGTAATAATATAATAATACAAATTGTACTGACCCGAAATTGGGTCTACATATTAGTCCAGTGGTACTCGGTGTTTGGAACACATACGTCACAATCATCACACCAGAGGCAACAGAACACAATAAATGGTTAACCATAGAAGCATCACCTTCCTTTTGGCACTGGGAAGAGTCTAATGAATGTGTTTAACATAAAGTATTTTGCCGTATATTATAGCAGAATAAAAGAGTCACTGACTCATTTTAAAATTAAGGAATATCTAGTAAAGCTAATTTCATACAGGCAAATTGTGTCCCTGCGGACAATAAAGTTAAGGAACTCTGCGCTAAACAAAATCACAGAAACAGAAGTATGACACATTATAAAAGAGATAGAAAAGGAGGCAGTAGGAAAGGAGGAGGCTTTGACAGAGAGTTAATTAGGCAATTAATTTAAAGACAACGGGAAATGAAATAATAGATTTGGGAAGATGCAAGAAGAGGGAAACAGTGTGTGTGTGTGTGTGAATACCTTATCTTGGGGAATACAGATACCATTAACACTTTACTCTCCTTATCTTTTTATCACAGAGATATTTAATTGAATGCTGATACAACATCTCTTTTTGTTAATATGCTAACTAAAGTTATGTAAATAATTTACCTGCTAGATCTGGTCTCCGTGCATACACTGTCCTGTGGGCTGCTGGCCGCTCTCTCTTCGTCAGATTGACACATAAAGACAATAGAAGGTTTCTCTCCTGGTCCAGTACGGCTTTCACTAAACCAATGGTGACGCTGGACGGGTGGTGGTGGAAGCATGTGGATGACTGTTCCATCCAGTCCAACTAGTTTGCCATCATCTCCTCTTTCTTCATTTGCCCCAATCCCACCTCCCTCTTTCTTCCTCCTGAAAAAGCTCTTGAAGGAGATCCAACGACGTGGCTTGGCATCAGCTGGTCGGCGTGGCTGAGTTGAGCATTCGGTGGGAGAGGGACGATTAGTTCCAGTAGGCTTGCCACGAGTGGCAAAGTGTTTATGTAGCATACTTGCGTGGTATGGTGAAGAAGTGGAGCGTGGTGGTGGGAAGGGAGGCAGTGGTTCTGTGTTAACTGGTACAGTTGGGCTGTCATCACTGGAAGGTATCGAGGATGACTTGCTGAAACTAAGAGTTCCCATTGTTTCACTTTGCAGCGGGAATAAGGATTTGGGTCTGCCTAATGAACCTGGAGCAATCTCAGGCTCTGGATGGGACAGTGGAGCGTGGTGCTCTTCACTGCTGGCAGAATCAGGAGTCATAGCCTCTGGTGGAGAACGAGGTGGCTGGATTGACGCCACAATTTGAGACAGTACCCTGTTTGCACTCTCCCTGGGACAAGTTGGGACTTCTGGAACCACTTCGTCCTTGAGATCCTCTTTTCTCTGACCTTTAGCAGGTGTTTCAATTTCCTCGTATGTGTGGCTGATAACACTTGCAGTCTGACGCTTTTCCTTGTCAGGAGGTGGTGGGAATCCTCCTCCAGCACCCACAAAACTTCTATATATTGCCAGGTTATCATAAGCACTAGGATTGATAAGAATGGGCACTTTGTCGGCACTCTTGCAGCTATGGGCGTACTCTGGTTCATCGTGAATGATAATGGGGAAGGGTGGCATTCCAGCATTATTGTAGCTGTTGAATTTTATCTCTGACAGATTGGGTGAGCGGACAGGTACAGTGTGAGTGCTCAATCCAGCAGTGGGTGAAGTAGGGGCCGACTTGTGACAATTTCGCTTGGGGGCTTCCACTAAATCAGTCTTGGCAAGCTTCTGTCGGGGACTGGTGCTGGATGTCCAGACCTCCTGATAGCGAGTGGAACTTCCTTTTCTTAATCTAGTACTAAGCGGAGGTGGGCATTCTCCAGCCATAGCAGCTGATACATCAACAACCGTGTATGGTTTACAGACAGGCTGCTCTAGACTTACCACACGATATGGCTTGGCTTGAGCCATACCTGCATCTTGGACAACACCTTGTACGGTCACATCTTGTTCAGTACCCTCAGGTTTCTCAGCTTCGACTGTACCATTACAATAAAGCCCTCCTGAGGAAGAAGAGGAGGAAGTGGATGGAGGGCAGGACAAAGATTCTGATACAGAAAAATCTGGAGATGGGGAAATAGCATTTATATCTGCACCTACATCACAGCCATTTAGTATCTCATCATAACTATCATCATAATCCACGGCACACACCCTCTGCAGTGACTTCTGGCGAAGCGGCACAGTATTCCATTTCTCTCTGCCTCCTAATCTGCCAGGCACTGGAGACAGGCTTCCTCCCTGCAGGTTGGCAAAACGTGGTTGCCCTCTCATGCGAATTTCCATGGCCAAGAGTTCCTCATCACTCTCTTCCCAACTTTCCCGCTCTCCCTTCTCAGTATCGCACTCCTCATCCCAACTGTCCTCACCGCTGGAAAATTCTGGGTAACAAAAACGCCCACCATCTCTTGAAATGACTGCCCCCTCTTCTCCACTCATCGCCACTCGTTTCTCATTCCGCTTTGCTCCCCTTCCTTCATGATGGCTTCCAGAAAGACAGCTGGCTGATGGTTTTCTCTCCAAGGAGCGTCTGTAGCACTGATTGATCCTGCATAAAAATGTTTCTCGGGCTGTGCCTTCTGGGGGTGGTAAAGGAGCAGACGGGCTCCCCAAACCTGCTATTTCCTTCAGAACTTCAGTAAGACCACTGTTGTCCATGTGATTGTTATTGGTCACCAAGTGTTCTCCACCTGTGTTGTTATTTGCTTGATCATCAATACATGTGACTGAAGGTGCCTGGTTTTGGTTCCGAGCTGTTACGGGGGGAAGCGGTACCCTAGCTTGCCCCTGTGTATGGTGGCCCACCGGTCCATCTACTGCCATCATAGTGGGCTTGACAGCAATGGTGGGCTTCTTGGCCACTGGGGGTCTGAATCCAGTTGTGGTACGGGGCCTTTGATTGGTGTTGACTTTGGCATGATGAGCCCGATAGGGAGGAGGTGGTGGTGGCGGAGGCGGAGGCTGTCCAGAATTTCCCCTGCCAAGAGCTGCCAGCTGGTGTTGTCCTTTGGGCTGAAAACAGTTTTTGCATTCTCCTGGTTTCCAAACATGCTCTGTGAATGAGCCGCAGGCCGACATGATGGAAGGAGCTGTAAAGCATGGCACCGGGGCACACAGATGAGCCTTTTCCCCTAAATCAAGTCGTCACAGGACACCGGTCAGGATCATCGTCACACATCCAGAGTTACAACAGCCACTTCAAATAACTGTAGGGAAAAATAAAAGAGAGGGTTAAAGTCCAAAAAAATTATACAGGTAAAAAGGTGCATTTAATTTTTAAATTCTTTGTTTTGTTCTACAGAGTAATTATAATCTAGATGGAAGCAATAAAGGAATGTTCAGAGATGAATTTAAGTACTGTCTGTCACTTTCTTCCCGCTGAATAACGCACATGCGCAGTGGAATTACTGCTCAAATGCACATAAACTACTATGGGGGTAAGAACGTCAGATAGGCACCAAGCAATGCTCCTCTTAAAAATTATCTACAATATTGGTAAAGGCAGAGGAGCAGCCCTGGCGTTCTTTTAGAAATGCCTTTTAGAGTTTGTAACTTTCTTTCTATTAGTTACCTATATTGAAATGTTTGAAGTTTAATGGAAAAGGAAAAGATACAAATGTTTTCCTTTAACCCCTTAATGACTGAGCCAAATGTACATGTTTTGCTCAAAATAAAACGTAAACTAAACTTGGAATTTGACTATATGTATGTTCAACCTTAATTCCCCTCTTTCATATTAAATGCACCCACACTTATTATATATCATTTTATTCAGGAGAAATAGGGCTTTCATTTAACATCAAATATTTAGCTATGAAACATAATTTAATATGAATAAAATATAAAAAAAAAAAAAATTGAGAAATGTTGTTATTTTTTTTAGTTCTGCATGACATTTTAACTGTGAATGTCATAATACTGTTTGCTTTTACTGCAATAAAATACACATATTTGTATTCAGCAATGTCTTACGTGTAAAACAGTACGCCTTACATACAGGTTATATGGTGTTTTGGGAAGTTACAGGGTCAAATATAGTATATTACATTTTTCAGTTTTTTCACATTGAAATTCGCCAGATTGGTTACGTTGCCTTTGAGATCTATATTATATATTTAATTAATATCATTCTACGTGTACTTTGATATTAATATATAAAATCCAAAACATGATTTTATATATATATATATATATATATATATATATATATACATACATATATATGATCTAAGTATCTCTATGAGGACATGCTGATTGGCGCAGCGTTTTGCTGCGCATGTGCAATAGCCTCCAATGCCTGGATTGGCTACGATCATCAACTTTGTTTATCTCAGCCACAGAGGCGGAGCCAGCTGCTGTGAGATCGGCACGGTGTTGGAAAAAATGTGAGTATTACTACTCTGACACTGGGCCGGGTACCTAAATAGTGGGTTTAACACTATAGTGTCAGAAATACAATTGTGTTCCTGACACTATAGTGTTCCTTTCAGCACAATTGTAAGCTCAATTTTCTTTTAGAAGGCGGCTGTTGATCAGATATGCACTAAACATTTAATTAAAATAAAAAATAAAGAAAGTATTGCCGCATTAATGTCACAATGACCTCACTTTCTTGCCAAAAGGTGAAATTCCAAAGCTTTCAGTTGAGCAGTGGGACCTTCTAACTGACTCATTAGCTTGTGCAACATTATTAAATCCCTGAAAAATTTGAAGCTAAGCAAATCCCCATGCCCTGATGGTCTCTCTGGTCAATTTGAGACAACACAATAGTACATCACCTGACAGAAGATTGCTAATTACTTGCATCAATCCATCGGAATCCCAGAGGAGCTTAAATTGCTCTGCATTATACTATTACTGAGAAGGGCACAGGCCTTCCATTACACACAGACTGATTCAGTGTTCAGGAAGAAGTTTGAGAGATTGTAAACAGAATTCTATCTGAAATACTTTTACAGAAAAAAAAGAAAGTCTTTTCCTCGACTGGATCTAGTCAGTGGTAATTTTGACAGCAAATTTCAATTTAGTTTTAGTCATAGTCTTTTGACTAAAAAAAGCCCTTTTAGTTTTAGTCATATTTTAGTCATCTGAACTGTTTTAGTTTTAGACGACTAAATCTCCAGTAGATTTTAGTTGACACGCCTAAAATCTAATTAGTTTAGTTAAAGCCTGTGTCTCTTTTGCCCCTTCCCAAGCCCCTCTGTGTCTCTTTGTGTCCCCGCAGCATCTTTAGTTGTCTCTCTCCCAAGCCATGGTCTGTCTCTATTGCCCCATTCAACAGCCCCTGTGTTCTTTTTTTTTTTAATTTTTGGTGGAAAAGTTCCATTTAGTTTTAATCACAGTCTTTTGACTAAAAAGCTATCGTAGTTTTAGTTGTATTTAGTCATCTGAAAATGGGCTTGAATTTTAAAACATAGTCTAGTTTTAACAGAGAAAGTAATGAGGAGAGCTCCTCGTGAAGCCGGGATAGTTCTCCTCGCCACTACTACCCCCCCCCTCCCCCCCCCCGATAAATCTCAAATAATATTGGCTTAAAAACTGACAACGTTTATTGAAACAAAAATAATAATAGTAATGTTTATAAAAAAAAACACATAACCAAAAAAAGCACCCATTCACCCTAAATAGTGAACAGTTAAAACATAAAGACTAGAGACTACAGATCTAGCTGGTAAAGTATTCAGGCAGATTGCTTGTATAGGCAAGTATATAACAATGTGTCAGAACAGTGTCATTTTTATATAGTTGCATGAGACAACTGAATACAGTTGCAAAAAGTGTATACCAAAAAAGTCCAGCCTGTTGATAGTTAATTACAGCCAAAAAACAGCAATAAGCCTTCCCCTAATGGGTTAAAATAGGGAAAACTGAACTTAAGTAACCTCTTCAATAAAGATCCCTGATATAGGGAAAGATGGACTTAGGTAGCCTCTTAAAAAAAAAATCCCCGATTTGGATATCAGTTTCCAACAGCGAAAAAAACTCCTTGTATTAAATCTAGCAGAAGTTAAATCGAAAGGATAGGGAGATAAGAGGTAGAAGAAACAAATAGATTGAAGAAAATGCTGTCTAGACAGGGTCCAGTATAGAAAAAAGGGCTCTGTCACCACACAAGCTTATATCCCTATAGTATATAGAGAGACCGCAAAAATAGAAGATCTCTCAATAGGGGATATCCAGCAGGCTGTAGTCTCGGTCAAAAAACAGCCAAAATCATCATGTCATTACTAAGTAGTCAAAAAGTATACATGTCATAACTAAGTAGTGAAAAAAAGTATAAACACAAGTCGCCCAATAGTCTAGTTTTAGTCGACAAAATCTCAAATATTTTAGTTGACTAAAATTGTTAGTCGACAATATTACACTGGATCTAGTCATTTCAGTTACCTACATTAAATACATTGAGAAAGGTAAAAATGAAACCGAACCAAAACATGGACGCAATTCGATTCAGCAGTTCATTTTCTGACTGATGTCCCCTTTTGCCACTGCCTATCAGAAGTGCTTTAGATCTTTTCTTCGATATTGTTTCATATAAGTCTGTTGAGAACAGTACAATTCACGGTGTTCACATAAAAATGGTTACAATTGGATAATACATGGTATAGTTTCAGGACCATCCATTTTGACTTCGTCATGGTGTTATGTAATAATTATGTATTAAACCCTATCACTCACTGACCAGTCCCCTATCATGTCTGCTTAAAAGATTCACAGATACTTCCTCCTAGGGATCTTCAGATGTTAATTTAAATTTCAAGCCCATTTTCAGAACATCCTTCAGTAATCAGCCTCCGATATGTAGGTCTTCAACTCTTTTCTATAAACCATGTCTGCCATACTCAATGATGATGCCAGAGCAATGGAGATGAAGGTTCGAACCAAGAAAGCTAACAGAGGAATGCAGGCGTATGGGGTATTTTGCATGAGCCCCCAGTATACATTGTAACATTGATACCATATGAGCTCAATGACAGAACAACAAGTTGGCGTCTAACTAGAGCATACTGAGGTAGGCGTGGACCAGTTAGCTTGTTAAGGAAGGAGCGTTCCTGTTTTTGTGTTGTTTCTAACAATAGGGGGCAAACGTGAAATGAAGCCATAAGTGAACGGATAGTAACAGTAGCCACACTTGGCAACAATAAAGATAATTGAATACTGGTTTTGGCACTTATTCATGATAGTAAATTGGAGGAAACCGCACTCACCAGGCTACCACGGTGCACCAAATCGGGGGCAGGCCAGACCCCACATGGAATGTGAAAAATAAAGTGATGGTTAAGGCACTCAAGTAGATAACAGAACAGCAGCTTCATCGGAGCAAACACACAGCAATGTTTTGACCCGACCGGGTCTTTTGTCAAACTTGGAACATCACTTTATTTTGGCACTTATTCATGACCTGTTTCCTGACTTAATCTGCTGCCACTTGTGCAATATTATCAAATCAAAATCTGAGTAAGTATTTATCTCCCACTGAAGATGAGTGCCAAGACTGTCTGGAAGTACTTCCTGCTCTGGATAGAGCTCACTACAGAGACTGCAAATGCTGGGGAATAACAGCAAACATAGCATTGTTTTGTTTTTGTTTTTTAGAAATTTGTGATACATTATCTATAGAATACAATCGAGGTACAGAACACTGGTGAGACGTCACTTGGAGTATTGTACGCAGTACTGGAGACCGTATCTTCAGAAGGATATTGATACTTTAGAGAAGGGCTACTAAACTGGTTCATGGATTGCAGGATAAAACATACCAGGACACTCTTGGCAAGGGTGCTTAGGCCACGTCCGAGACGTGGCCATATCACCTCTATCAGACATCCTGACGGCTCCGTCAAGACCTTGCCGGTCGAGGTCGCAGAGGTATTCACTGACTTTTACAAGTCCCTCTATAACCATTCCCCAAGAACGCCCCCACAGGTAGCGACAGATATAGAACACACAAATAGATTCCTCTCCGGGCTGGAGCTCCCCAAACTTTCGCAAGAGGCGCGCTCCAGGCTGGCAGGGGAAATCTTGCCGGAGGAGGTGGACCGGGATTGGATCTCGGAATTGAAGGGGAATAAGGCTCCCGGACCAGATGGGTACGACGGGGCCTATTATAAGACGTTCCGTGAGGAGCTGACGCCCCAACTGACGACCCTATTTAATACCTTTAGGGACGGGGGGACGCCTAACCAGGATATGTCCTTAGCTACCATCATCTTATTACCTAAACCCGATAAAGACCCACTTCTCCCTGAGAGTTACCGCCCCATATCCCTTATTAATCACGACATGAAGATACTAGCGAAAATACAGGCGACGAGACTTAACCCATACCTGACTGAACTAGTCGACGCTGACCAGGTCGGTTTTATTCCAGGAAGGCAACTTTTTGAGAATACTCGCAGAAATATTGACCTTATCTGGAAACAGGTGACTACTAAGACCCCGACTCTATTACTCTCCCTCGATGCTGAAAAAGCATTCGATAGGGTCCAGTGGCCATATCTGTTTACGCTCCTGTCCCACCTAGGATTCCCTGAGCAATCACTAACGCTAATAAAAGCTATGTACGCGAACATATCTGCCCAGGTCAAAATAACGGGCGCCCCGCTACGCCCGTTTAAGCTTCATAATGGGACAAGGCAGGGTTGCCCTCTCTCCCCTTTACTGTTCGTGCTGTCGCTGGAGCCCTTGCTCCAGGCGTTGCGACGACATCCAGATATTCAGGGGGTTAAAGCGGGAGGACGGGAGTTCCTGGTTTCGGCCTATGCGGATGACGTGCTCCTGACGGTCACCAGCCCCATGGGCTTACTGGGGGCCCTTCATACTGTACTGCGGGAGTATGGACAGATAGCGGGCTATAAAATAAAGACAATAAATCTTATTTATTATCTTGTTTTATAGGGTTTGAGGGATTCCCTTTTTAAGGTTGCTGCAATAAGTTATTTAGCGCTGTCTCATCTCTCTTATTTACTATTAAGATAGCGGGCTATGGTGCAAATATGGTGAAATCAAGTGCTTTGCCGATTAACATCAGTGGGGGTGAGGCAGACGCCATACGCAATACCTATGGCATAAATGTAGTGCACCAATCGTTTAAGTATCTGGGGATACGCCTGACGGCGAACCCAGAGCAGCTATACAGTCAAAACTACACACCACTATTTAAGAAGCTCATAAAGGAGCTAGAGACGTGGTCAGATAGACCGATCTCATGGATGGGACGAATCCATGAGGTCAAAATGAACCTTTTGCCCAGGCTCCTATTTCTTTTTCAGACCCTGCCCCTCCGTGTGTCTAAGACGCAATTACTCCCACTGCAAAGAGCAATTGGGACCTTTATATGGAATTCAAAATGGCACAGGATATCGAGATACATTCTATATAGGACAAAAGACAGGGGGGGTTTGGGCCTTCCCAGCTTACATGCCTAATATCTGGCGAGCCAATTAGCTCAGGTCGCTATGTGGCACTCACCCCCAGGAGAGAGAAAATGGGTGGACTTGGAGTCTCTTATGGTGGGGGCGGACCTTCCACAGTTACTCATGTGGGTGCCTAAGGCACACAGACCCCAAATTGGAGTCACGTGCCCGGCTATTCTTAACTCCATGCGGTTGTGGGATAGTGCGGCTTCTGTGTACGGCTTGGCCTCGACTCCTTCCCCTCTCATGCCATTTTTGCGTAACAAAGAATTTCTCCCGGGCATGGCGGCCAGGAACTACCGTAACTTAGAGAGAGTAGGGCTCCAGCGCATTTGCCACCTCTTTAAGGGTGGGGAGTTTATTTCGTTTGAGTCCCTGAGACAATTAGGCCATCTTACCCCAGCGGATTTTTTCCGCTATCTACAGATCAAAGATTACGCAATACACCCACACATTCAAGCAGCAGCGCAACAGAAAATGACATTCTTTGAGGGCATATGCCTCCAGGAACGTATGCCTAAGGGCTTGATCACGCTCCTTTATAAGCATCTTTGTACCGAGACTAAAGAGTGGGACACCGCACATACATAACGCAATGGGAAAGGGATCTAGGGGAACAACTGGAGGGGGTGGAGTGGCAGGAAATATGGGAGGCCAATCATTCCTCTTCGGTTTGTGTTACCATGCAGGAACAGTCGGTAAAAACGATGCTTCGGTGGTATACCACCCCTGTTCAACTGTACCACATGAGGAAGACCCCCACGGACCTGTGCTGGAGGGGGTGCGGGGCCAAGGGTACCTATAAGCATATGTGGTGGGAATGCCCAGAGATACGTACATTTTGGAAGCAAGTTAGGGAGGTGATCACTCAGGTTTTTTCCAGGGCCCCGGAATTAGACCCGTGGGTCTACCTACTGAGCAGGACGATAGAAGAGTGGACCCGTAGGGAACAGAAACTCCTGCATAAAATTACCCTGGCATCAAGGAGAGCCATTGCGGCAAATTGGTTGAAACAGACGGCCCCAACGATTGGTGGAGTGCTGTATAGAATTCGGGAAGTGCATCTTATGGACGACTTGACAGCTCGAATACGAGACACCCTACCGGCCTTTCAGAGGGTCTGGGAGCCATGGGAGAGCTCCCCCGCCTCCCCTCTTTTCTTCCTTCTCTTTTTCTTCTCTGTTTCTTTGCGATCCTACTCCTCTCTCTTGCGATTCTGGTTTCCATCGGAAGATTAGGTTAGTCACCATAGGCCCACTATAGATAGTGTAGGCAAAAGGTTCTGGTGTGCCCAAATTGGGGACTTGGGGAGGGACATAGCAAACTACACAGTCATTTACTCCAAAAAGCAAGACGACCGGTTGGTAGGTGAATAGTGGAGTTCTTATCTTCATCTGCCGGGCTGTTATAGGGAGGTCGACAGGACAGAGGACGGAACTTGGCCCAAGGAATAGCGTTCCTCCTCGGGGGGGTCGATGGGGGTAGGGATGGAATGGGGGTTCAGAGGCCTGGGGTGACTAGGTGATGGATTTAGGAGGAGGATGGGGTCAATTTCATTCTTTCTGGTTTATTACTGTTAAGTTGGACTTCTGAGTAATGTGGTGTTGACATGGGAAGGGACTGCTAAAGAGCTGAGGGGACACACATACAAGCCAAAACTCTGAGCAAAGTGCACGACCATGGGACTGGGCTCGAGGAGCGGGAGCTGGGGGACTGTGGTCGGGGCCCGGGCCTTGGGGTTTTTTCTGTTTTTCTTTTTTCATTAGCAATGTAATCAGCAGGAAAATGGGGAATATATGTGCGGCAGTTTGCTTGTTATGTCATTGCCAAATGTTAAATAAAGAATTTTTTTTTTTAAAAACATACCAGGAAAGGTTAAAGGATCTTAACATGTACAGCTTGGAGGAAAGACGAGACAGGGGGGTTATGATAGAAACATTTAAATACATAAAGGGAATCAACACAGTAAAGGAAGAGGCTATATTTAAAAGAAGAAAAACTACCACAACAAGAGGACATAGTCTTACATTAGAGGGGCAAAGGTTTAAAAATAATATCAGGAAGTATTACTTTACTGAGAGGCTAGTGGATGCATGGAATAGCCTTCCAGCTGAAGTGGTAGATGTTAACACAGTAAAGGAGTTTAAGCATGCGTGGGATAGGCATAAGGCTATCCTAGCTATAAGATAAGGCAAGGGACTAATGAAAGTATTTAGAAATGAATGGGTAGACGAGATGGCCCAAATGGTTCTTATCTGCCGTCACATTCTATGTTTCTATGATGTGGGAATGAACCTAAGCCCATAGAGTCCCCTAGATAGCATCCTGAATGTTACAGAATACAATTGTGATGTTGTAAACATAAGGCATACTGTAACTTACTATAACTTTACTTTAAAAGATGATAAGGACTCTGAGAATGGTACTCTGTGTGTTTTATTAGTTTTCTTGATAACATGATAGCCATATTCGACTATAATCTTGGGTTAAGTTAGGGACACAATGAGCCCAGAGTTTTCTTTTAATTTAATATTCTGTAGTTATGCCAAATTGGGATTAGTCAGAAAGGCAGTAAATCCCTTTATTATTATTTATTATTAAATTATGATCTACTTAATTACACGGTTTCATATAATCACAGTTAAAGCACTTACTATGCAGAGTCTTGTGTCACTGAGAATGAACTTGTGACATCATCAGAAAGTCAGTAAATAACTCAAGCGTGAATGTTGCGCACAAAGGGAGCACTTGTGAACCAACAACCACTAGTTTGAGAAGAACATGTCCAAGAAATGCCCAGGCCTATTGCACAGAAGCTTGTAAGGCAGCTAGTATATCATACAATGGAAAGCAGCCAGATGCTATGCACCATTTGTCTTCGAAAAGCTAAAAAAATATTTCTGGGAAACTAATGAATATAAAGCAGATTCACAAAAACACTTTGACTTGATTGTTTCTATAAACCCCTTATAAAACTACATGAACCATTCCTTCCATGGTGCGGTAAACGATAATGTGTCTTCACAACACTCATGCATGGTAATTTGCATGGTATGCCAGCTGTGCCTTGACAGCCTGGCATATGATTTAAAATAGAAATAAAACACTAAAAATAGCACTACTCGTTGTTAGCTACTGGATTATATCAAACAAATACCTCTTAACCGTTTTGAAGTTGCCTAGACAGTACCAATTTTGGGACCATATTCCATCATGATGGATTGGTTTTCTGGTGTTTTCACTCCTTGAGATACATCTTCATAGATGTCAGTGCAAGCACATCACGGCTTAGAATATCCACTGTTCACTAACCATTGGCAAGTGAAAATTTAGCCCATGTGAGTAGAAACTGACCACTGGTAAATATGCCATGGACTCTTCAAACTTAAAGTGGTAAGTAACTTTTAAGGACTGGGTAGGAGTGTAGAACATGAAGCTTAAAGGAACACTATAGCGTTAGGAATACAAACATATTCCTAATGCTATAGTGTTCCTTTAAGCTTCAAGGTGAGTGCTAAAAATTGATTAAGTGACCTCCACCCTTCCCATGTAATTTAAAAATTTATTTTACTAATCACTAAGCCCACCGTTCTGCCACCCAGTCTCCCTATCTGAGATCATTATGATTGATGATCTCAGCCAATCCAATGCTTCCCCATAAGGAAACATTGGGGTGTTAGCGTGCATGCAGGAAAAAGCAATAAGCTGTGCTAATCAAATGCTCGCATTGACCGACATTTAAATGCGAACTAAGCCTTAATTGGTTCTCTCAGGGTAAGCCCCTCTAGTGGGTTTCAGGAAACCAGCCACTACAGGTGTATTTTACCCTGCAATGAAAACATTGCAGTGCTATTTCTGAGAAACTGATCAAGCCACTGACAAGTTCAGGTCAAAATCTATTCAGTGACTGAATCTATTTTACATCCGCCATTAAAATTCAAAGTATGCTGAGGCCATACCATAGGTGTGGATCCACTGCTTCTCTTTGATACGTATAGGGTTCAATAGTTCTCATAGAGAAGCAGTGGATTGGTGAATCGTGACAATCTCTATGAGAAGCATTTCATTGGACATCAATCCTAAATCTTAACGATCTCACAGTAGGAGGATCGAGTTTCAGAGAGGAGTCTCACCAAGAACTCAAGTCCCACCAAGAAAGCTCAATGGTAATTTAATGGTGGCTCAGTAATTTAAACTCATAAAAGAACACATTAATTTTTTTTTTAATTAGTGTGTTCCTTTTTACTGAGCAAAGTTAAAGCATGGGCAGCCCTGAGGAAGGGTTAACTGGAAGGAACGCTAGTCATTTGTGTGTGCATATATGCCTTTTCCAAGAAGCAGCTTTTTAGGAATATAAGAGCTGCTGGGTGGACAAAAGAAAATAAATAAATTAAAACTAAATTAAAAAAATACTGTGATTGGTTGCTTGTTTTATTCAACCAATCAGAATACAGATGGAATTCAAATCATGGTCAGAGACCAACAAAAATCTATGTATGAGGATAACTAAAATGTCAGACGGCTGGTTGATGCATATTGCAGACTTCCTGGAGTGGTACAAGAAAGAGTTCTGAATCCTGAGGACGTGGCAGGTTCTGGACCTGAACATGTGGAACTGTTTTACAGACGTCACCGTCTACTGAAACTATTTTTATACATTGTTTATGATAGAATTCTTAAATTATAATTGCATCAAGTTTTATTTCTGGTCCAGCTGTCATTGTGACAGCAAGAATGTTACACACAGATACTAATGAAATCACTTTTCTTACAGAAACACATTTATACATCTCCCGGTATCTCATTTTCCTCTGGTTTCACAGAGTCACTTTAAGTATCACAACAACTTTCCATCATCATGAAGCTTACAGTTCAAATAGTAAGAGGCTTATAACTGAAAGGATTTCCAAAAATCACTGCAGTTATAATCCAGCCCCTGGCCCCTGCTGGAAAAGGAGGAAATTTACTTCCTGCATTACTGTCTAAAATCCATCCAAGTTATGAGTGTCTCTCTCTTCTCCTCCTTGCAGCTTTGTTGATACCTCAAGAGATACTCAAAGCACCATAGCCCTAGAATTCACTGTAAATATATAGAACACAATATATTTGTATTTAATTCACAGAGCTGTTAGGTGTGCATGCAAACAGGTCAAAAATAGTATTTATGCAAGAAAGATACAATTTCATTCTTGGGTCTTGTGGCCATTATTGTCTAAAATACTGATACTCATTTTATTGGCCTTGAAAGGAGGAATGTCTGAGTGAAATATAAATTATTTTTCAATTCAGCTAATTAGGCTTGACATTTGCAACCCTCTGGTCATTCCTGCAGTTCCAGTTTTAGTAAATATTCTTGTTAGAGATTACTGGCATGAAATCCATTTATATAAACGGATTCGTATAAATTTATTTAAACTTATAAAATCCATTTAAATAATCATTTCCCTTTTATAGATAATTTGTTTCTAAAGAAAACAATCCTAATATGTTATGAATAGAATATTCCAACACCCCATTTGTCTATTTAGCTGAATATCAGTGGACCCTCCAAAAATCCCAAAATGTGCTTGCTTTTATGGTTGTCGCAAGCATTTAGTAACAAGTCAGTAATGCCTGTCGCTGTCGTTAATGATGACCAGTTGTTAACCTGTCACAAAGGTTTAGTGACAGGTAATTAGTGGCAGCTAAAAGTTTTAAAGGACCACTATAGGCACCCAGACCACTTCAGCTTAATGAATTGGTCTGGGTGCCTGGTCCAACTAGCTATGTTTATAAATGGGTTAATCCAGCCTCTAGTGGCTGTCTCATTGACAGCCGCTTGTGGGTTTCTGCGCTTCTCACTGTGAAAATCACAGTGAGAAGACGCCAGCGTCCATGGGAAAGAATTGTGAATGCTTTCCTATGGAATGGCTGAATGCACGCGCGGCTCCTGCCGCGCATGCGCATTCAGCCGAAGAGGAGGAGAGGAGGCGGAGAGGAGGATGAGAGCTCCCCACCCGGCGCTGGAGAAAGAGGTAAGTTTAACCCCTTCCTCAACCCTCAGCGCCACGAGTATGTTTTTCTGGCACTATAGTGGTCATTTAACTCCCACAGAGAACAACAGGAGACACCAAATGCTAACTAATGTCTGGTTTCTAGCTACCTCACCTAGGTGTAAAGTGGAAAGGAAAAGTTAATACATGTGCTTTCAATACAGCATGCATTAAAAATATATATATATATATTTATTTCATATTTAAGTATAATTGAACACTAAACGCTACATATGAGCATGGTGTACATAAATTACAATAAATACAATTTAAAAGTTTGGTAAGTCAGGTGTATGGAAACAAGAAGGGCAACTTGCACAGACAACTGTAGGTTGTCTTTTATTGTGTCCTGGTGGAGATGCTATGACAATATATGGGACATTTTATCTTCTTCAGGAGGTATATATATATATAAAAAAAACGTAAATGTTGTAGTCCACATCTCCACATCCGGAGTGTCGAAGGTTGTCTACTCTTGCAGTAATTGGTAGTCAGTAACAGTGGAGATGGATATAAGTATTGTGCAGACATTAAAGGGACACTATAGTCACCCAAACAACATTAGCTTAAAGAAGCAGTTTTGGTGTAAAGATCATGCCCCTGCAGCCTCACTGCTCAATTCTTCCTTTAGGAGTTAAATCACTTTGTTTATGCAACCCTAGCCACACCTCCCTGCATGTGACTTGCACAGCCTTCCTAAACAATTCCTGTAAAAAGTCATCTAATGTTTACACTTCCTTTATTGCAAATTCTATTTAATTTAGACTTTTTTATCCCTGCAGGAGCCCCATGTGTGTAATTAAAGTTCAATTTACAAAGCAGGAGATAAAAACTTTTAAAGTAAGTTACATCTGATTGAAAACGAAACCAATTTTTGTTTTCAGGCAGGCTGAGTAAGTCACAACCAGGGGTGATTTGGCGAGGGCGGCATGGACAGAAAAAAAAGTGATTTAACTCCTAAATTGCAGAGAAGTGAGCAGTGAGACTTCAGAGGCATGATCTATACTGTACACAAAAAAACTGCTTTATTAAGCAAAAGTTGTTTTGATGACTATAGTGTCCCTTTAAACACAAGTAATGACCATGCATACTGGTCCATATTCTTTTTGCCGCAAAACATCTAACAGCCGTTGGCATTTACAGTGCTTTACAGTTGCTTTTCACTGACAAGAATGGAAACGCGTTAACAACTGCTACAAAAATCCATGCCATATCATTACATGGAAACTACAGTTTGTAATGCACATTTATGATGACATCTGCCAATTACTTAATGGTCCATAACTACATACAACTTTTTTATTTTTAGGCAACTGATTTCGAAAAATAGGCTATGCACTTAAAACACCAGTGCGTTTCACATTCTGCTTGCTGCCAGAAACATTTGAAAGCTGATTAAACTTGAGTGACGCTGTAATAGCAATGCATTAAGATGAGAACAGCATCTTTATAGATCCATTAAAAGCAGTTTAAATTGATGTCATTAAGGCTCTGGTTGGGGGAGTTTAGATTTAGGCTAGGGGGTGTAGAATTAAGCAAAATTCCTAATCTCTAATTATAACTTGCACTACTTTTTAATCAGCATTATAAAGTTGCTGCAATGACACTAACCTTTATAATGTTCACATTTTAGAGAAAATACTAAATAGTAGCTTCAATGACTACATCGCAGTACTAAGCAGCAAGTGGCTAATGATTTTGTATTGAGGTGGCAACCAAAGTTGCAATTTAAGAACGATAAACAGCCTTTCTGCATGGGAAGTATATACATGGTAAATCAGATTTTAAGCTCGGAACCGCTGAAAGCTGGGGACCACTGTACATTATGGGGAGCATGTGGCCAGTGTGCCTTCCAATTGGCAGCGGCCTGAACAGCACTGACTGCAAATGTGCCAAGAGCCCATTGACTCAGCTATATCGCGAAACACATACATCGTGAGGAGCATGACGCCTACCTCGCACACTGCTAAAACTGACATTATACAATATGTATAAATGGAGGAGCCAACAACCCCCTCAAACAAAGTTCTGGCCAATCTCTTCATCTCGAAAGGTATAAGAGAAAGATGTACCAGACTCCCTCTCACTAGCTGTGCAATGTATTCAGAACAAAAATACAGCGTAATACAACAGTGCCAGTATTCTCTACACACAACTCCAGCACAGCTCCGGCATCCTGCTCCCACTCATTATTTGTCCATCGCTCTCTATATAAGCACACTATGCCATCCTGCTCCCACTCATTATTTGTCCTTCTCACTCTCTATATAATGACACTATGCCATCCTGCTCACACTCATTATTTGTCCATCGTGTGCTCTATATAAGCACACTATGCCATCCTACTCCCAGTCATTATTTGTTCATCGCGCTCTCTATATAAGCACACTATGCCATCCTGCTCCCACTCATTATTTGTCCATCGCTCTCTATATAAGCACACTATGCCATCCTGATCCCAGTCATTATTTGTCCATCGCTCTCTGTATAAGCACACTATGCCATCCTGCTCCCAGTCATTATTTGTCCTTCTCACTCTCTATATAAGCACACTATGCCATCCTGCTCCCAGTCATTATTTGTCCATCGCTCTCTATATAAGCACACTATGCCATCCTGCTCCTAGTCATTATTTGTCCTTCTCACTCTCTATATAAGCACACTATGCCATCCTGCTCCCAGTCATTATTTGTCCATCGCGCTCTCTATATAAGGACACTATGCCATCCTGCATAGTCATTATTTGTTCATCACGCTCTCTATATAAGCACACTATGCCATCCTGCTCACACTCATTATTTGTCCATCGCGCTCTCTATATAAGCACACTATGCCATCCTGCTCCCGCTCATCATTTGTCCATCGTGCGCTCTATATAAGCACACTATGCCATCCTACTCCCAGTCATTATTTGTTCATCACGCTCTCTATATAAGCACACTATGCCATCCTGATCCCAGTCATTATTTGTCCATCACGCTCTCTGTATAAGCACACTATGCCATCCTGCTCCTAGTCATTATTTGTCCTTCTCACTCTCTATATAAGCACACTATGCCATCCTGCTCCCAGTCATTATTTGTCCATCGCGCTCTCTATATAAGGACACTATGCCATCCTGCTCCCAGTCATTATTTGTCCTTCTCACTCTATATAAGCACACTATGCCATCCTGCTCCCAGTCATTATTTGTCCATCGCGCTCTCTATATAAGAACACTATGCCATCCTGCTCCCACTCATTATTTGTCCATCGCGCTCTCTATATAAGGACGCTATGCCATCCTGCTCCCACTCATTATTTGTCCTTCTCACTCTCTCTATAACCACACTATGCCATCCTGCTCCTAGTCATTATTTGTCCTTCTCGCTCTTTATATAAGGACACTATACCATCCTGCTCCTAGTCATTATTTGTCCTTCTCATTCTCTATATAAGCACACTATGCCATCCTGCTCCCAGTCATTATTTGTCCATCGCGCTCTCTATATAAGGACGCTAGACAACGCCAAAATATCCTTGTCCTCCGAGATGCTCTGCAGCATCTTAACTTGCCTCCAGTTTCACCTAGTTTTCGCAGTGTGAGCCCTAGCACCCCCTTACTGCTCCATCCATTCCTATTTATGTTCATTAAGATTCCCTTCACGACAGCAAACAAGTAGCAACATAGTAATCACTCTGTTCATCATGTTCAAGTTGACAGCCTCCCAGAAAGCTCAGCAGATCCCCACCAATTCCATCTTTATTTAATTCCTGTCCATTGCAGCTTTGCCTCGTCAGCTGTTCTTTACTACGAATTTCCTTTCCATTCAGCGAGGAAGGAAGACATTAAGGGTCTGGACCAGGGAATAACCCTTCCACCTCTACGTCCTGCCTCTGAATCACACATGGGTGTGAATACGACAACTCCCCTGCCAGAGACCTTCAGACTATCACTACTTTGAATTAACCCTTATTTTGACGGAATTTAATCAACATTGCCCACTTAAAGCTCGCATTACAATGTATTTACATTTGTCTCAATAGGAAAACTTTAGGATATTTATTTAACCCCTTAAGGACACATGACGTGTGACATGTCATGATTCCCTTTTATTCCAGAAGTTTGGTCCTTAAGGGGTTTAACATCTAATACAGAGACAATAAGATACAGGAGTACTAACTGGGCTAACTCATGGTGGGACGCTCAGCAACTTGTTGCCCCTGGTGAAATGGAGAACTTCAGTCAATATTCGTCAAACATCTCCTGCTAATCAGTCTGCACCCTCATTAAAATATATATTTTTTTTTTGTTTGTTTTTTTTCAGGGGCAAACAGATGTTTTTTTTTAACTGTAAGCAAAAACCAATTACCAGGTGTACTAAAACAGGTCTAGTGCAGGTAATCTGTAGCCATACTTTTTTGGAAGATAAATCCTTTAGAAACACAAGTATTCCTTCCCTGTTAGAACAAGCATAGGAGTATATAACTTTTAGGATACATTGATATTTATACTAACCAACAATGGCTGGTATGAAACTAAGATAAGACAGAAATGTGCTGTGGTAGGGACACAATGTGCTCCTAATGGGCAGAACGACAATAACAATGGGCATTGCATTTTTTTTATTTTTTTTAAGACAACAGTTAAAAAACCCCAGAGAGAATGGCCCCAGGACCAGATTGATCCATGGCCAGTGAGTTGGCATGCTTACATATTAGCACCAGGTAAGATACCCAATAGAGACATCGTTAAAATTCTCTCCTGGTCCTGATTCACAGGCATCAGGACACATACCTATCAATCCTAACACAAAGACGTCAAAGGTAAGTACCTGTCTCTTGTTTTTAAAAGACATAAAGACACGTGTCTCATATCCTCGTAACAGGCAGAAATTAGGAAAAACTAGTTTTCTGTTTTACAAGACATTAAAACAGATACCTCGCCCTATTCTGTAATACACAGACACCAAAACACACACATTTATCCCATTCTCCTAATACTCAGAATCTATAGTCACCGTCTCCCAACAGCTCTATAATTAAATCTATAACATCGCTACAATGACTCTCCACCTTTTCATTTTGATATTTTTTAAAAAGAATTACACAACTAGTTGCTTCAATTACTTGGATTTCTGTACACAGTGCTGCACAGAAAGCAGCTTAGGGTTTTAGTAATCTGATGGGCACCTTAAAAAAAAGCTCAAATCGTGTGCCACATACCCATCACTACCACCTAATACACCAACCTCACTGAACTCTCCAAAGTCACATATGGTGTTATCATCCTAATAGACATGCATAGCGATCAATACCTGTCCTTTACTTGTAATACACAGATGGCAAAACGCAAACGTCTCCTATGCTCCTAAAACAAAGAAATGGGACACTATAATGTCACCATTTATACACTAATAGAAGTTATAACTCTAAAGCCAGATACACATACAGGGAACACATCTTCCCCATCATTCCAACACGTATATAATGAAACAGATATATAGCACCTACTCCGAGTAAAGATTAAAACAAGACAAAAACCAGCATACATAGAATCGTCCTCCCAACTACTCAATATAAACACAAGGCACATAGTTTGCACTCCCAGCATATTCCCTTTCTATAATATATGAACACATACCTCCCATCTAAAGTTAATGCACAGAAATCATTCATTGTGAGATCCTTTCCAAACATCAGAATATGATGGCACATTCCAAAGTAACATCTTGTGTCTCAAATAGGTCACAGGGGAAGCCATGCTCTCCCACTGCAGTACAAGTACTTGTATGGCATATCCTTGCAGTGACAGATGCCACGCAAGTCAACACATCTCTCCGACCAGCTCCTTCACAGTGTTTTGGCTGAGAATTATGGTAGTTGCAGTCAGCAACTGTGGTGTTTGTTAGGTTTTAGGTTATGAAGGGTAGGATTACAGGCCGGGATAAGCAAACAGGTTATCTGAGTTAATGATTGTTGGTCATGGGAACAATATTTAGAGAGCAAGGTTTAGTTGGATTAATAGTAAATTATTAGTTATTCAAGGGGTACTGGACATTGGAGGGTATTCCCAGAACTTTCTTAAACAGTATTGTAGCTTGCAACTAGCATCATGCAGATCCTAGCTAAGGATGACAGGCATTGCAGTCCACAGCATCTTAAGTGCTGCATGTTTACAATCACTGATGAGTTAAAGGGACACCATAGGCACTGTATCTGCTTCATCTCATTAAACTGGTTATAGTGTATGGAGTCCCCTGGTACCATCATTTCCTTCAGCATTAAACAGTTTTTAATGTTGTAATGTTTTAATGCTAAACAAGAGTCCACGGCAGTCTATCCCCTCTGTGCTGCTTTGGCTAATAAGGAAGTATTACCCTGAGAGGCAATGGGCAGCTGTGATTGGCTGAGAGTGTCAGCTGACTGCTTTTAACCTGTCAGAGCTCCAACTGACGGTATGAATGGGTATGACAACAAGGAAGTGTGTAATCTCTACCTTAGCTACACATACAGAAGGGGCCGGACTGTGGGTGGCCAGGGACTTTTATTTTGTGGCATACTGCACAAACATGGTGCAACACTGAATGGAGGGACAGTGCCAGGCCACTCCAGGCACTATAACCAATTCAAAGAGACTACAGTGTCCCTTTAAGGATTCAGTGGTCATCCACCGCATGTGTGTGAAACTCACAGGTAGAACGATAACACTGACATGTACTTACCTGCACTGGGCTACAGTGATAATCTGATATACAGTTTGCATAGCAATGTGCACTTACAAATGGCAATGATGCTGCTAAACCATTTATTGTAATGCATGTCTAAACAAATTCTCTCAAACATTGGTAAAACTATGTGTCCTCCCCAGCACAGACACATCCTGCAACTGGCAGTCTTTGGGAAAATGGGGGTTTATTCACTACATAGTGAGTTCTAGCAGACCGGAAATAAAATTGCTAAATTAAGGCAAAACATGCAGATTACATTTTTTTCAACTCAGATGTACAGCCTAGCTATTTAGACTAAATGTTACAATCCACTACATTTCAATGTTTAGCTAATAAACCTGGTAGTTTCATCTGGTTTAATTTAATACAGAGACATTATTCTTATATCTTCCCCTAGCCGACTATATCCAGTTCTTAGAACTTACCCTTCGCCTGCAAATTCACACCTACCAGGACACATACCCGTCAAACATTCTCCTATCAGATCAGGAACATACAGACATCACTTCTAACCACCCACTCCTACCTTACGCACAGACAGCTGGATATGTACTATGTACCTAATAGAATCGCATCTCTTACCAAGAAAAGCACATCTGGATACATTCATGTCATTCCAGACACCAGGATGCATTTTAGTCTCATCTTTGTTTAATAAATAACAAGGCGCACTCCTCCTAATGCAAATACACCAGAAATAGGGAGATTTTAACAGACACTGTACATTTCTGCCAGATCTACAAAGAACATGCCTGTTTACGTGTGCCTTGTATGTGACAACGGGCTACATTTTGTATGTCTGTGCGAGCATTACTGTCAACTGTGTCTCCTAAGTTTGATAGCGCGCAGCATGCTTCTGTGACAGAGCCCAGATTGTGATTCAGTGTGTGTGTCGGTCCAGCCTCTCAGTCTCTCAGGCCTGGGAAGAGTTACAGGAATGCTGGCTATGTCTAGGGGGTGAGACTGGGAGCAGGGAAAGTATGTGCTATTTACAGGACAATATGGGGGGGAGGAGGCTCACCACCCAGTAACAGATCCACAGAACATCTATTACTAAACTTTACATGGAGACAATTGTTCCATTACCCTCTCTCCCACGGCAGACACCTACAGAAAATCCCTCCATTAACCTTGCTCTGCCCGACAGACCCACACATAGACATGTCAGCCTTAAATTAACCCTTCACAGACCAGAGAACTACAGTGCATTGCTCCATTAATCACCTCCACCCCAGTGCCCAATATTTCTATTTATCATTGCATTATCAAGCCACCCCCTGTTTCACTTACAAAGCATTGCTTCATTAACCCTTTCACTGCCTGGCCCTGCATTGTTTCCAAATGCCATCATTTGTCTCCCCTGCCCCCCCTCCTCGTATAAATCCTTTTCAAACAAGGCACTCACCAACATATGTCGCGTTTAGCAGATCTGTCTCTGATGAGCGTTGAGGATGCACTGCAATGTTGAATATGCATGTAAGAGAGCTATCTCTGTGTGATACAAATGTGTGTGCCAGAACGGTCTGTGTGTGACATCTGTGCCTGACAGTTGTGTGTGATTCTGCCTCCGGAGTCTCAGTGATTCTGGGAGACCTCTGTGTGTCAGGGTGCTGTATGGTGCAGGCTGTGTTGTGTGTCAGATCCGTGCTGCGTGTGATTTGTGTATGGCCTGTCTGTGTGTGTCTGAGTGCCAGTGTGCGTGTGTGTGTCTGTCTCTCACTTTCTCTGTCTATCTGGTTCTCCCCCTGCAGGCAATGTTCAGACTAGCAAGCAAGCCATTTCCTGAAGGAGGAAGGCACACATTTCTACCTCATACACACATGTATAATAACACTGATGCACAGACATTGCAAAACAAGAATAGCACAAAAATGCACCGATTGCAGAAACACATTATTCCAACACTGATAGGCATAGCTACAATGTTATACACTGTGAGGCAGCTACATACAAAATGTTAATGTGAGATTTCTACAGACAGGTGCAATGTTAGGGGACAGCTGCGTGATACTCACAGAGATCCCCCATCTGCTATCCTTTGCAGGGTGTAACTTCAAACCCATCATCCTTATCCAAAATCTTTTATTCATCCCCCTCCCCACCCCCATTCTTCTTCCTTCATCAACCTCTGCTACCCCTGCACTTACTACACCTCACACATAGCAGTCACTACACCATTCTCAGTAGATCTCTCTCTCTTGTAATGACAGTCACATAAGCATCGCTATTATTCTATAGCTTTTTTTTTTTTTTTTTATCATTCTTTCACATAGCTTTCAATAACATTCCTGAACTGAAACAGGAAAAATAGCACACCCTTTGAAACCAGGATGCATCTGCAGAATTGCAAATCATGGGATTTACAAAACAGACAGAACCCCTGACTCAGCATTCAGTGCCCGCACTCTTAGAGTTGTCAGTGGCACAGTGGCACAGCGGGTCCGCGACGTCTGTGACTGTCACCGTGTGCCCCTACTTGAATGGGCGATAGCCAAGATTTTTAAATGGAAAGAGTTTTGATACCTTTAAAAATTATTCCTCGAAGAAGCGAAGCAAATCGTCCGTCTCAAAGAAACAAAGCCTGGTAGCTGAGAAAATTCAGCATCTAAGACTAGGACGATAATGGCATTCCTGTCTTACACAAAGCACAGATTGCCTAACATTGAACACCACAGAAAGGGGGGGTTGATCCCAAGGGGCGGATGTTATTCCAGCCGATCATATGATCCCTGGGGGATCCCCAGCCCATTACAGATAGGTCCTCTTCCACTACTAATGGATGGCTCATACAAGGCCATATTAAACTCTTCCGCTAGGATGGGAAGCTAAGGAACAATCATCTCGCAATTAGAAGACCATTTAACATGCAGAGACCCTGACACAGAGAACCAGCTCGTACATAAAGGGACAGGAGCACATTAATGAGCGAGGTTTACATAGCCCTTAAAACAGGTATAGATAGGCACCTGAGCAAACAAAGCCCCTCTCCCCTGCACAATAAAGAGACCACTCGGCCAGGCCTCTGTACACAGATAACGTGTTTTATTTGTCAGATTGAGAGTACCGCTACTCTCCTATACTAAGGAACAAAAGATTCTATTACTAAACTGTATTGTGACTTCCAGAGTAACCCACAAATAAACATGATATGAAATAAACCCCCCAAAATCAGACCTGGTTTCAAAAAAAAAGAAAAAAAAGCCATGCTTTACTTAACGAGATTTAAAAATAGTGAGGTAGGTGCTTGAATCTATTGAAGGGTTTATTTAATGAATTGCAAAATGTATCCAAAAATGAACAATATCTGTAAAAATTCTATAAAAATCTTCTCAGCTATGGTTACAGCACCCACAGCGAGCCAGAGATCTCATATAGTTTCAAAACAAACATACCAGTGTGTGAAATGTAAAGCTCCAGAGTACAGAAAGAAATTCTCACAAAGTCACCAAATTCAGTAACCCAGCTTTGTGCTAGAAAAAAATTACTTTCTATAGAGATCTAGAAAACTGGACCCATGGCAGAAGATATCAAAACTCTAAGCATGCAATATCTAGACGTCCCCCATGCAACCCAGAAAAATTACACAAAGAAATTGCACCCAGTCGTAAGGTAAAATATAAATAAATGTATTGTCCACCGCAGAGATCCAAAACAGGCATCAAACCGGCTGCCGAGAACAGACTGCACAATGTAAATAAGAGAACGCTTATTTACTTAAAATACAGACCAAGAAAATTACATACAAATCATATAGTAAAGGGATGTGTCTAGCATACCTCCCAAACATCCCTATGTAAGAGGGACAGTCCCTTCATATACAGGAAAAGGGTAATCCAGACGTGGACCCTGTGCTCACTGGGACTAGAGAGATATCAGCTACACCTCACTGACGAGGCCCAAAAAAGGCCGAAACAATCGTCTGGGGTTGCTGTATCTCTCGTGCAGAGGGAACTTGCTGGCATTTCGGATATTGACTGCCCGTACGGGTGGGACCAGTCTGATATGCTTCAGATATGTTCTCTCTGTAATGGCACAAGTGAGCAAAAACTAATTTGAGACCTGAGTGGGGATGTAACGAAGGGCAAGCTTTTGAGTTTATTTTAAGATTTGTCCGTTCTCAGAGTTCTCATTCTTTCTTTTTTGCTATAATAAAATATTTAGTTATCAGTAGAACATATCATGGGAATAACCTTGCCCCAATTATACCCCCTGAAATGAAAAAGGCCCTCTTTGGGCATTGGAATTGGGAGATATGAACTAGTAAACGCACCAACTGGTGTACGACTTCATAAACTGATGATAAACCTCTTCCACTCTAGCGACTTAAAATGTTGCAACCACAATTCTTGTACATTAGTTCAGATTACTGTGTCTATATTCAATATGTTTATTGCTTTCAGTTACAGTTCAATATACATTACACATAGATAGAGCAAGCATCTGAATGCATCCAGGATTCAGCAAAGTTTGGGGTTGGACAGAATAATAAAAAGCTCTTGATTTTTGTAGTTAATACTTTTTAAAAAAAAATGTTGTTTTTTTACAAAAAACAAAATGACCTTTGGAAGGAATTATTGACACGCTCTGAAAAATACTTTACATTCAAGGGACACTATTATCACTCAGACCACTTAATCTTAATGAAGTAAGAGGTGTGGGTGCACTGGCCCTGAGGACCACTACAGCAAAGGCCTCCATGACATCACCAGGGACGGAGAGGTGGGCAGAGCAGATGGAGTCTCAGCATTGAAAAAATTAAGTAAAACCTTTATTTTTCTTAATTTTTATTGCAAACAGGGGTGGCGGAACCATGTAATAACTAGGGACAGGGGCATTCCTTTTAGAATACTTTATGTTTACATTAAAAATGTGTAACCATTTGAGGTTAGCAAACTCTAGACACATGCTGTAGAACACATGATTTATGGATAGTTTTTGGACACATGTTACTTTCATGTAACAGATTGAGTACAAGAACTGTCCCTTTGTGCTCCTAAACTATTCTAGACTAATAACAGAACTGAATAAAAATTCTGTATTTTAATTTTTCTTCAATAGCCTTTTGATTTCAAGCATGTCACCAGTAGCACACAGTTTGCTCGTGTTAGGGGGTTCACCACCCTGAATTTATGCCTAGCCTTTAATTTAAAAAAAACAAACAAAACACTTACATTATTTTGGCATGGTTAATGTCCATTTAAACTTATAGTTTTAAACATTTTACTATGTGTAGCGCAACTTGATGGCAGCTGAATAATTCTTAGTTAAAGATCATGGAATATCGCTGATAGATGTCAGAGTTTGCATTAGCGCATCCAAGGCATCATTGGGTGGCGAAACTGTTGAAAGGCCAAAGTTCAGAAAATATGTTTTTTTATTTACCTACACTGCCCTAGTCACTCGAGTAAAAGCAGCAATGGCTCCGCTTTAAAGGGACCCTATGAATGTCTAAAGCACTTAAAGGAACACTATAGTCACCTAAATTACTTTAGCTAAATAACGCAGTTTTAGTTTATAGATCATTCCCCTGCAATTTTACTGCTCAATTCACTGTCATTTAGGAGTTAATTCACTTTGTTTCTGTTTATGTAGCCCTAGCCACACCTCCCCTGGCTATGATTGACAGAGCCTGCATTAAAAAAAAACTGGTTTCACTTTCAAACAGATGTAATTTACCTTAAATAATTGTATCTCAATCTCTAAATTGAACTTTAATCACATACAGGAGGCTCTTGCAGGGTCTAGCAAGCTATTAACATAGCAGGGGATAAGAAAATCTTAATTAAACAGAACTTGCAATAAAGAAAGCCTAAATAGGGCTCTCTTTACAGGAAGTGTTTATGGAAGGCTGTGCAAGTCACATGCAGCGAGGTGTGACTAGGGTTCATAAACAGAGGGATTTAACTCCTAAATGGCAGAGGATTGAGCAGTGAGGCTGCAGGGGCATGTTCTATACACCAAAACTGCTTCATTAAGCTAAAGTTGTTCAGGTGACTATAGTGTCCCTTTAAGTTATACATTGACCTTGTTATTTTCACAGGCTTTTCAAGCAGAAAACCTGTTATTTCCTGGTTTGGTTAGCTCAGAGGCGCTAAATTCAAGAGGCAGGAATTGCCCAGAGCACCTGACTTCTTATTGAGCTGCACTAGGTCTATGATTGGACAGCCACAGTTACTCTGGGCAGGGTTAGAAAGGGAGGGCTTGCAAAGACAGCAGAAAATGGAGCTGCAGCTTTTGAAAAAAATGCATAATTATTAGCCTTTGCTTTGACTAACCTAAAATAAACCAAAAAATCAACATAATCAAAGCCCAGGAATTGCTTGCTTGGAGCATAAAATTAAAGTGTACCAGTCAACATGCACAACTTATGTTTAACTTAACTAAAATGTTTAAATTGTACCTATATGCTAAGTTGGCAGAAATGCTTGCAAATAGATTATAGTATAATGCCCTTTAAAAACATAGCTTCTCCCACACTTGTCAATTAATCCTTGATAGGTGTAAGCCAGAATAGTGACAGGAGACCCACCCCATGGTACGCGAGCCATGGTTACAAATTGCCCTAGAAAGTGTTTTTTACGCTTGAAGTGGGAGTGCAGGAATTTAAAGGATACTCCCAGCCTATCACTCACTCCTCATCAAAAAAATGGAGTTTAAAAAAAAAAAAGATATGTGTCAGTTGTGTTCGCTTTGAAGGTTCATGATTGAAACGTCAGACCTACATAGAAAGTAGAGGGACTACATGATTGGCACTATATATATTTTATTTCATTTCAAATTCCCATGTAGAGGAACACAACTACTCTCATCTCCAGGAATGGGGATTGCACCACTCTGTGCTGTCAAATAGGAGCCATTTTGAGGCTCCATGTAATGTAAGTGCATTTATTTACTTATCTGTATAGTGATTTTCTAGTGAACATACTACATCATATTGTTCTTTTGGTCTTCTCGTTTATATTTCACTTGAAGCCACATTTGGACCAAAAGATATACTTCAGATCCACAAGCAGGTAATTTACTGGTCAGGTGCATAAAGTGAAGCTTAACTGTAGCTCCACAAAATGTAAGTGCATCTCTTTCCCCTATTCTCTTGGTGTATGTGAAATTACTACACTATAAGACTCTTGTTTTGTCCCATTCTTATTGGTTCATATGACCATTATTTTAATATAATACGTTTTTAAACTCTGGCCCCTCTCATACCTGTCAATAAATAGTTTGATAGGTGTAAGACAGAAGTGAGTGACAGGAAAGCCCTCTCATGGGTGGTCCACCAGCCCAATTTATAAATTCCACTAGCAAGTGTTTCTTACGCTTGTATAAGGAATATATGTTATTAAAATATACATGCCTTTGTGGCGGAGCCTAGCAGCCGCACAGAACGGTCGCGCACACTGTGAGCTCCACACAATCTGACTCCTAAATAACCGATAAAGGCAACCCAGCGACCCAAAACTTACAGCCCTCGACGCTACAATTGTGTGAGACACCCCTGGGCCCTATTCAAGTGGGGCTCCCAGCTGTGCTTGGTGGATAACCCCAGAGGAAGATCTGCGGCCTGCAAGAGGCCTAGTAGCAGCGCACGAGAGGGAGGCGGCCGATCCCTCAGCCTGCAACAGAATACCGTATTTTTCGCTCCATAAGAGGCACTTTTTCCCCCCTCAAAAGTGAGGGGAAATGTCTGTGCGTCTTATGGAGCAAATGTGAAGCTTTACTTACCTGTCTTGGAGCGTGGGCCGGCTTCACAGCGCGCTCCGCGGTACAGGAACTTCAAGTTCAGGTTCCGTTTTCTGGCGGGACTGAAATGAAGTGTGCACACTGAGTGTGCACTTCCTTTCAGTCCCGCCGGAAACCGGAACCAGAAATAGAAGTTCCTGTACCGCGGAGCGCGCTGTGAAGCCGGCCCACGCTCCAAGACAGGTAAGTAATTATGGGACAAGGGGAAGGGGGAGACACTATGGGAGAAGGGGAGGGGAGACACTATGGGACAAGGGGAGGGGGAGACACTATGGGAGAAACGGAGGGGGAGACACTATAGGAGAAGGAGGGGACACTATAGGAGGAAAGTGCACCATGGGACAATGGGGGGATACTATGGGACAAGGGGAGGAGGGGACACTATGGGAGAAAGGGAGGGGAGACACTATGGGAGAAGGGGAGAAACCATGACAAGGGGAGGGGAGACACTATGGGACAAGGAGGGGGACACCATGGGATAAAGGGAGGGGGAGACACTATGGGAGAAGGGGAGGGGGAGACACTATGCGACAAGGGGAGGGGGAGACACTATGGGACAAGGGGAGGGGGAGACACTATGCGACAAGGGGAGGGGGAGACACTATGGGAGGGAAAGTGCACTATGGGACAAGGCGAGGGGGAGACACTATGGGACAAGGGGAGGGGGGACACTATGGGAGGGAAAGTGCACTATGGGACAATGGGAGGGGGGACACTATGGGATCAGAACACTAATGGACAAGGGGAGGAGGGGTTAACAATCACTATGGGACAGGGGAGGAGGGGTTAAAGATCATTATGGGACAGGGGGAAAAAAAAATATTCTGAACAAACTGCCCCATAGTAAGAAACACTATGGAACAGTTTGTTCAGAATATTTTTTTTTTCTGGGTTTCCTCCTCTAAAAACTAGGTGCGTCTTATGGTGAGGTGCGTCTTATGGAGCGAAAAATACGGTACTTATCCGGGAGGACCTGCCTGAAACCTCTTTTTTGTGCCATTGTAGGAAAATGTGACCCTGAGTGAATTTTACTCATACCTATGTTGCCACCTTAGTTTTAAGCTAACAGTTATCTTGATGCCTTAACAGGCACCCACATCCTGATTACTCACCTTGGCTAATCACTCACATGCAGTCAGTTTCTAGCCTGCAACAATATTGTTGATTATAGTCTACTGACAACTGCTTTTTGTGCCCTCTTTGTTAAGCGTTACTTGTTTTATTTACCTTTACTTTCACATTGACGTTCTAACCGTATAGTCAAGCTTGATGATAAAAATGTATATAAAAATGTGCAAACCTTAATGCCACTATCGCTTGTTACTCTTGCAATACGCTGTTGTGGCGTTTATTCTTTTCCTGTATCCAACTGCACAATAAAAATAAAGAATAAAAAATAAAAAAATTAAAAGATTCATACCTTTTTCTCTCCAATTTTTGATGGGGAGCAAGTTATAGGCTGAAAGTGTCAGCGATGCTCTGTTTGAAGCTTCATGAATAAAGCCTCGGACCTACATAAGAAGTAGAAGAACGCAGTTTTTTCTGCCGCATTGCATTGTTTGGGGTTAAAGTGTTCTTTAACGGTTTAATCCATTAAAGGAACAATATAGGGTCATCAACACCAAAGTTTATTTCTGACCCTATAGCGCTAAAAACACTATTTAGGTCCCTGGACTTACTTAAATAAGTAAAAAAAACTCACCAATTCCAGCGCCTTTATGGGAAATCACTGGATTAGCTGAGATAGTCAAATCTGATGATCTCAGCCAAGGTGGAAGGGCAGGGGCAGAGCCAAACACCCCCCTGGCCAATCAGCATCTCCTAGAGATGCATATAATGCAGATCGTGGAGACGCTAAACATCAGTGCTGCACACTGTGTAGCACTGACCCAGGAAGCACCTCTAGTGGCTGTTTGAGTGACTGCCACTGGAGGTGGACCTTGTGAGCAATATAAACACTGCCTTTCCTCTGAAAAAGCAGGGTTTACATTAAAATGCCTGCAGAGACATGCTACAGACACCAGAACAACTACATTAAGCTGTAGTTGTTCTGATGACCATAGTGTTGCTTTAAGGTATGTCAGAGCCCACAAATTCCTTGCAACATAACAATTTTATTGCTATGAAGTTGGTATGAAGCCCGGAGTAGTTCTTTTAGAGAATCATTCGGGATGAAAAAAATCTCTACATTCAGATTCTAAAGTAACCTGTACTATAATGAAAATCAACAAATGTACCATTCAGTCTACTGATAGGACATTGGCTTTTGGTTTACAAGTTGCTTCTGCAATGATACATGGTCTGCTTAATATCCATCTGTCCATGAGATAATTATAGTAAAAAAAAAAAATAGCTTATTTGGCAAGCTAGTTTTTCTTGCTACATAGCATTGCGTTTATATTTCTTTATCCTGAATTCTATATCCAGTTCTGACAAACCATCTCTTTTTTCCCAAAAGTTCATAAAATCTGTAATGCCCAACGATAAATGGATTTTATGTGACATAACACACTGATATAAGACAACATGCATATACAAACATTTATGAGATTATCCCATTATATCCAGCGACCTGTAGTGATTATGGTTTCACCCCTCCTATGCAAGTAGTCAGTTTGCTAACAGTAAGTCTTCTTACCTGAGGTCTACTAGTCGCCGCTCTCTGCCTCCTCACAGTTGGAAGCGCACAGCTGAGTGCTGCACGGTGTATCCCATTGGCTAAAAGCGTTAAGCTTCAGCTGATCGCTCTCAGCTTGCGCCAGCTGTGAAGAAGCAGGGAGCGATGCCCTGCTTACCCCAGGTAAATATTCAAACCATTTAAGCATTATAAAAACATCCTTCTCAATGCTACATCGTCTTCTGCTTACTTTAAAAATGGTTCATTGAATCTTTCTGGTGTTGCTACTTTTACTCTACCCTCTAAAAATCTCTTTCAGCGTTATTCAATAAAGTTTAAATGCTTGGGAATATTAGGTGAATGTAAAGTGAATTCAAATATTGAATTCACTTTAAATTACCAAGAACTCATACTTTAGTGAATAATCCTGTTTGAAAGTGTAAACAAAATTTGAATTATTGATATTATTATAGACATTTATATAGCGCCAACTTATTCCACAGCACTTTACAATATTATAAAATTATACAATAAATAAGACAATTACAAAATGTTACAGGAACAATAGGTTTATGAGGACCATGCTCAAACGAGCTAACAATCTACAATTCACACTGAACACATGACTGCTTGGCATATGATTCTGGCCATTTAGTGTCTATGATTTAAAGGGGAACTGTCAATTACCAGGATTTTCAATATCATGTTTACTTTCCTCTATATTGAACAAAGATGTATTTGTTTGGTATGAAAAACAAAATTACATGTAGAAATCCACACCTCTTTATACTGCAATGGTAGCCTCCATCTTAGATTCTTGTCAACAATTGTTATTTTAATTTGATTTATTTACCTCTTATAAACTCTGCCTTATAACTGACAGTCTGCAAGGAGAAAGAATACAGAGGAAAGAAGAAATTAAACAATGCTACTATTTTTCCTCTTTAAGCAAAGTTTGTCATGGTGTTGCCTTATCTGAACTGGATTACTATGTTATTTGTTAAATATTTAGTATAAATTTGAAAGAAAACCAGAGGATCTCATGAAAAAAAGATTAACACAGTTCTATGTATTTTTCAATGATTTTATTCAGTGTTGTTATTTCCAAAGACGTGACAGATCCCTTTAAACCTTTTTTTTCCCCCCCAGTACACTGTCAATTTCACAGAGGGAAGAAATAAACGCAAAAAACAAAAATCTCTATGGGACATATTCTTTTGACGTAGCTCTAGGTTTTCACAGGCTGCACAGAAAGCTGGCATTTTCCTGAGACCTTTAACCCCTTTTATTGACAGGCACAACACATGACACGTATGGATGAGCAATTCTCTATGTGCTCTGATATTCAGGGGCCAAGAGCATGTCATCCTGTGGTCCATGAGGAATGATCGGCATCAGGGGTATGCCTGAACATTCGGTAGGACATAGAGAAACTATATCCTGGTGGAAAGATTTCTTTTCACATTTTGTTTTGTAAAATTATATTTTACATGCAATCAATTTAGCCAGGCATCTCATTTCAATGACAGAAAAATGTTTGTTGATTTGTTTTTTCATATCTTTGATATAATTTCTGTGTGTGTGTATTTGGCTATTTGCCTACATAAAGGAGCTGCGTGCGCATTCAGCCAGTGTCAAAGGAAAGCATTTACAATGCTTTCCTATGGACGCTGGGGTCTTCTCACTGTGATTTTCACAGTGAGAAGCATGCAAGCGCCTCTAGCGGCTGTCAAGAGACAGCCACTAGAGGCTGGATTAACCCTAACATAAACATAGCAGTTTCTCTGAAACTTCTATGTTTAGAAAAAAAAAAAAAAGGGGTTAACCCTAGCTGGACCTGGCACCCAGACCACTTCATTAAGCTGAAGTGGTCTGGGTGCCTATAGTGGTCCTTTAATGAAGTCTAGGATTAACCCTGCCTACTGTAAACATATGTTTACTTTAGGGTTAATCCAGCCTCTAGTGGCTGTCTCATTGACAGCTGCTAGAGGCGCTTCCCAATGCTTTCCTATGGACTGACTGAATGCGCGCGCGGCTCTTGCCACGCATGCGCATTAAGCCGATGACGACCAAAGGAGGAGGCGAGTCCCCAGCGCTGAGGGAGCCTGGCGCTGGAGAAAGGTGAGTGTTTAACCCCCTTCCTCCCCCTTCAGCCAGGCGGGAGGGGGACCCTGATGGTGGGGGAACCCTTAGGGCACTATAGTGCCAGGAAAACGAGTTTGTTTTCCTGGCACTGGAGTGGTCCTTTAACCCCTTAAGGACACATGACATGTGTGACATGTCATGATTCCCTTTTATTCCAGAAGTTTGGTCCTTAAGGGGTTAATCTACTTTACAATTACTTCCGTTCCAGTTGCACCTCACTATAAATTGGTATCACTGTGAGTTGTTCTGTTTGGAAATTAAATTCTTATTGGTTCTGTACTTTTACTTTCATTTTGAACTTTTATTAAAAATAGAATTGCAAAATTCTCCAACACATTCCAGAGCTCTGTGTGACGTCTCAGTATTGTCCCTCCGTACGGAAAACATACTTGTAATAAGCACACAGGAAGCGCCTATTTATGAAATACGTTTGCAGTCTTTTAGCAATGGAGAGTTACATCCACCGCACTGCTCATCCGATCATCCTCAGAGTCTCGCAGTGGCTTTTTTTATTTTGGTGGGGGTTAGGGGACCCACTGTTATTTGCAGTCTTTTAGCAATGGAGAGTTACATCCACCGCACTGCTCATCCGATCATCCTCAGAGTCTCGCAGTGGCTTTTTTTATTTTGGTGGGGGTTAGGGGACCCACTGTTATTTGCAGTCTTTTAGCAATGGAGAGTTACATCCACCGCACTGCTCATCCGATCATCCTCAGAGTCTCGCAGTGGCTTTTTTTATTTTGGTGGGGGTTAGGGGACCCACTGTTATTTGCAGTCTTTTAGCAATGGAGAGTTACATCCACCGCACTGCTCATCCGATCATCCTCAGAGTCTCGCAGTGGCTTTTTTTATTTTGGTGGGGGACCCACTGTTATTTGATGCCACTCTGTGTGAAACACATGTAAGAGATAACCCGGCTATCCTATGTAAGCCCAGTCCATGCTACGGGACATACCTTTCGTACATGGAGTGTGCAGATGTTAGCTTTAATTTTGACTTCAGACCTGACCCTTAGCCCAACTATCAATTATGAATCTGGGCCACTTGTTCTAAACCTTAGCCAGACTACCAATTATAAACCAGAGTCACTTATTCTGACATTTAGCCAGATAATCGTTTATGAACTAGAGGTGTCTGTCCTGACCTTTAGCCTGATTACCAAGTACAATCCAGAGCTGCCTGTCCTGATACTTGGTCTGATTGCCACTTATGAACTGCCTGTCCTGAAGGTAGCATGCATGAAATATTCTTCACTGCTGAATCATGTTATGTTCTGGTCCAATTCTCACTGATCACACTGCCTTGCTACAGTGCTGCCATGCTACAAGTGGTAGTTTGTGGGTTAGTCCACCACTGAAATGTAAGTCTAGTCTCCTGAACTAAAATTGTGATTTGCAAGTTAATAATATAGATCAGTGGTTCTTAACATTTTTGTCAGGGTCCCAAATTACATTCTTTCAAAGACACACATGATAACTCTGCACTAGTAGTAAATACAGCACCCCAGACCCTCAACAAGAACCAAAACTAACAGATAAACAGGGTCATATATGCAGAAACTTATGAATTACGTGGCTACTTCCATTGAGAAAATAAAGGAGTTTTTATGGACACTGTCACTATGCTAGGTGTGCAGTGCAGTTCTTCTGTTATATTTTGTCCAAAATACATTCATGTCATGAGCTAAGCAACCCATTTTTGTGACTCTTCAAAATCTTTCACGGGGTTTCACCTGGTGTCAGATGATTCTCCACTAAGGTAGGTCTGTCACTTCTTTATCTTCCACCATCGCAGCCTTTCTTTGGGTCACCGTAGCCTCTCTAACTTCCCAACACTTGTTGATAACCCTGGGATCCACTGCAACTTACCTTATTTTATGTCCTGCCGGTCTCGCCGGGTGTTCATGCACAGTGCCACCATTTTAGCAAATCCACTATGGCGGTACTCTTGAAGTTGCTTCCTCTGCCCTCCCTAGAGCATATGTGTAAAAGGATGCGCCCAGTCCATCTGTATCTTGGGAGCATCACTGCTGGAATAATGCGAGTAAGAATTTGCAACCAGTTATAGAGTAGACAAATGACATGCAGCTTGATTAAAGCTTCACTTTTTGCCAACGTTTGTCAAACTGCAGGTTCTACTACTTATATATAACCTTTTAAAGCTAAGTATTGTCAGCGGAGGAAAAAAACAAAAACAAAAAACTTGGCTTCCTGGCTACCCAGGAAGCACAACTAATTTAAAAAAAAAAGTGACAGACCAGCTGGGAAAGTAAATACTGCTACACTTTATTGTCGGTAATTGCATGGGTACTGACTAAATGTGATGTGCCTGTTAGGACCATTAGGAACCCACAAAATAACCTGGGGCACAATTCTAAGTCCCAACCAAGGAGTTACAAACCCCAGCTCTCGGTATACTTATAGGATTTGTGGACTAAACATATTGTGTGTAATAAGCCGCCAGTTATACAAGTCTTAGCAAATCGTAATGCATTTTAATATAAGGTTAACCGCACACCAATCAAGGGCTACAACACATGTACCACTTTAAGTGCTATTTGCAGATGTAAGATCATCTTATTACAGAAATGTTAATTAAATGAGGCAGGATAAGTTTTGGCATGTCTCTGGAATAGTGAAAACTATCATGGGTCCACTGTGTATTCGTTTCGTATACAAAACACATAGGAACATTTTTTTAAAGAAGGGAGCACAACTCTTAGCTGCTAATAAAGAAATAAAACTACAGTCTGAGTCTGTATTATTATTATGCAGTTAAAGTTATTCACTAAACTGGGAAATGCCAGGAAATGACCAGGGAAATTAGAAAAATCTACATCTCTGCTATTTTGACTGTAAATTCCTGATAATTAAACAGTTCCAAAAAAAAAAAAAGATAAACTGAAAAAAAATTAGACTAAAGTTGTGATTAAAAATAAATAAATAAATAAAAAATTAAATTAAAAAAAATTAAAGAATTAAATAAATAGAAGGCACTTTTGAATATAATTCAGTTGGTTACACGGCAAATAAAAGAAGTAAATAATTGTATGACACCAAAAAAAAAAGATTAATGATAGCGAAATAAAACTACTCGAAGCCCAAGTAGAGATCTATAAATTAGAACAGAGGAAATGTTCAAATATAACAGCACTGATTTTATACCAGAGTAAAGTGTGTGATAATGTATTCAGAAGAAACATATTGCAGGAATAGAACAAGCAGAGTATTAATATCTCAATATCAAGATCTCAATATCAAGAGCATAGCACTTGATAGATGGAAACGGTTCCACACTGACAGTTTGCTCTCTGTCCCAGCAGTGCTTGATAGATGGAAGTAGCTATACACTGACAGTATTCTCCCTGCTTTAGTTGATAGATGGAAGTAGCTATACACTGACAGTATGCTCCCTGCTTTACTTGATAGATGGAAGTAGCTATACACTGACAGTATTCTCCCTGCTTTACTTGATAGAGGGAAGTAGCTATACACTGACAGTATTCTCCCTGCTTTAGTTGATAGAGGGAAGTAGCTATACACTGACAGTATTCTCCCTGCTTTACTTGATAGATGGAAGTAGCTATACACTGACAGTATGCTCCCTGCTTTACTTGATAGATGGAAGTAGTTATACACTGACAGTATTCTCCCTGCTTTACTTGATAGAGGGAAGTAGCTATACACTGACAGTATTCTCCCTGCTTTAGTTGATAGATGGAAGTAGCTATACACTGACAGTATGCTCCCTGCTTTACTTGATAGATGGAAGTAGCTATACACTGACAGTATTCTCCCTGCTTTACTTGATAGAGGGAAGTAGCTATACACTGACAGTATTCTCCCTGCTTTAGTTGATAGATGGAAGTAGCTATACACTGACAGTATGCTCCCTGCTTTACTTGATAGATGGAAGTAGCTATACACTGACAGTATTCTCCCTGCTTTACTTGATAGAGGGAAGTAGCTATACACTGACAGTATTCTCCCTGCTTTACGTGATAGATGGAAGTAGCTATACACTGACAGTATTCTCCCTGCTTTACTTGATAGATGGAAGTAGCTATACACTGACAGTATGCTCCCTGCTTTACTTGATAGATGCAAATGGTTCCACGCTGACAGTTTGCTCTCTGTCCCTGCAGTGCTTGATAAATGGAAGTAGCTATACACTGACAGTATGCTCCCTGCTTTACTTGATAGATGGAAGTAGCTATACACTGACAGTATTCTCCCTGCTTTACTTGATAGAGGGAAGTAGCTATACACTGACAGTATTCTCCCTGCTTTACTTGATAGATGGAAGTAGCTATACACTGACAGTATGCTCCCTGCTTTACTTGATAGATGGAAGTAGCTATACACTGACAGTATTCTCCCTGCTTTACTTGATAGAGGGAAGTAGCTATACACTGACAGTATTCTCCCTGCTTTACTTGATAGATGGAAGTAGCTATACACTGACAGTATTCTCCCTGCTTTACGTGATAGATGGAAGTAGCTATACACTGACAGTATTCTCCCTGCTTTACTTGATAGATGGAAGTAGCTATACACTGACAGTATGCTCCCTGCTTTACTTGATAGATGCAAATGGTTCCACGCTGACAGTTTGCTCTCTGTCCCTGCAGTGCTTGATAAATGGAAGTAGCTATACACTGACAGTATGCTCCCTGCTTTACTTGATAGATGGAAATGATTCCACGCTGACAGTTTGCTCAGTGCTTGACTGATGGAAACGGTTACAAACTGACAGTATGCTCTCTGTCAGAATGTATCAGCTTCCATATCGAGCAAAACATCAAAAAAGATGGAGCAAACTGTCAGCTAACTTAATTCATAAACTGTATGTATGAATTAAGGACCAGGAGACTAGAGGGGGTTGTGGAGAAAGATGTTAACAATGGAGTGGGCCAGGTCTGTCTGGAAATGGGGCATTTCTGTATTTGGTGAATGCATGCCAGAATGATTGAAAGCTTCGCTTAAAGGACACGATTCCATAAGGAATACAAATGTGCATCCCTAACGTTACAGTGACCTAAGTAACCATGGAGGATTAAAAAGGTGAGGTTTACATACCTTTTCTCTTTTTGCAGTGGCGGTCCCTGGCTTGTCACTCCGGCTCTTTGGCAGAGATCATTGAGCTCAATGATCTCAGCCAATCCATTGCTTTCCCTAAAAAAAGCATTGGGAGGCTAGTGCGCATGCAGAGCAAAGCACAGCATCTGGGTGTATATCCCTGTCGGCCTTCAGCCCAGGTAGGCCCAGATTGTGAGACTTCAACGCTGTTGTGGAAGAAGCGCCCAGGGAGGGCCCGCTCTTCTCCCGCCTCTCCTGTCTCCGCTTTCTCGCCTCAACCGGAGCCTCTGACAATTCAAGGTGAGCTGCTAACTTAGCCCAGAATGTTTCAAAAGTCCCAGCCAGATGCTGCAGTATTTGCTCACAAGCGCTCTGCATGAGTATGGTAAGTAGCTGCGCATGCGGTAGTAGCGTGTCCGCCATCTTAGGGTGACCGGCCCTGCCCAAGACCTCCGTCAGTGCGGGTGCTGGAATGCAGTAATGGGTAGTGGTGGTCGCCAGTGGGGACCAGGATAACCACTGCCTGTCAGCAGCTTAGCAGGGTGAGTATCATTTCGGGTCTGAATAAGCGTGGGGCCCGCAGCTAGCCCCGGCAATCAGACGCAGGAGCTCAGACCAAACACGTCTGATCCGACCTGCAGGCAAGTTCCCCCTTAAACCTAATTATTATCATCACCTTAATTATAATGATCTCTCCTATTACCTCTTCCCATTTATCATATGCTTGTTTTTACCTCCCATCAAATCTGAACTACTCTGTCTAATTTATTTTAATGAATCAATGTCTTTTTAATGAGATTTTCCTTTTAAACTTTACATGCACTGTGTGTGTATGTATATATATACATATATATATATATATATATATTTATATAAATTTCCTCTGTAATCATGAGTTTGCTAACCTCCCACCACAATTGTAAACCCTTGAAAACATTATCTGTTTGTTTGTATTCCGTAATGTGAGAATGATCTCTATCCTGCAGGGCCAATATATAGTGAAATAGAATATGCCATACTAAAAAGATTGCAACAAAATGATTTACTCAAATAGTATAAGAAATAGACAAACAGTATACAACAGCAGATCAAACAGTCTTAAATATTGATCTTTCTGGCTCATTAGGATTGGTACACACACTATTATCGTATAGAGTGCTTGATGTGACAAGGTTACCTGCAAAGGGAGACAGTGAACGCTGCAGCTAAGACTCGGACAAAATCTTCATGCTCCTCGTATGTCAAAATGCCAGAGGATAAACTGCAGAAAGAAAAGAGGCACGAATCAAATCCAAAAATCCAGAAAACAGAGGTGTAAACACTACCACATGGACATCAACATACTGCAATGTCAATCTGCCCAACACACACCCACTGAGACTCTCGCTGTCCAACACACCACAACTCACAAAGTGCCAGCTCAGAGTACCCATACTCTAATAAACTTTCTCGACGCATTCTGAACAACTCAGAGGGACCTATTTACTAAACACTGATTTGTAGGGAATCGATAACTTGAAGGGGACCTAAATTCAAAATTTGGAATAAAATAGCGAAGATGTGACTATAGTGAAGTTAGAAAGTTTTTCAATAACAGGACTTTTTGCCTAAATTTTCCCATTCCATTTTCAATTCACAACAATTTGCGGTTTTTGTGAAGATACACAGAGACATTGTGGCCAAAGCTCAAATCCAGTGCCAGCCTCTCTAAAAACTCCCACTTCTTCGGTAGCAGAGCACATAGTCAGCAAATGATCTGTAGGTCTGGTGACACAGATGTCCCTTTCTGCTTGTCACCATTATGAGAAATGACTTAGGACACTGTAATGTGACTCGTATATTGCACCAAAAAGCCTCTCTATCATTCTGCACTGGGGAGAGGACACCAACAGGACAAGTCACTTAAACACCTTCACGCCAGTTCGCCAGGAGACAGGGTTAATGGGGCCACCAAAATAAAACAGGCACTTGACGTTCTTATTAGAACTGTCATTATTTTGGTTTATACATTGTGTGCAGTATTTGATTTCTACTTATAATATTCATATACTTACAGTACCGAGCAAATGTTTTAGGCAACGCTGAAAATTTCAAATTAAATCCATTTATCTAAGCGTAAGTATTCCTTTGAAAGTAACACAAGCTAAAATTGAATGTGCTGCTGCCAAAGAGGCTGCAAATGTCTAGATTAAAGTTATTTAAGATTCAATATTTCACATTCCTGCGTAATACGTCTATACTGTCCCCACGCTGTCAGCCCAGCACTAAAGACTTTATATATGGGTGCTGAGAGTGTTTAACTGCAGTCTCATGCTAGAAATTCTAAGATTCTGTTCTCGCCGTTTGGAGGGCAGCTGAGTGCGCAGTCGTTCCATCCACTAGAGGGCACAATGCTGTTCGTAAAGGAAACAAACTTTGGGTAAGTATATCTCCTAATCTGTACTTCACTGGACGTTTTGACATTGCAGTGTACGGCTTGTATATATATTTATCTGAAGGTAACCAGTCATCAACATGATTTCACTTTAAGTAAGCAAGAATAAACAAACAATGTGAAATGAAATGTAACGTTTTTCAAGTCTAGTGTAGTTTTATTGTAGTTTAGTGTAGTTTTATTGACAACAGACAATTAAAGGAACACTCTAGGCACCAAAATAACTTCAAATAAATGAAGCTGTTATAATGCCAGGAGGCTCCCAGACGCACTTTTACCTTCAAGAGTTAAACCATTTTCGAACGGTTTAACTCTGAAGTTGCCTCCAGCGCCGATCTCAGCTCCTCCCCTGGCAGCTTCTTACAGGAAGCGCGCAGTGCTGGCGCTGATTGGTTGAGAAAGGTCAGCTGACGCTCTCAGTCAATCAGTGATCCCTTATTCACAAAACTGGCTTGGAAAAGGAATGTTTCTTACCAAGCCAGTTTTGTGAATAAGGAGTTACTGATTGGCTGAGAACGTAAGCTGTCTGCTCTCACCCAATCAGCGGTGCCCCTGCTCGGTGGCACTTCGTGCTACCTGTAAGTGGAATTACATAGGCAGGAAGCTACCAGTGGGGGAGCTGAGATCCATCTCAGAGGTAAGATTTCTCCAGTGGGAGTCCTAGCACCAAGGCTTCGTAACTTTATTTAGATAAAGTTGTTATAATGCCTATACAGTTTATTTATACCAGTTTCCTTTAGCAGACTGTGATGTAAAAGATATCAGGGTTTCCAGAAGTAAATTCTTCAAAGTTTGTTGCAAAATTTAGAATAACGCTTAATTTGACTTTGGTCTTTTTTCTCATATACTCATTCCAAATGAAATCAACCAACGAAGAGGCACTTTTCAACCTCACATACTTTGATTTTATTTATTTTTACATATGACATATCTTCTGTATTTCCAAAGTTATAGAGGTGCTAACTTGGCTCTTTTATCGTGTTTTTTTTTTTTTACCATCACGTTTTAGTAATATTCAATATTTCCATTACTAGGGCACCTATAGAAAGGATTCAGGTGTTTCTGGAAAAGTTTTGGAGAGGTGAGATATTTTCCTATATTATGAAAATAAATATCTAAAGCCATGGTAATCAATATTTTTTCAAAAATGGGTCTTAATTTATTTCAAAACATATATGTTGTATAATAATACCTCCACACAATAAATCGTATGTGATTGGAATGAAGGTGGGCTTGCTTAGGAAGCATCACTGGGGATGCCCATAATGGCTGGCTGGCTGGCCGGCCTGCCTAATGAAAGGGCATGTCAGCACGCCAGGCTGCCAGCCAGACAGCAGGCTTGGCTCCATCACAGAAGACCATGCCGAGAACACTACTGAAGCCCTAGTACCCAACACACAGCACAAGTATTTTTTAATGAGGGCTGTTCTCCCTGGCAACAGTTTCCTTGTGTTCGTGGATACAACACACCAGGGAACAAAATCGGAACGGCGGAACAGTAGCTTAAAATAGGGATTGTCATGCCAAAATTGGAACAATTGTTAGGCCTGATAAATGAAGATGGATAATATGAATTTCTGCTTTATCATAGCAACTCAGACTGAGAATAAAAAATAAAAGCCGGGTTCCTGACACAGTAAGGTATCATATAAATGTTTTTATTATCGTACGACACAGCAATGGGATTCCAGGCACCATAACCACCATTGTTGCCCTGGACACAGGTAGATAAATAGTGTTGTTTTTACTAATCTTAAACATTAACATCCTTAATAATAAAGATGCAGAAATTTATAGATCCATGTGTTTTCTAAGTCAATAGGGATACATTAAACAGTAAAGTAATCCTGTACAGGATGAAAATCAATTCAAAAACACTACTGCGAACACTGTAGAAACAAAAGAATACAAGACAAACCATTAATGCAATGTTTCAGACTTTATAAGAAAATAAACGTGGACAGGGGAAAAGAAAAAAACAAAACTTTTTTACAAAAAATAAAAAGTTAACAGGCAAATCTGCAGAACAAAATTGTAAGTATATAATAAAACATTAAAGGGATACTAAAGGCATCAAAACAACTTTAACTTAATGAAGCAGTTTTGGTATAGGTCATGCCCCTTCAGTCTCACTGCTCAATTCTCTGCCATTTAGGAGTTAAAGGAACACTATACGGTCAGGAACACAAACATGTATTCATGACCCAATAGTGTTAAAACCACCATCTAGCACACCTCCCTGCATGTGACTAACACAGCTTTCCTAAACACTTCCTGTAAAGAGTCATCTAATGTTTACACTTGATCCCTGGTGATCGAGCTACAGAACCCCGGCATTCTCTGCAATGAAACGTGCACAGAATTAATATTAGGCAGCCCTGGACTCTTGTTCCGGGCTGGTTGATGACACCCTAATGATGCTGCCGAAGGTGGAGTTACCCCTCTGGTAGTAGAGGGGTTAAACTCCATATGTGCAGTCATAACGTAAGGGACACTATAGGCACCCAGATCACTTCATCTCATTGAAGTTGTCTAGGTGCAGTGTCCCTGTCCCCCTTTGTCATGCAATGTAAAACACTGCAGTTTTTGAGAAACTGCAATAATTAAGGGATGGGTACCAGAGGGCACTAAAGTATTAGGAATACAGATTTGTATTCCTAACCCTATAGAATCTCTTTAGTGTAATAAATACAGTTAACTCGTGGTTTTTAAATCATATAGGGTTATTCATTAAGGTCTTGATTTAGTATTGTTGAAGAAGCATTCTAAATGATTTAATATTTTTTGATAAACTTTTAAAATGGTTTAATATTTTTTTTTAAATGAATTTTGTAGTATTTTTATATTTTTTGTAATATCTTTTTCATAAATTAGATATAATTTTTATATTTTAACATGCTGAAAAAATTATTTTAAAATGTTTATCCAAAAATACTGAATCATTTGTAGAGCTTATCCAACAATATTAGATCGGAGCCCAAATAAGGCACAGTGAAGGTTCGACAAGGGAATTGAAAATTTTAGGTAAAAATTGGAAAGCAATAGAAAGTGTCCCACTTCCAGTCCAGTTTTTACAATCTAAAAAAACAGACATTGCCCGGTCTAGAAGACTGCGTGAACGAAGTTACTGATGAGAGTTTTGGTGATGCTTTACCGTTTCTTTTTATTGAGTACTTCATACATGCAACATCAATAGATTATTAATTCATTTGTAGTAGTAAGAGCATGAATATGTTACTAGAAACTAACAAGCAAATTTAGAAATTAATTATGTTTTCTGGATTCAGATTTTTTACATTTTTAACATTTAAACATTTTTTACACTATAACAAAGCTTTATATTTAATAACAGTTCTTAAAGGGAGACTATAGTCAAGAGAAATACTAAAACGTAATGTAGTGGTTCTGGTGTCTAGAGTCTGTCCCTGCAGGCTTTTCAATGCAAACACTGCCTTTTAAGGGAAAACTGCAGGCTAGTAACACCTCTAATGGCAGTCACTCAGACAGCTACTAGAGTTGCTTCCTATCTCAGTGCTGCGCAGTGTGCAGCTTCTACATTCAGTGTCTCCGCTCTGCATGGAAGCACTGAGCGTTCACCATAGAGATGCACTGATTCAATGCAACTCTATGAGAAGATGCTGATTGGTGTTGCATTTTGCCACTCATGCACAATAGCCTCCAAACATGTTTTAGTTTGAAAGCATTGGATTGGCTTTGAACATCAAGACTGATTATCTGGAGGCGGGGCCATCGGAGAAAAGAGTGAGTAAAAACAATTACCATGTGATCAGAGGGGAGCCCATCACCTAAGCAGACACACACACACAGACAGCAACATACACATACTCACTGGCAGACACACTCACAAATTATTTGTTTTAATTAAATTTAAGTCCACCCAGCTTCCCTACTTTGGGAGATCTGGAGTTGATCTGCTTTCCCTGGGGTCCAGTGGGGATTCTTTTCCTGGGGTCCAGTGGGGATTCTTTCCCTGGGGTCCAGTGGGGCTGCTGTTATCTTCACGCTCTTATTGCTCTGCTCACTAGTACACCTTCAGTGATGCAGAGGCCAGAGTGATGTTATACCCAGGCACCCAGTATCAAAGCCGTGCACGCAAAGGAGCAGAGCAACCTGCATTCCTGACGGCCACCCGTCCAATTCTCCCAGAGCCGCCCGCATCAGAGAGAACAGGCTGATATATACCCAGGCGCCAGGACAAAATTCCTAGACGCCGTGATGACCAGGGACTTGTCGAGCCCTGTTTTAAACCTCAATAGCCAAACTAAGAACATGACTTACTGGAATTCTTCCTATTCCATTATTTTGGCTTAATATTTGCAATTCAATTTGAATTTCCAACGATTCACACTCACGTTGGTCTATTTTAGACCGAATTTTGCTATTTTTGAATTAACCACAATCTGGAGTTTAGTGAATTTAAAAATTGCCTTGAAGTGAAGAATGTTGCATTAGTGCTGCCTGGACATCATTGTGAGCAGATGTTAATTAGAATTTTTAAAAAAATTAACTAAATAGAAAATAGCTAGCGCATGCAGAGTTAATGTAATCTTGTCTTAGCTGTGCAGTGTATTCGCTCTCCAAAAATAGCCCATGCCACCCTGGCATTAACCTACTACTGACATCGACTTAATTTGGCCTGGAGGCATTCCACTGCAAACTCGCATCAACTAGATAGCCTGGATTAGCGCATATGGATGATGTCTGATAATTAGTTCTGTGTCCTTGACATGCTTCCAATTCAGATCAATGACTCTCACATTTTCCATAGGAGTTTCATTATATAAACAAAAAGCTGTTATAGTTTTCCAAAGTAATTACATTCATGTAGGAATTCAGCCCACTGCTCCAATGCTAGGTCTCTCAACCGGCCAAGTATAGCCGCAGAAATTTGAAGTACCCTTTTCTGATATTTTTTGTTCTTGTAATCAAAATCCAAAAGACACGAACAGTAGTCAGAAAGGAAAGTCTCTAATTCACACCATCTTTCATGACAATATTTCGAAATCTTTTGTAACAAGAATCTCTGTAATATGATGCTGAAAGGAACACTATAGGCACCCAGACAACTTCATCTCAATGAAGTGGTGTGGATGCCATGGCCCCCCCACCTCTAACCCAATTTAACCCTGCAGATGAAAATTTGGAATGGCAATATTTTTTCATTGCAGGGTTAACTTGCATCTAGTGGCTGTCACCCTGCCACTAGAGGTGCTTCAGTGAAATAGCAGAGTAAAAATCTTCTAATTTAATCAGATGGTCTCAGAGAGACCACCTGATTGGGGCAGCGCTGCATTTTGCTGCACATGTGCACTAGCCATTCAAAGTGTGGGAAGGGCTATAAGGGGAGGCTTTGCAAAGACTGCATTTGTACCCATGTGAAAAAAAAATACATAATTAAATGCATGCAGTTTTCAATGGATGTATCTATACACTAAACTGCAATTTATTTGTTTTTGTGTTTGGGCAGTAGGTTTTCCCTTTACAGGTAAAAGAAATATATATAATACCTCAGAAAATTACATCATTTGCTGTAATCCAGCAACTTCTCCAGAAACCAAGTTGCTATTTTCAGGCAATCCTTACCCTGCTGTTAATTTTCCACTGGAGTGCTTGACATATCCCAGGCCCACTAGGCCCAAGCAAAATCACTCATAAAAATACATGAATGAATTACAAAGTTTTTTTTTTTTAAGGCCAATGATGTTCCTTCAATGAAGCGGTTTGTGGCCAGACATTTAATTGTTACCATGGTACCAAAAAAAAAAAATGGGCAGAGAAAATTTGCTTCCCCATGACATCTTCAGGTGGAGAGACCGGTCCTCACAAAGTAACTACCAAACATCATGGGCCACTGACCAGTTTCAGTATAGAATCATTAGAAATGATTAATTTACACATGAAGTCAAGAAGAAGCAAATAAGTACCTGTACCTCTTGAAAGTTACACAGAGAGAGCTTTGGAGTACATTCAAAGAATGTCAACTGGTCAGAAAGGAGAAAGACATGACCCTTAAATGAAAGGCCTATATTATTGGAATTCGTAACGCTACGTTGAAATTCCAGTGAACTTATTACAATGAGGTATATGTAATCAATAACGATTGATAGAAGATGTAATAAGCCCAGGGGGTCGCTGTAGCAGAGCTGTTTGCCATGAGTGTTGGCATTAACTGGGTGCAATGGAACATTCTTCTGTTACATCGCTTTCTGCTGGAAATCATTAAACTAGGGGTCACTAAAGGAACTCAAATTTCATGTACTATATCCACAAATAGAAGGAATACTATTTCAATTGCTTTCAATAAATTATTACAAATCAGGTTTTACAGCAGTGGAAACAACTGATGGTGCTCATGATGTTGGGAATGTTATCCCTCGTGTACAATGCATTCTTCAATCTAACCACTCCTGTTGGCAGAACAGGACAGGCACAGCAGTTAATGGTTCTACATCAGCACTGGAACAGGCGGCTGGATACCTGAGCAGTACCTGTATGGTGTCCAGTTTGTCTTTTGAAAACCAGCCAGGAAAACTGGGCGGGTGATAACATCACACACAGTGGCGTACTAAGGGGGGGCGGTCCGCCCCGGGTGCCAGCCGGGTGGGGGGTGCCATGGCCAGCCCATATGCTGCAGCTTTTCTGTATAGAGCCTCCAGGCGGCTGCAGCTTTGCCAGGGCGGTGCGTCCATGAGGACGTCGAGGTTTCTCCTGTCGGGTTGGACCGGCCGCTTGTCGGCTGGGGACCTGAGGCCAGGCCTGAGGGAGAGGCTGACAGGTGGGAGCGCTCCTGTCAGCTCCCTCACTGCAGCATGGTCCGCGGGCAAGAGCAGCCTCGAGTAGAAGGACTAACAGGAAGTGCACACTGAGTGCACTTCCTGTTAGTCCGGCCGGGTACAGGAAACAAAAGCTCCCTGTACCCGCCGGCTATACTGGGATCGGCCACGCCACAGGGAGGTGGGGGTGAGAAAGAAATAAGGGGGTGAGAGAGGGGTGAGAAAATAAATAAGTGGGGTGAGAAAGAAATAAGGGGGTGAGAGAGAAATAAGGGGTGAGAGGGGTGAGAAAGAAATAAGGGGGTGAGAGGGGTGAGAAAAGAAATAAGGGGGGTGAGAAAATAAATATGGGGTGAGAGAGGGGTGAGAAAAGAAATAAGGGGTGAGAGAGAATAAGGGGGTGAGAAAGAGAAATAAGGGGTGAGAAAGAGAAATAGGGGGTGGGAGAGAGAAATATGGGGTGAGAGAGAACATGGGGTGGGTGAGAAAGAGAAAAGGGGGGTGAGAGAAAATAGGAGGGGGGTGAGAAAGAGAGAAATAAGGGGGGTGAGAAAGAGAAATAAGGGGGGGGGGGGTGAGAGAAAATAGGAGGGGGGGTGAGAAAGATAAATAAGGGGGGGTGAGAAAGAGAAATAAGGGGGGGTGAGAAAGAGAAAAGGGGGGTGGGTGAGAAAGAGAAATTGGGAGGAGGAGAAGGAAATTGGAGCGGGAGGAGAGATTGACATTCATCACATACACACAATGCACCCCTTGCACACAGAAAAACACACAGACACACATACACAAGCAATGCAACCGTTACACACAATGCATCCCTTACACACACAGAAACACACAATGCATTCATTACACACACTCAATGCACCCCTTACACACATTCAATGCATCCCATACATACACAGAAACACACCTTGCAGTCCTTACACATACAAACACAATTTCACACAATGCATTCCTTACACACATATCAGGACATCCCCTACACACTCCACCCCCTGTGAACAAACTCATTGGTGGAACATGAAGGTGGACCCTGGGACCCAGACCTTGAGCTGTGTAAAGGACCCCCAAAAATGGAGCTGCTTCCCGTTCTCCCAGAACATTGATTTTTGTGACCACAGTTACAAACCGCCTCCAGAGAGCCTGTTCTGCACCAGACCAGTGGAGCCAGACTGCAGCTAGAGCCCATCATCATCCTCATCTGGTTGTAAGTAGGCAATCTAGTATATTATTCGTGGCACTAAGCTCTAATTTACCTCACATTAAAGAAACACTATAGTCCCCAGAACCACTTCAGCTTAATGTAGTGGTTCTGGTGTCTATAGCCTGTCCCTGCAGGCCTTTTAATGTAAACACGGCGGCACTGCAGCACTGGCGTTAGTTAACATGGCAAATCATATGGTTGGGGCATTGTCATGTCACATGGGGGGCGGCAAACTTTACTTTTGCCTAGGGCGGCAAAAATCCTTGTACCGGCCCTGGCTGGAGGGGGCTGTGTGAGCTGTGGCCGCACAGTGTCCCATGGTAGTTAGGGTGCCGTGCGGCCAGTACAGCTCACTCAAGCAAACAGCTGATTAACTGGCCGCACGGAGGAAATGTGTATGTGGGACTGTCTGTCTGTAACTGAGTGTGTGACTGTCTGTCTGTAACTGAGTGTGTGACTGTCTGCCTGTAAATGTGTGTGTAGGGCTGCAGGGATTTTGTAGAAGGGGGTGGGGGTTTTGTATTGGGACAGGAGTCTTTATAAGGGGGGATAAGCAGGGGATTTGTGGAAGGGGGTTGCGGGGGTTTTGTAGATGGGGCAGTACAGGATTTGTAGAAGGGGCAGGACAGAGGTTTTGTAGGAGGGGCAGGGCAGGACAAGGGTTTTGTAGGAGGGGCTGACAGCGGTTTTGCAAAGTTTACAAATTGTAAAAATAAAAGAAATAAAACCTTTAACATTTTTTACAGGTTTTTTGGGGGGGGGGGGGGGTGCCAAGCACAGGATCCGCCCCGGGTGCCAAATGCTCTAGGTACGCCCCTGATCACACATATTGGAAAGGTTTTGTGAAATAGTTTTGAGGAACTCTTACTTTTTGTGATTTTAATACTTTTTCCCCCCATCTTTTATCTATCAACCTAGGAGAAGAGTTTGTAACATTGACTCTTTCCAATGATAATGACCAATGTATCAGGTTCCCCACATATGAACATGCAACATCTGAAGGCCTTGCTAACAGATTCCAAAACGTGAAATTAGAACAGACTTCTGAGCTAATGCTTACCAACCGCTTTATTTTGTCCTGCATGAACCACCTTGTTTGTGTCACGCAGTGTCCAATAAATGCTTCTCCTAGGACCAAGAGAAACACTGATTGGCAATCAGCTGAAAGCTGGGCAGGGAGCAAACCAAGTATGATAGATGATCAAGTATGGTCCGTGTGAGTGAAAAGGCCATACTTCACCATCAGCATACTGCGAATATGTACAAATGTTGTACAACACAGACATAGCCAGGCTGAAAACATGTTCTGAGCTGGATAATGCTAGCTATTAAAAGTAAAGTTACCCAAGCAGACACTTTGAAATATCTTTATATTCGGACGTTTTCAGGACAAAACACTGTGCTCAGAGACCAAACACCATAACCACTTCAACAAGCAGACATATTTATGGTGCTTATAAGAAGTGCATAGACTTGCTTCAGTGAATCAATATATTATTTCGTAAACTGATTATCACACAACCCAACAGTAAAAAACAAAAAAACAACATGAACTATGGACTATACTATCAATTTTCCTTCAAAATATTGCAATAGTTTTACATGTACATATTGCACATGACTATCACAATGTGACAAGCAATTTAAAACTCCTGATACCCCACGAGGCCATGATTGCAGTGTGAGAGCAGCCATTAGCACTCACAGCGCCGGTGGAAGGATGAATGTGCATTGCATTACGGGAAGACGTGCAGCAAGCATGCATGCTTGAGACATCATGAAAAAATGTCAGCAACAGTCTCTGGATACAGACTTGTCAGCCACTCAAAGACATTTATGACAGCTGCTCTCCATTTTGAGATTAATCCCTTGAGAAATTCCAATTATGCCATTTAAAAAAAAAAATGGTGGGGGGGCATTTAAACTGCAGGGTTCCATTGGTTCTAAACACACATCCTAAAAATGTGTTAATATAATTTATAACAAGACAGTAGTTATGCAACTAATGCATGCACAGGTTTATGAATAAAAACAATTATTAGCAATAATTAGCATGAGTATTGCACAACCTACGATGATAATGAACAACCGGTACGCACTCACGATGATCACACAAGACTACATTAAAATCGATGCTTCAATATAAAATATTTATCCACATAAAAGGCAGTATGGCCATCTTATTTATGTATTCATTATGATAATTAGAAGAGACTGCCTGAAAAAAAATCCATACGTGCTACTATATTACAATATCAATGTAACGGGGTCAGGAGTTGGAATGACACAAGGCCCTGCATATTAAAACATTGGACAGCACTTAAATAAGCTTGTTTGAGCAGGGTCCTCATCTATTTATTGTTCCTGTGTCACGGTGTAATTGTCTTATTTATTGTAAATAAACCCCTTTCATAATATTGTAAAGCACTGCGGAATTAGTTGGCGCTATATAATACCAATAATAATAATACAAACAAGGCCTTAAACCAAATGGGTAATTATACACTGATCGCAAATACTGCGCACTCTATATAGAACAGTTAATAGGAATGATGGACACACTTAACTGTAAATATAAGATAAGGATCTGTAAATGGACAATAGAATTGCTTTACTTTGTAAAGTCAATTTAGAAATAACTAGAGTCTGGCTCGGCAGTTTACAGCTCGCCTGACTCAATTCCTGTGTGGGATCAGAAACCAGGCTCCTGTCCAAATAGTAGCATAGAAGACCTGTTCCATTGTGTGAGGAGAAAGTCTGATAACACATTGTTCCATTAAACCCTCTTCTTTTATAGCCCTGCGGAGAACGGATGTGGGAAATCCGATTAGGTCAGAATTTTGCTTGGTCAATCCCTGGTTGCAAGAGGCTTGCAGGGCAAGTGTTGCTAATTTCCCAGACAAACACGGCACTGAAAACTATTTGAGAAGTATATACTATATTCCACTAAGGCAGAGAAGGGGTTACGTTTATTATATGAGCGGAATCACATGAAAAGCTTCACCCTTCAGTCGTGGGGGTCGGGTTGTGAAAGGGTTAATGGAAAAGCAGAATCATTCCTGTGAGAAGCGAATGTAAGAGTCTGGAAATGGAAGTCTCATGAGGGAGGGGGGACTGGTGGGAGGGAAACGGAGAAAGAAGGGGGGGACGAGAATAAAAAAAGGATGTGGGGAAAAAAAAGAGAAGCCGACAAATAAAACGAGAGTGAATGGGCTGAAAAAAAAATAGATAAAAAGATATTTTTAGACACTGCAAAAGTGACAACAAAGAGAGCCAAAGCACACGCTGTTCAGGCAGTAATGCTGTGATGGAGCTCTGTCTAGCTGCATGATTAACGATGAAATTATAATACCATGTGATGTTTCCTAAAACAGGATATGTCAACATTAGTAAGCATGAGACTGACACACTGTATGGCTGAATCATTTTTCAATGGCCATTGCTCTCACACTCACATTTTCCAAGTCCCCTCCCAAGATGGTCACTAATTCCTAATCTGTTTGTCATTTGCACAGTCTGGCTTCCAGGATCACATTATAAGCATTACTGCTTCAATCACTTACTTCAGACCAGAGATGGCTAAAACTATGGCACCCCAGTTCTTGTAATCTAGGAATGTCATGATGCTCTGCAAACTAGCAAATGTTGTACTCATTCACAAGAAAGGTAGTAGGGAGGAGTCTGGCAACTATAGGCCAGTAAGCTTACTTCAGTAGTGGGGAAAGTGATGGAAACCATGTTAAAGGATAGGATTGCTGAACATCTAAAAATCACATGGATTTCAAGATCAGAGACAACATGGGTTTACTTCAGGGAGATCATGCCAAACTAATCTTATTGATTTTTTTTGATTGGGTAACTAAAATAATAGATCAGGGTGATGCAGTAGACATTGCTTACCTAGATTTCAGTAAGGCTTTTGACACTGTTGCACATAGAAGGCTCATCAATAAACTGCAATCTTTAAGTTTGGATTCTAATATTGTTGAATGGGTAAGGCAGTGGCTAAATGACAGGCAACAGAGGGTTAATGTCAATGGAGTATATTCAAAGCAAGGTCTAGTTACCAGTGGGGTACCTCAGGGATCTGTAATTGGACCCATTCCTTTTAATATTTTATTAGTGATATTGCAGAAGGTCTTGATGGTAAGGTATGTCTTTTTGCTGATGATACTAAGATATATAACAGGGTTGATGTTCCAGAAGGGATAAGCCAAATGGCAAATTATTTAGGTAAACTAGAAAAATGGTCAGAGCTGTGGCAACTGACATTTAAAGGACCACTATAGTGCCAGGAAAACATACTCGTTTTCCTGGCACTATAGGGTCTCTAGGTTCCCCCCCCCACCCTTAGGGTCCCCCTCCCACCAGGCTCTAGGGGTAGGAAGGGGTTAAATCACGTACCTTTCTCCAACACCAGGCTCCCTCGGCGGTGGGGACTCTCCGCCTCCTTTCCCCGTCATCGGGTGAATGCGTATGCGCAGTAAGAGCCGTGCGCGCATTCAGCCAGTCCATAGGAAAGCATTCTCAATGCTTTCCTATGGACGCAAGCTCCTTCTCACTGTGAAAATCACCATGAGAAGCGCGGAAGCGCCTCTAGCGGCTGTCAATGAGACAGCCACTAGAGGCTGGATTAACCCTAAGGTAAACATAGCAGTTTCTCTGAAACTGCTATGTTTACAGCAGAAAGGGTTAATCCTAGATGGACCAGGCACCCAGACCACTTCATTAAGCTGAAGTGGTCTGGGTGCCTATAGTGGTCCTTTAATGTGGATAAGTGCAAGATAATGCATCTTGGACGTAAAAACCCAAGGGCAGAGTATAGGATATTTGATACCCTACTAACCTCAACATCTGAGGAAAGGGATTTAGGAGTAATTATTTCAGATGACTTAAAGGTAGGAAGACTCTTGTAATAGAGCAGCAGGAAATGCCAGCGGAATACTTGGTTGTATAGGGAGAGGTATTAGCAGTAGAAAGAGGGAAGTGCTCATGCCATTGTAGGGAACACTGGTGAGACCTCACTTGGAGTATTGTACGCAGTACTGGAGACCGTATCTTCAGAAGGATATTGATACTCTAGAAATTGTTCAGAGAAGGGCTACTAAGCTGGTTCATGGATTGCAGGATAAAAAACTTACAAGGAAAGACAAGACAGGTGGGATATGATAGAAACATTTAAATACATAAAGGGAATCAACACAGTAAAGGAGACTATATTTAAAAGAAGAAAAACTACCACAACAAGAGGACATAGTCTTAAAGGACCACTATAGTGCCAGGAAAACATACTCGTTTTCCTGGCACTATAGTGCCCTGAGGGTGCCCCCACCCTCAGGGACCCCTCCCGCCGGGCTCTGGAGAGAGGAAGGGGTTAAACACTTACCTTTCTCCAGCGCCGGGCGGGGAGCTGTACTCCTCCTCTCCTCCTTGCTCGCGACGTCATCGGCTGAATGCGCGGCAGGAGCCGCGCGCGCATTCAGCCGGTCGCATAGGAAAGCATTTACAAAGCATTTACGTGCTCTCACTGTGATTTTCTCTGAAACTGCTATGTTTATAAAAAAAAGGGTTAATCCTAGAGGTACCTGGCACCCAGACCACTTCATTAAGCTGAAGTGGTCTGGGTGCCTAGAGTGGTCCTTTAAATTAGAGGGGCAAAGGTTTAAAAATATCAGGAAGTATTATTCTACTGAGAGGATAGTGGATACATGGAATAGCCTTCCAGCGGAAGTGGTAGAGGTTAACACAGTGAGGGAGTTTAAGCATGTGTGGGATATGCATAAGGCTATCCTAGACTTAAGATAAGGCCAGGGACTAATTAAAATTATTTTAAAATATTGGCCAGACTAATTGGGACGAATGGTTCTTATCTGCTGTCACATTCTATGTTTCTATTGACTAGGAGTGGCAAATCTAGGCTCTCTCCAGCACCCAGGGACCACCAGTTCCTTAGAAAGGTGTATACCATTCCCACAAAGTTTTTTCAAGAGAAAGCCCTTTCCTCATTGAAGTCCCAGACTTTGCCGGAGGACGAAATGTGGGTTCAAAATGGTCATAAGTGGTTTAACCGCCAGGCACCATAACAACTTCACTGAAATAACATTTTAGGGTGACTGGAGTCTTCCTTTATTAGAGTGGGAATTACATTTCTGCATTATTATTAAGGCGTCACTGTTTGTGACATCGCCGGTTCCGGTGGCTGCTATGAGTAAGATTTACTTACCTGAACGATGTCCGCCATGGGCACACCCATCTTGCTCGGCCTGCGCCGAGATCCCTCCTGTACTCAGCAATGAGCTCTATGGAGAATCCTGGAGAACGCAGGATTCTCAAGACAGAGCCAGTTCCCTGCAGCCATCACTGGTGACGGCTGTCAGGATTGATACTTAGACTTCAACCACAGCCTAAGAAAGTCTGGCGAAGGTGAAATACAAAGACAAAATAGTCCCTACTTTGTTTATGGAATTGCCGCCATAAAGGTAGCTTTACCAACCAATACATTCCTAAACATTTTGACAAAGAATCACGGGCCAGTGCCCAGATGCTTTTGACAACATAACCACTAAACTGAGATTTAATAGTTATGCAGCTTACAGTGTCCCTTTAAACTTCAGTGATTGCAAACCTACAACTGCAGAAGCCACATTGTGGCCACCACTGATCTATTGCTCTAATTATCTATTACAATCTGGGTGCCAGAAAACCAATCAATACGTATTCCACAACAGCTGGAGTGCTGAACAGCATTGATTACTACAGAGCGTGTGCCAGCGAAGTGGAATGACTTCTAGATCCCTTTTCCCATTACCCATGGTTTGCCCAGGGGCGTATTAGCCGCGAGGCAAACAAGGCATTTGCCTTGGGCGGCATTTTTCAGGGGGCGGCAAAAAACGCCGCCCCCCAAATGCCCAGGGCAGATGCCTAGTTAGCCTTGCGGCTAACTGACATCCCGGGCGGGCTGGGTGGCGCTGGCAGGCGGGCGGCTGGCGAGGGAGCACCTCCTCTGAGCGGTCTGCTCAGCTCCCTCGCGCGCCGCAGAGTGAGGCTGGGAGCCGGAACATGACATCATCTTCCGGCTCCCAGCCTCACTCTGCAGCCGGCGCGCGAGGGAGCTAAGCAGACAGCTCATAGGAAGAGCTCCCTCGCCAGCCGCCCAGCCCGACCGGCAGCCACTGGACCACCAGGGAGAGAGAGACCTCCCCCCCCAGCACTCCCAAAGGTAAGGAGGTTGGGGGGGGGATTTAAATTAAAAAAAAAAATTAATGTGTGTGTGTGTGTGTCTGTGTCTTACTGTGTGTGTGTGTCTGTGTCTGACTGTGTGTGTCTGACTGTGTTTGTGAGTGTGTGTGTCTGACTGTGTTTGTGTGTGTGTTTGTGTCTGACTGTGTTTGTGTGTGTGTATGTGTCTGTGTGTGTTTGTGTCTGACTGTGTTTGAGTGTGTGTGTGTGTCTGACTGTGTTTGTGAGTGTGTGTGTGTCTGTATGTGTGTGTTTGTGTCTGACTGTGTTTGTGTCTGTGTCTGACTGTGTGTGTGTGTATTTAGAAGGTGGGGCGGGGGGAAGGGTTGGGTGGGGGTGGCGCGGGGTGAGGGGGGCGTCTGAGTTTTGTCCTGCATAGGGCAGCACAAAACCAGGATACACCACTGGGTTTGCCTCCAGTGCAATCACACCCTTATTACTGGCATTTATAGAGCGCCAACAAATTCCACAGCGTTGTACAATTGGGAAATAGACAAACACAATAATAACAAACCGATACATCAGGTAGAGGACCCTGCCCGTGAGTTTACAATCTAAAGGTGGACTCAATGCTGCCCAGTCTGTCGCTCTCCCAGATGGGCAGCATTGAGTCCCAGTGTAGGGGTCCCATGCCCACCATATCTCCCTGAGTACACAGCACATGGTCAGTGCATGAAAAGGGCTGCCCTGCAGTATACAGAATTCACTCAATGCAATAATTAATACCCACCATGTCTCCCTGAGTACACAGCACATGGTCAGTGCATGAAAAGGGCTGCCCAGCAGTATACAGAATTCACTCACTGCAATAATACCCACCATGTCTCCCTGAGTACACAGCACATGGTCAGTGCATGAAAAGGGCTGCCCAGCAGTATACAGAATTCACTCACTGCAATAATTAATACCCACCATGTCTCCCTGAGTACACAGCACATGGTCAGTGCATGAAAAGGGCTGCCCTGCAGTATACAGAATTCACTCACTGCAATAATGACATATACTAAGCAGGAGCTCCTATTTATAACTGGCTTCCCTCCTGCAGCATGTGAATGCTACATACAGTAACATGGCAGTTCTTTTCATGATGTATAAATAAATAAATAAATGTGGGAGGGAAGGACTAGCTGCCAGAAAGCCATGGCAGCCCTATGGCAGTCAGTGATTGCTGTCAGTAATGGCTCTGTCACTCACAGGGGGGGAGGGGGGGAATGTCCTGCCTCCATTGATTTATTAATTTGCCCCCTCCCCCCAGTGTCACGTGACCAGCCTGATACCTTGCTGCACAGCAGAACGCGCTACCTGATGTCACGTGACGCGATCTCTCCAGAGAAGACCACACGGCCGCCGCCTTCCTGCTCTCACAGGTCCCCGCAGGCTCCCCTAGAAAAAACAGCCAATCACAGGCTTCGGGGCTCCCTGAACATCAAATCGAGGCTTGGAACCCGCCGCAGCCAATAAGGTCCTCAGTTCTCTCTCTCTCTCTCTCCACTGAGACACGCCCACTCTTGAAACTTCAACTCCCGAGAGCCTCCTCGAGATTCACGCAGCGAACATATAGTCCTTATTGCGGACGCTCACACCGTGACCCATTCACTGACACTGAGTTACGGGGCTGTGCTATCACCCCGAGTGAGGAGAGCGGCGGAGGGATCCGCTCTGTGAGGAGGCCCTGAGCGGATGCTGCTCTCTCATTGGTCGCTTAGGATCCAGAGCTGAGGAGGAGGAAGAGGAGGAGGAAGAAGAGCGGGCTGCTGGTAACAATAACACTGAGTGATTATAATGATGATTTAATCCGTGTATAATAGGGATTGTTATTTTAATCTGTGCAATGGGCACCCTCTAATAAACCCAGAATATTGCTGGCAGGGGGGGTGGGCAGACACACAGGGCTTGGCTGATGGTACATGTTAGAGTGTAAGCTCCTCTGGCCAGGGCCCTCTCCCCCTAATGTTCCTGTATGCCAATCATCACGTTTTGTTAGAATTTATTGTTTTTGGTTTTGTTTACCTATTGTACAGCGCTGCGGAATATGTTGTAGCTATACAAATTCATTGTATTAACTGCTGGGCTAAGAGTAAGGCTGCTCGTTCTAATCCGCTATGTTTACACGAACACGTTACGAAAAATCTGTACGAACGTCGATTTCATTTGTTGTTGGGAACTATCCAGAAATCACTGTCTTGGTTGAAAGAATAAGTCAAATTTCTTCTTGAGTGATTGATATATATATATATATATATATATATATATATATATATACATACATACATACATACATACATTACGCACCACAAAAGTTAAACCACTGATGGGTGAAGTGAATAACATTATTATATTATTTATATTATGATTATGTTGTTACAATAGCACCTGTCAGGGGGAGGGTGATGATAGGCAGCAAGTGAACAGTTATTGATTTTCATGTGTTGGAAGCTAAAAGATCTGAGTGACTTTGCCAAGGGCCAAATAGTGATGTCTAGACAACTGGGTCAGAGCATCTCTAAAACAGTCTTGTGGGATATTTCCAGTATGCAGTGGTTAGTACCTACAAAAAGTGGTACAAGGAAGGAGAACCCGTAAGCCGCCATCAGTGTCATGGGCGCCCAAGGCTCATAGATACACGTGGGAAACTAGCCCAGAATAGCTACAGTAGCTCAAATTGCTGAAAAAACCTTCATGCTGTCTATGATAGAAAGGTGTCAGAAAACACTACCTGAGTTGAGTAGCTGCAGACCGTTCAGAGTGCTTTTGATGACCCCTGTCCACCCCTGCTGCTATTGTCTTGGTGCCAGATAACACAAGACTTGTTCAGATATCTTGTGGAGTCCATGCATCAGAGCTGAAATGGCAGCACAAGGGAGACATACATGATCGATATATCCATTAGTTAATAAAATGTTAAAACAAAAATCTGCACACCAGTCAAGCCATAAGACTTGCTTTTCCCACAGAAATCATAAATCTGCAGTGATGTTACTACCGCAAAGGATTCTGGGTGGGCATATGCAAATTAGTTTAACAAAGAATCACATGTTTGCCTCATTCAATTTTTTTAAACATGGATTCCTTTTGGTGAACTTGACAATCCTAGTCACTGCTTACAGTAAAAACTGTTCACATATCAGGAACTGCAGAACTTTAAATAATCTACTGAAGGGGTTACAGAATCTGTTTCGTATATATTTAGATTGCAATGCAAGAATGGATTACAGAATAATTTTTTGCAATTTGAGAATGTATCAACAAGTCTTGTATGTGCTTTGGGTCCTTGTATAGAAAACCACTGGACTGCTATAGCACATTCTTTGAAGTGTACCTTGATTGACACCAGTTGGTTTTTAGTGACAGTAAGTTAAATCAATACTGTTTGCTGTTTAAAGATATTGGCCCTTGCCTCGCCTGTCACTGAGTTCTTTACTGGGTGATATGCATTAAACATCACTGTCATTTTATGAGAATTGATTGACAGGTAGGAGCAGGAGACCATCCCTAAGACAGTTCTGTTACAGAAACTACAGGGCATGGTTGTAGTTGTTCTAATTATTCATTTGTCAAGAGTGTCTCACTCTTTTCTAGAGAAATACGGGGACACTTTTTTATATCATTACAGTCAGATGATAATATGCCGGCAAAGAAAGTATGTTAATCCTGGGAGGTAGGTGTGCATGCTTGGGAAAATGGAGTTAGGAAGGAATAGAGGTGGGTGTTAAATTAGTGTTAACAATTAATCTGGGTGATGATAGTGCTGCACAGTTGCAAATGTTTAGTTACTACCTCGTAGAACTTATACATATATTATCTACTTGGTACATTATGTATTCTTTGCTTAAGGTTATGTCGGCACTTACATATAAATGTGTAGCAGTCTTTGCACCATAACCACTACTGACAGATGCAGTGTTTATGGTGCTTTCAAGCTATTATGTGAATTATGGATTGATCTTTTCAATTCCCAGTTTCCCATATTACAGTAGGTATAAAATTACGTTATGAGGGCACTTTGGAAGTGCCCTCAGCTACCAATAATTAAAATGTTGGCACTCATGCAAAAGAGTGGGAGACCCAAAAGAGGGACCGTCAGGACTGGTTAGGCCGACCCCCGCATAACTTTATGCCTTCTATTGCTCTGCGTTGGAAAGCTAAGAGAGACTGTAGGAGGAATATGTGGTCAATCAGTGTCCAGTTCCCTCCACTTTTTGGAAATGTCAAGACAGGCAACCACTGTATTGTCGAGGTGCACGTGTAGACCTATAATTTGCTGCTTTTACTCCATAATAGACATGCTAAACAAGAATTGTGGTGCCACAAGTTGGGGAAATATAGTTAGGCTTAACTGTCTGTTTACTTTACCATAGGTATTTCATTTATCACTGAATTCTATTTCGCAACACAAAATGATTCAATATTTAGTCTCTACCATGGCAGCACCTCTTAACGATGTGATATAGCCTTATTTGAAAATATTCAATTGGGATTGAACTGTCATCACCATGGTTCTGTATATCAATAGCATATTCTCTGCTACTAAATGATGTCCTGGACTGCAAGGAAATGGCACAAAACAAAAAAACCTCTCAATTTTTCAAATTAAAGATTCATGGGAAATTTTTTTTTTTTTTTTTTTTTTTTTAAAGGTGCTGATGCACTTCCTTAAATCCTCATTTTATCTGCTGTCATTGAGACCGCATTGTTTATTGGGAGTGTTCACTTCCATTCTGGAAGTCTGTTTATTTAGTTTTGGCAAAATATATAGATCTCATGCTACCATTTTTGAAACCTGCAGCCATAATTTTAAATTATCATTGTCTGTGATAGGAATAAAGCTTTATTATAGTAGTATAGGACCTCTGCCGTTGCAATCTTTCAAACCTTAATAATTTTTTATTTTATTTTTACTGTACAGTGTACTCCTGAAGACTTGTTTATTTTCCAAGGAAACCCCACCAGCAGCAGGTGCTTAGTGAAGGCAAGTATAACCATACATATAACTTTAATACACCCAGTGGCTGTCCACTAAACGTGTGTGTGTGTGTGTGTGTGTGTGTGTGTGTGTGTGTATATATAATTAATTATAGTGTGTGTGTGTGTGTGTGTGTGTGTGTGTGTGTTTAAAAAAAAAAAAAGAACTGACCAACAGAAGAAACTGTACTAGTATTTTTGTTTCTATATATAAGTAAACCGACGTTATGAAATTATGTTTCAGTAATCCTCAGATGGCCAATTAATTGTTGATTTATTGCTATAATGTTTTATGATTCAGACTTATTTTCTTCTTCTAAACAAACAAGGTAGCACAGAGGGATAAGTGAGAATGTCAGGAGATTTGTCCATATGAATCACAGACAAGTACAACCGTTATTAAAGCGGAACTCTCACTTCCCGTGAAGTATCAGTTCCTTTTTACTTTCCTAAATAATGCAGGGGAAGGTAAGTAAAAGAACTTGCTTACCTGCTCAGCATTAATGCCTTGGAACAGTTTTGCCACATCAAGTGGTCTCCAGCACATGTTTATAAGGGCTTCAAACTTAAGAACGTTTGTATGCTTGCATGCACATTCTGCACGGGTCGTCCCTCTCCTCCCATAATTTGATCACTATCACATTACATGGTCCCAGTTTTCCTTATCGATGAGTACCTGTGGCACAATTAGAGCCGATGGAATGAGTTGGATTTTCACAAGCACCCATTGTGCAGTTTTTAAAACGTGATTTATTTATTTATTTATTTTTTTTTTCTTACTCCGCCTCCTAAATTCTGCCAGTACTGTAAAATGACATCACAACGTTGAACTGTTCCCAAGTTATTCAGTTTTCTCAGTAGCTGCTCTTCCTCGTCCTTTGAGTGCTGCCCTCTCCACACTTGATTCCCTTTGCTTAGTATCAGTTGTGCTCCGATTCCTGAGCCCTGGCTTGTTTCTAACCATGCTGCTATAATTAAGATTGGCTTCAAGCTACCATACAAATCTATAAACTATACTATAGCCATCAGTCCTGGCCACTTGGCCTCCCAAATGTCATTGTATTTTTATCGATGGTAAACCAAATGAGATGATCATGCCTTGTCACACTTTTGTGTAGACTTTTCAAAAAGTTTTCCAAACGATTCAATACTGTTAGAAAAACTTTTCAAATAAATTAACCGTATTGAGTTTATTTAACCAAGACCTTTTGTAGGCAGCAGCATGAGTGTATGTATGTGGAAGGAAAAAGGCATAAGATGAACATGTATACAGAAAGAGGAAAAGCATGGGTTTATGTTCTTAATTACTTTTACAGCATTGTGTAAGTTGGTATATGTTTTCTTGTTTTATTTAAATTCGTTTTTGTTATAACATGGTAAATTCTATTTATTTTGTTTCCCTGCTAATCTGATATATCTATTTTAATATCATTCTGAAGAAAACTATTTTAGATTAAGATGTGACCTGTTCCCTGCTAGTGTGCTCACTATTGTAAATGGGCTGTACAATAGGTAAACAAGACAAACATTTCTTTCTAATAACTGATAAAATATGTATTTTATCTCTATCTCTATATCTCTCTCTAGAGAGAGGGGTTAGGTGACATTTCCAATCATTTCATTTTATTGAGAGGAGCAGACCTGTAAGGTAGCACGAGGTATGATAAAAAGGAAAAGTTGATGGTTATGTGTACAGAGTCAGGAAGTATGTTGTGTGAAATGGATTTACATTCATAAAATCTTAATTCCATAACAGAGCTGACTTTTTTACATTTTCAAGAAAATAATTTTAGTCATTTCAAAATGAAGGGGAAAATCCAAAACATTTGATTTATGTGGTGATCATAATGCCAGCGCCTGGGTTGTACCATAAGTAAACCTAATGCCAGCGCCAGGGGTCTTACCATAAGTAAACATAATTCCAGTGCCAGGGGTCGTACCATAAGTAAACCTAATGCCATCGCCAGGGGTCGTACCATAAGTAAACCTAATGCCAGCGCCAGGGGTCGTACCATAAGTAAACATAATGCCAGGGGTCGTACCATAAGTAAACATAATTCCAGTGCCAGGGGTCGTACCATAAGTAAACCTAATGCCAGCGCCAGTAGTCCTATCATAAGTAAACATAATGCCAGCGCCAGGGGTCGTACCATAAGTAAACATAATGCCAGCGCCAGTAGTCCTATCATAAGTAAACATAATTCCAGCGCCGGGGTCGTACCATAAGAGTCCTATTTTAATCAGAAAGTCACTTCATCTTTACTTTGTGTTAGCCAAAAAATCACTCTCATCTGTCTGTGAAAATTAAAGAATTCTTTAAAAAAAAAAAAATCTGTTTGCACTTATGCTGCACCTATAGTAATATCAAATATTCAATATATTCCTTTACTTTTTCGAGTGGGCACGACCTACTTCTTCCTTGTCGAGCATTGCCAATAACCAGTATTTAGTCATTCAGTTTGTGCAATCTTAAGAGAGTAATGATAAATAAGTATTCTGCAGAAAGCTGAGACCATGTCGGGGGTGCATTTAAATGCTCCTCTGACTAGTCACAGGATTTCTTCCTCTGGTACAGTAAGAGATATGGCCTCTGGCTACAGCAGCAGGTACTGTAGAGAAGTGACGAGGGGATTGCAAATTTAAAGCCAAAATAGCTTAATTTATATGATTCTCGAATCCCTCTTATTCCAGAATATATTTTTTTAGCCTAGAAATTGCAGTTCCCTTGTCAGTGCTCCACAATTTCTGATTTAATCAATTAAACCCATATTATGTTTAATATAAGGGTTTAACTACTTTGTTTTAATCTCCTAAGTGAGATGAAACCCTAGTTTAAAATAAACTATACTTCATGCACCTAGCTTGCTGTCCCAAATTTCTTAGAATGATAAATACTGTGGGTAGGGATTTCATTAGTATTATATCTGCTATCTGTTTTGATCACACCATGTAGAAGTCAAAAAGTGCATCTGCATTGCTGTGCATGGTAAAATAAACTTTTTTAATATAGTTGTTTTTTCTTTTAATTTAACTCATTACTGGTCAAGTCTGACTATTCAGTTTTGCAATTCTTTTAGAGTGTGAGTGATCACAACAATGTAAATAAAATAGACCTCCCACGGAAAACATAAATGTTTATGGAACTGCTACAACTGTTAGAATAAAAGCCACGTTAAGCAGAATCCTCTGCTTAAAAAAAAATAAAAACACTCTGGATAAGAGCACAATATAAGAACTGATAAATATGTATACATTAAGACTTTTCTAACCTGCCAGAACACAAAAAGCAATGTTTCTTTTTATCGTTGAATATAAATCTCTGTACACCCACGATGTCACACAGAGCGACACTTTAACATTTCCATAATTATTTTTAAATTCGCTTTCCTTTGATGGTGCTTAGGAAGTTTTGGCAGCTTCATTGGAAAGTTACTGACATCATGCAAGCCTGCATAGGTGAGCAGTACCCCTAACCCAGACCATTGTATACCTTTTTTAATCTCATAAAAGGAAAAATCAGTGTAATCATATGGGGATCAAAAACCACTGAGCAGAATTTGTTAAAAGGAAGTGGAGTTGGTGCAAATACCCTGTTCATTTTCTCAGACCATGTGGTCTCAGACCATTTCTGAGAAACGGCAATGTTTACATTTGCCTGACCTCTGGAGCTTGTCAGGCAGGCACTGGAGGCACCTGTACCTAAAAGACCTTCAATTTTCGGGGTTATCACACACAGCATGGCTACACAGAACACTGCAAATATTTCTTAGATTGGCGGCTCTTGGCTATTGCTGCTTGTGTACAGCCAACCAGCAGTGCTTTTCTGTGGGTTATTTTTATTTATTTTTTTCAGATGAATGTTTTGAGTGTTGTGGATATAGACAAGGGTATTGACGAGACATTTAAATTCTTCAGTTAATTTTCCGACTTTGATAGTTTGGCTTAGAATTTTCAGTTCCTTGTTTATTGAATAATCATGCTACTGAAAAGATTTACTCTGTGACACAGGGGATTTCAAAATGCTCTCTCTCCGCCATTTTATTAAATCCATCTTCTATTTTGTGCTTATTTCTCCCATTTATTAAACACGAAGTTATAGCTTCTCTATTGACCTCTTATCTAGCCACCTGTTACTTTCGTCCCAGACTCCCTGAATTATTTTTTCTCACAGGTTAATGGGATTTGTTCAGCTCCAGGATAGGAGTGCTAGGATTGGCTGAAGCTCACTGGGAAACTGTAAACATTTGCACTAAATGCAGAGGCTTCAAATATTTTTAATGCATAACCCATATCTGTGGTTTTTGTAACCCCGGGGGTCTCCTTTGGTAGGAAGAGGGGCATCGTATGTAATGGTAATAGAGCACAATAAATACTGTAGGTTGTCTTCCTCCTACCTTAGATACATCTGTGACATTGAGGAGAGTTTTGCTAGATGTATGTTTTTTAATGTGAATTTTATATTCCATTTTAAAGCAGGAAAATCTTGTATGATTGGCTTTTTTTTTTTTTAATTTTATTTTTTTGACTTTCCAGATGGAGAGTGTTGGGCCTGCTGTCCAGCCATTGGGTGCAGAGAGTGATGACACCAAAGAGAACATGGATGCTGCGTATACAGGGTAAGGACGATATTGGAGAGTGTGCTATCGACGAGAAGCTATTATAGCTGCAATTCTTACATTGCACATACTGCCAGGTCTATTCACTAAACAATGAATCTTATTGAATCGATAACTTAACTACAAAATAGCTGAATTGGGAAAAATTCTCCAACTCGATAAGTCACAGCTTGGTTCTTTTAGCCGAACTCCAAAGCGAAATTCCCTGAACTCGTTTCACGCATCAACCATGGTTGAGAAAGCACCGTTCCAGGCGTAAAACGCGTTCAGGGCATTTCGGTCCTTCCTTGGGTCACTTTTATGTGGTTTCCCTTAAAAGGTGCCGTTCTTTTATAATTTTTCCTAGCTTCTGTTCTACCTTTGACAAATTTTTTTTTTTTTTTCACAGTGAGTTTTTTACTGCATATTAGGACAGGCTAAGCTCACAGAGCCTTCACATACTATGATATTGGACTGGCGCATATGAGGACTGTTCAAGGCAATTTTTTTTGCTTCTGTTTCCATGTTTTATATTTTTTTTTTTTTTCCTTTTTCTTTTGCAAATAAATGTACTTTTTCTAAGCTTGGTGTGCAATGGAATGTACTATTAAAGTCTGAGTCTGCGGAAATTAGGGATCTTTTAGGGATAAGTTTTTCTATTGGAGTTTTCGAAGCCCAGCACCAAGGATGTGTATGTTAAATTTTATCCACGTGAAATGCATCTGATAACTGGCAAAGATATTCCATGAGATTGTAGCTGCGGCAATCTGTTCGTTTGATTGTTTAGTTGGAAACTTTTTTAGCCTGTAGCATTTTATTTTTCAGCTTATTGAATTTTGGTGTTCAGTGGATAAACAATTGTTTGTCTTCAAGTTAAGGTGCATATAGAGAGCAATATTTTCAGGGGGGAAAAAACGTGGAACGTAGCCTTCTAATCTTACAATTATTTACTTGTTTAAACATGATGGTTTTTTTTAGAAAGAGGAAAAATCTTTTCAAATCTTTAGTCATTGCTTATGCCAAGACAATACAATGCTTTCCATTATTGTACTCTTGTTAAATTAAAGTGCTTGGCAGTTGTTGGAATAATTTCTGCCCCCGGTGAATAGCACAGTGGTGTTTTTATTTTTGTTAACGCATATGGAAGCTGTCCGATATCACATAGTTAACTAATAAACGAAGTAAAAACAACACATACAATGAAAATAAGAGTTACAAAAATGTGATGTACTGATGCTGGGGAAAACATGCATCATGCAAAATAATGAATATATTGAGCCCAAATTGTTTGTGGTTTTTTTTTTTTTTTTTTCATTACAAATTAAATCCTTCTGTTTGTAAATTTGATGTCACATCCCAGGCTCTTTACATGGACTACATTCATGTGCTGGATTGCAAACATGGACTAATTTGTTGGTCCGTGATCCTTAAAGGGCCAGGCCTCTAAAGTACTCCAGCTTGTTGATGTGTTTTATGTGTAAAGTGTCCTCCTTTCCGTTTTACAAAAAGTGCAGATTTCAATAAATTGTCACTTTTATAAAATAACCTGGCTGTCAATCAGACAACCGGTTATGTTACTTCCTGGTTTGGTTAGCTCAGTGGAGCTAAACTCAAGAGGCAGCAATATGCTCAGTCTTGCTTAAAACGTCTTATTGAGCTGCATTTGTAAGTGTGTGATTGGACCATCACAGAATGTCTAGGTGGGGTTAGCAGACCAGAAAACTGCAGCTCTTGTGAGCCCTTTTAGATATAAACCCAATGTAAAAATACATGGTTTCATTAAGGGTATATCTACTAAACAGATTTATTTCCCTTATTTAAATTAACCTACAGACATTGACCATGTTCCCAAACTCTAGAAAACTGAATGTTAAAAAAATGCTAGACCCTTTACAATGCCTTGTTAATCTATTTTAACCCTTGTTGTGAAACCAATTATGGTATGTGATTGGCATTCATCCACCTCCTGTTTCCTGTTTTTTGCACCAGATCTAAAACATGTTACACACATTTTGTAAAGGTAGACAATAAGCAGTACTTTAACATTGTCAGGTGCCTACTGCGAAATAGCCACCCAACACAATAGACAGGAAATGTAAGTATTAGGGTATGTGATTTGGAGTGCAGATTTGGCAGAATTCCAAACTGTATTAAAGGAACATTAACCCGTATTCCTAATGCTACTGTGTTCTTGCCCCACCATCCTTTGCAAGGTCTCATTTCCACAGACTGAAAGCCTGTACTGGGGAATACACAAATCAGAGGCTGCTCATTGAAAAACTTCTGTAGTGGAGCTGCACTCGATCACAGCTTTCCAATGTTTCATAGTGAGCTGTAAAACTGTGACATCCAGGGAGGTCTTTCTACCTCCAATTATAAAACTGCCAATTTCTTTTGAAATTGTCAAAAAAAAAAAAAGACAGACTTCATTAAGCGTTGTGTCTGGAGTGTTTTGTTTTGCTTTTTTTAAGCCACCTGTTAGTCTGGAATATATGTTGAGATACTTTACCTTGTGTCTTTGTTTTGTTATAAAACTTTGCAAAAGGTTAACAACTTGTTATTGTTCTAAATATCCATCCTCAGGACACCTGTATCAGACTGTTCACAACAACATGGAGCTGCTCAACCCCCCACTCCCCATCAAGAACAGGAGGATCTAGCATTACATAGTGGGGATCAGCAAATGGTAGACAGTGAAGAACCGAGGCAAGAGGAAGAGGTAAGAAAAGAACATGTAAGGCTTGGGGGGGCGGGAAAGCAAAGACACAACTAGAGAGAAAAGAAAATGTAAAGGGGTGATTGAATGGAAAACCAAATTGAGCTCATGAATGTGGAACAGTTGACGGATGGATGTGACGTGAAGGAAGTTCATGCTGAAAGATGCTTCCAACCTCTTGTAGCAGTCAAGAGGTCGACGTGGTGGCTGGACCAAAGGGCGCAAGAGGAAAAGGAGTCCTCGGGACAACAATGCCCCAAAAGCACCTCTGACTGGATATGTGCGTTTTATGAATGAAAGGCGGGAGCAACTGAGGGCGGAAAGACCAGATGTGCCATTCCCTGAGATCACCAGAATCGTAGGCAGTGAGTGGAGCAAGTTGCCCGCCCACGAGAAGCAGGTGATTTACCTTTGTTTTGGCAGAGTAGATTTTGTATATCCACCCTCACCATGTCCAAGAATGTAATTTGTTCCATCCATACTCATGACCCTTTTCACTCCACCCACTTGCCGATACGATGCTGATTGGTCCCTGTGCTGCAATTTAGCATTGATTACTTGAGTAATATCCTATGGTTTTTTTGTTTTGTGGCTTTTTAAGAGCATGGGAGGTGACTGTTCAAAAAAAGTGTGTTCTTTCCTACCGCACACCAGTAGCCTATTTTGTCTTCTGGCCACCCACGGGACACATGCAGTCTGCCATTATCCTTCCCTATTCATGAATTCATCCTACATATACATCTAAATTGAATCTTAATGTGATTGAGCGTAAGATATTTACTTCCTCTGGTTTGAGAACAGGATCTCCTTTGTAGTAGAGAAGCGTTCAGCTCCCATACTTGTGACCAACACTTAAATAATAGCCATCCATAATAGCTGGGTGATTGATTGCTCATTGCCCAACAGATGAAGTGTAGCCAGTGACCTTTCTCCCCTATTTATACTAATACTTTCTTCTGTCTCTTCTATTTTCTAAGCTGTGCTTCACCTAACTCCTTACTCCTTGTGTTTTTCTCCTAATTCACTATACTGTCTGTCCTGAGACCTCTCTCTGCCTCCCCCAGCACTGAGCTGTGTGTATTCTAGCATTACCTGGATGAAGCAGAAAGAGACAAGGAGCGGTATACAAAGGAACTCCAGCAGTACCAGAAAACCGAGGCCTTCCGTTCATACAGCTGCAAGTCACAGAGTCACCAGAAGGGAAGGCAGCAAAGACAGGGTGAGCTTTAGCGAGAAAGATGGCTCTATTTAGAAGGGACCAGTGGGACTTCTACATGTGCATACCAGCAGGAAGGAACTAGCTAAGAATGGATCGCAGCATCAATATATTCCTGAAAACTATTAGTTTTGTCTGCATTGCATATTATTTTAATAGTTACAATAAGCAAATGCAGGTTTCATGGACTCTGTCATCAGCAGAAATCTTGGTTCTGCATTTAAACCTATAGTTTTGATGTGCAAGTTTATCAGAATCAATATGCCATGTACAGCTCAGATCCCCAATTATTATTTTAATATTTTTTGGCATTTGTATAGCGCCAACATCTGCAAGGCTTTACAATGTTGTAAAAATTACCAGAAAAGAAACATACAAAATGTTACAGGAACAATACTTTAAGGGCCATGTTTAAACGAGTTTACAGTCTAGAGGAGGTTGAGTATAAAGCACAATAGGACTGGCATTTCTGCTCAGAAGACTTGTTGTTTAAAGGGATATTATAGACACCTAGACCAGTTCAGCTTATTGAAGTATTCTGGGTGCAGTGTCCCTGGTCCCTTAACCCTTGCAGTTTTTGATAAAGTTCAATTGCTACCTGCCAGGGTTAACTTCACCTCTAGTGGCTGTCCGGGTGGTTAGGCGACTTTTAATCATCTAACTGATGCTGGACATCCTCACGCTCTGCATGAGAACATCCAGCTTCACCCAAAACCAGATACAATGCTTTCCTATGTCGGAAGTTCTACTGCTCCTGTGTATGCGCATTAGGACCCTCTGCTGGCTGATATCAGTAGAGCCTGTGGGACATTGATGCTGGAATGAGGTAAGTGACAGAAGGAGTTTTAACCACTTCTGCACCAAGGGGGGCACTGTATGGAGCTATATTGCCAGGAAAACAACTTTGTTTTCATGGCACTATAGTTTCCCTTTAAGCAAAAGGCATCTAGTGTTTGAGCAGTGCCTGCAACATATTCATAACTAAGTGTGATCACACTTGGTTAAGTAAATAACCTTGATGAAGTGTACAGCCCAGGGAAGAAGGTGTTTGAGCATTGCTTGGGACTGTATATAGACAAGCTTCTGGAAGAGCAGAAAGTATGTATTTCAGACAAGTATTTGAATGAGCGGACTCTCGAGTCTGCAATAAACCATCTGTATCTAACCTAAATTTAAATTCCAAATGTAAATTTATTTAAATATTTTTTTTTTTTTTTTTTTTTATTTGGTTTGATCTAGTGCATGGGTGTATGATATCCCTGTGCACTATAAAATAATCAAATTCTCTCGAATAGGGCTAATATGCTCCCAGAAAGGAACATTGTAAAGAGAGTTGTGTAACTGGGGTTCAGGGCTACGTCATCGACTTTTTTTAAAGGTGTCTGGTCATATGATTAAAATATCTTTTTATTATTCTCGCCTTAAATGTTTTTTATTTTTATCCATTTTTATTGGGTTCTTATAGCACATGGATGTAAGAGAGCGAGCCAGGGGTGACAGCTAGGATGGTGGGGAATATAAGATGGTATGGACAAATTGGAAATTGGGTATGAGACTGATTTCCCTCCTAATTTCTATTTTTTTATTTAGAAGGAGCTCGTACAATCTCCAGTGGCCCAGAGGTAAGGATACCACATCACTATAAGCCCCCTAAAAAGGACATTTAAGCTGTGCTAACAGACAGGCTTTGTTTAATTGACATTTTCTTACATTACCCTATTCATTTGCTCTAGTTCTCCACTGATTTTGTGTTTTGGAAGCATTCATTTGGTCCAATAAAGGAAAAATAGGGAGGGGGGTGGGGGGGCGGGGATTTAGAAGAAATGGTGAAGACAAAAGGAAAGACCACGAGAAACCAAGATGGGTTAAAGGGAAATGCTAGATTGTGTGTGTCTATGTATTTTGTACCTGGTGTCTTAAAAATATACAATGTCATTTTATTTTATTTTTTTTAAACCACTAACCGCGTTTGGAGTTTTTGCATCTGCTACAAAATCACTTGCTATGCAGACTCTGAAATACGCTCACCAACCCAGGAATCGCGTGACTCCTGTTCTGTAAAAACTGCATAGCTTATTAAACTTTATTATTTGTATTTATTTATTTTTATTACAGCAAGGGTTTCAGTGAGATGTAGTTAATTATCTGCTTTCTACTCTAGATCGCTAACCTGCTGTCATGATACGGCCTATTTTGGTGCAAAAACAGGGAACCTTACTGGTTGGATGGAGGGAGCCATAGGCACTTCATCGCTTGCTCAAAAAAATCCATTGACTTCATACTGAATATACAAGTGTGTAAATATTAACTGTGGAGCCGGGAGATTAGCCATATGGATTATATAGAGCTGTTAAGACTAGAGAAAGCTAATAAGCTGGATAAGGGAAAGACCAGCAAACTAAATATGTCCTATCCTGAAGTGGATTCACAAAGGATTTGGTTGAAAGTAGAGACATTGACAGAGCTATAATGCTGTTAATCTCTGACAGGCAGTAGGAAGACATGCTGGATGGATAGCAGTGTGGGCTATGGATGGTATGGCATTGATGTTGGAGTCGAGTAAACGGGATGGGCATAGTAAAGAATATTTTGGCACTTAAAAAAAAAAAAAAAAAAAATCAACTGTTTACATTTGACCTATATACTGATTACTCACTTTGTCAATGTTAAAGGTACGCTGCAAGGTACGCAGCATTCACCTCAATAAGAAGCATTTGATTCAATATTTCTAATTGAGAAGTATTGGACATAGCATGCAAAGTATGTGGCACCAGATGCTGTGTAACACTTGATGTCAAATGATGTAATTATGGAAAATTGAATGGTAGTCAAAAGCCCCTAGTGACTGTCTGTCTGACTGCCAATAGAGTATGCTTGTAAACTGTAACATGTTACAGCACCATTTTTTTCAGCTCGCCATTGTTTTCATCTGCAAGGTTGCAAGGGCAGAATAAATGCCTCCCAATCCTAGTAATACTAAGGATTGATCATTTAAGATTTTTATTGACTTTAAGTAAGTGTGTGATACTACAAAAATAAGATTATGAAGTGGCATTTTATTGATATTGTTTTAACTCGACATTAATTCGTTAGTTTTTTTTTTTTTGTCTCTGTTTTTGTTACATACCAGTCCCTTTAGAAGAACTATAACCTTGTGGAAGGAGAGGTGGACTGCTAAGAGAGAGATTGTATTGTTGAGAAAATAAATTCAAGATATGTCGGCTGTGTTTGGAGTGCAAGATGAGGGATCATGGATAGAGAATTACAGAGGGACAAAAGTTTGGGGAGAAATAGTGAGATACTGTAAATGTAGTGCATGCCAAAAAGGTGAGGTGGTTGATTTTTAACACTGAAAGATCAAGTAAGGGGAAAAAAATAAGCCATTTTGTATACAGGATGAAGCAAATTGGTGATACTTTCAAAATTATTTTAGCAAAGTTTCGATCATAAAAGTTGTTGAGTAAGAGAAACGTTATGAGATTAGCAGCGGTTAACCCGTTTCTTTTTGCTAGGTACATTTTTAAGAAGATTTTTCTGTGAAAAATAAGAGATTCCTAGAAAGTAAAGCTCAGGAAACCCGAGCATTGATACTTTAGACTTACTGCTATAATCACACCACTAAAGTGAGAATTGTAGGGAATTTAAAGTGATAAAAATATTTAGGCCAAAATAGGCAATTTAGAAAAAAATCTAAATGATGTGTTGAAATATGATATTCACTTTTAATTTCCAGTAATACTCACTTTAGTGAATAATTAGTTTGTGTAATGCATGTCCTATATCCTCCCCATTTCTTACTGTGTATTGTGTGTCCTAAATCATCCACATTTCATATTTTTCATCACCGCAATACCCTGTTCACAATATGCATGACTTTTCATTCGCGCAATTCATTTTCCCATGACTATATTGCCAGTTAGATTAATGCCTATATAATTGTTAATTGTCTTCTTTCTTTTGCTCATCTGCATTGCATTCTACTATCCACTGCTCCACATTCCTACAGATATTTACATATATCTTCCTCTTTCTCACTGCAGAAAGAATCTGTTCTGAAAGAGAGACCAATCTTCGACATACCAATCTTTACGGAGGAGTTCTTGAATCACAGCAAAGGTAAGAGATCCCTATTGACGGAGAAATAACCGACAGGGGTCTTCCTGTTACCAATACATTTACACTTTTTCACGGTTCTATAATTTAGCACGTGAGGCAGAATTAAGGCAGTTGCGGAAGACCAATATGGAGTTTGAAGAACGTAACGCTGCTCTCCAGAAACACGTGGAGAGCATGAGATCTGCAGTGCAGAGATTGGAGGCCGAACTTAACCAAGAACAGGGGCGGAATTCTTTGTTGCAGCTTCACCTACAGAGTGTTCGCCAGGCACTGACGCACTGTCTGCGGGCTGTACCGATTCCAGGTATGTTCCTGTCTGCAGCTTCAGATGCTGAGGTCATAGCACTCCACTTTAATGTAAAAGGCCAAGACAGGCTTGTATTATAAGAGCTACTTTCTGTACCCAAACCTGATCTCAAAGTTTGGTGTCTGCCAAGTAGTGTGTACGTCAATGTGCCACTAATCTGTTTGTGAAGAATAGGTTATAAAACCTGTATACAAGTTACATACACGATTCATTTGTTGACAATACCAACATACCACATGTTCCGGTGTCTTTTTTTACATTTTCTGTTTTTTTTTGTTTTTTTTTGTCAGGTACTTCAGAAACACCAACGCTGGATACCATTGACACCTACATGAGTCGCTTACAAAACGCCATTCTCACACACCCAAAAGAGAGCGAGGCTCTTATTGCTGGCGTCCGAGAAGCCCTAAGCCAGCTGGAAGGGTGAGGGACACCTCGTGTATCCCATGACCATGTGGACCTTCTAAACTTTTTTTTAAAAATACTTTGATTGGACTTTTCATTATTTTAGAACTACCCAGTTTATCAGTGGTTTAGGGACCACATTGTACAAAATGGACAACTCCCTGTTCTTTCTTCCCTTCATTGTGTCTTGGTGCATCCTCCATACAGCAATGCATGTACAATAATATGTCAATAAATGTGTTCTGTTTACTGTGTAATCTGTGCATGAACATATCTGAACAGAATGCATCATCCTAAAAACACTGCTAGGGTAGTCTGTTTTAAAAGTAAAATTGTGATGGAAGCAAAATATTTATTTTCACATAGAGCACATCAATGCTTGCTTCCTTGCTTCTGTGAAAACAGATAAAAAAGAACCACTTTGGAAGGGTTGTCTTGCCTGGTGTTTTAAAGTAATTTTTAGCTGTGATCACAACAAATTGGACTAAAAAGGAAGCACGTGCCATGTTATGAATCTTCATTGTAACTGTCAGATGTTTGATGCTGTGAGTGCAAACCTCTGCTCTGGAATTAAAGAACCTGCTTATGAATGTTATGTGACAAGTCCACCGATTCTCCTTGCAATATTATACCTTGTAGATACACGAATAGGGTCCTCAAAATGGCAGTACCTCTGCCTGGGTACTGTGACCTTAAGTGTCTGATTAGTTATCTTCCTTCAACAATTAACTTCCAGAGGCTCACTTACTAGATTTCTGTGAAGATGGATCTATCGAGTAACAGAACAAATCATATAGCTCAGGGCTTAAAATGTGCAGTTCATCTTAAAAGATACTTGCCACTGCTTAGCCTTAGTATACACCTTATACATAGGTGAATTTCTGCAAGTAGAAATTCTGAGCCCTGATTTAGCTTATTAACAAGCAAAGTTTAGAAATATGGCATTCTAGCCAAGTGGTTCTTTAACAGTATACTAGTGTACACACAATGGGGGATATTAATCAAAGTGTTGCCATTATTTTTCTGTCTAACTTGTGTTGGATTTGTTAATTATTATTATTTTTTTCACCCTGTCAGGTTTGAATATGCACCATTATTTTTCGCTGACACTATTTCGGAATACTTCTGCCCGTCTCCCCCCAGCCGCCTTCTTCCCTACCTTTGAATGTTGCTCTTTTCCCACCACTCTAAATTTGGCGGTCTTCTGGAATGGAAATTTGAATAGAAACTGGCAGAATTTACTCTGAATAAAATTATCACTCAGATCCCTTTACTAAATTCTATTATATTTGTTATATTTAACTGCCACTTTTCAGAACACTTTGATAAATATCCCCGACTGACTTCAGGACTGTAGGCTTAATGCATTCCTTAAAATGTGTTTTTATGAAGTGTCAGCATTAAGCACGAGTTCCCATTTAGCAATTAATCAATTTATCTGTTAATTTGGCTAGAAGTATGCATATCTATTTTGCGAGGCAGCAAGTAAACGTGACATTTATAAGTTGCTGAAGAAGGTAAAAGTAAACCTGCATTGGAATTTTTTTCTGCAACTGAAGTGAGAGTGCGTACAAAAAAGTTTGGGAACCACTAATCTAGACAAATGAGTAGGGAAACAAAGTGTCAGTGGAGCCTAGGAAAACCAGAAATAAAAGCCATATCGATAAAGAACATGTATACACCAGCATGCGGGATCAATCACTCAAGACATAACTGGATCATTGCACTGGAATAGAGTTAGTAAATGATATATATGTATGTGTATATGTATGTGTATGTATGTATGTGTATGTATGTTTTAAATGTAGCCTCTAAGGGGAATCGGAATACCAGTAGGACATGACCATAATATGGTGGCATTATATTTATGTTTTAAGAATTGAAGCAGAACTGTTACTTATTGGAAATTTTTGCAAGTTTGAGTTCCTTATGTACTCAAATACAGATACACTGACACACATACAGAAACACTGACACACATGCGGATACACATAGAGGCACACACTGACACACATGCAGACAGACACATAGACATGCATGCAAATACACAGACAAACTTAAAGGGACACTCTAGTCACCAGAACAACTACAGCTTATTGCATTTGTCCTGGTGAGTAGAATAATTCCCTTCAGGCTTTTTGCTGTAAACACTGTCTTTTCAGAGAAAATGCAGTGTTTACATTACAGCCTAGTGATAACTTCACTGGCCACTCCTCAGATGGCTGTTAGAGATCCCTCCTGGGTCATGGCTGCCTAAAATGCATCCAAACATTCAGTATCTCCTCCCTCTGCATGCAGACACTGAACTTTCCTCATAGAGATGCATTGATTCAATTCATCTCTATGAGAAGATGCTGATTGGCCAGGGTTGTGTTTGAATCATGCTGGCTCTGCCCCTGATCTGCCTCTGTCAGTCTCAGCCAATCCTATGGGGAAGAACTGTGATTGGATCAGGCTACCACTTGAAGATGTCGTCAGCAGACTGCTTGTTTCTTTCAGGCAAACAGCGTGCAGATCTACAGCTTCAGGCTTGAATACAGTACGATTTTGCTATATTTATGGAGGCATGAGGGGCCCAGTGGGCTAGATGGTGGTTTTAACACTATAGGGTCAGGAATACTTTTTGTGTTCCTGACCCTATAGTGATCATTAATGACAAATATTCAGATACACAGAATGATACGCATGCAGACAACAAATATGACACCTGCAACCACGGTAGTTCCGTCACTGCTCACAGATACCCGGGAGGGTCCATGAAACCACCTGTGAGCAGGGCCGGTAGGCACATAATTCTAACATGCCCCCTGCTCCAATCCCTACTCCTTAAACTCACTTCTTATCTACCTTTTCTTTTTAACAAATGTTATTAACTGGATAGTGCAGGCATAAAAACTTCTATATAGTTGACAGTTGCATATATCTATATGTATATTCTGCTTGTCATGTATTGTATTGTAAATCTGTGAGTGTATGCATCTGTATAAATGCATTAAGGGTCAAATGTCATGTTAGAAGTGGTTAGGGTAAAAGATTTGTCACAAAGTGCATATTTTGCACAGACGCCGAAAAGTGACAGATCAGGTGTGGGTCCTGTGGCTGCAGGGTGCAGTGGAAGGTAGGTGTTTCATAACTCAAGCTGTCCCTTGCAGCTGTTACCATATTCCTCCTTGTCTTACAGTTTCAATTGTCAGTGCTGTAATCTCGCACAAATGAGTGAGTACAACACTGAGGGTTATAGAGAATACCGCAGGAGACTCCATAGATAATGCCTGGATCCCACTGCTGTCACTTGTGACGGCTGTTTGGATTTCACAAAAGTTGACAGCTGAGCTGAGTCTTTTGACAATCTCAGGCTTGACCATAAGACAAAGCCTTATGGGCAGTATTTGTCCAGTATTTCATAAAGATTGTCTTCATGAAATACTGAATACTGATGGATCTGCTTTAAGGTTAAAAAGGGGTTAATTGTAGCATTAGATTGCATAAGGTGTTTAGAGGATTAAAAATTGAGAGGGTTTACAGTTGTGGTACAAGAGGTGTTTAGGATTATTGGGTTTGGGGTTACCGCGGGTTTAAATTTAGTATTGGGTTACAAGGGATGTTAAGATTTTACAAGAGTAAAAATGTAGAATTAGGGTAAAGAAGTATTTTTTCAGGTTTAGATATCAAGTGTTTAAAGGAACGCTATACTATACGCACCCATACCGCTTAGTGTCAATAAAGTTGTCTAGGTGCCATGTGTCCCCCTTTTAATCCTGCAGCTAAAAACATTGCTTCTACTTTGTCATACTCCACTGTTTCTATCAGATGGTCGCATAGAGCTAATTGGTGTAGCGCTGGGCATGCTCACTAGACTCCCCATGCTATTCCTATGGGAAAACATTGGATTCACTTAGATCATCGATGTTTAGGTGATTAGGGATAGCAGACTTTGAATGGTTATTTGCAAAAAACTTGCCCTCTTCTGTAGGCCTGTCATGATTGACTGTTGAGCTGCATCACTCGCTGCTGTCCCTGCTCCTGCAATGCACTTCCTGTGTGTGTGATGTTGTATTGTTATTTTTTTTGTGCAGTGAATTTATATTTATTTAGATAAAGGAAAGTGTAACAAATATAGGAAGTGAACAAGAAACAGGCATACAAAAACACAGACAATGAAAGTTACAGACAAATGCATGGCAGGAGATGTACTTAAAGGGACACTCCATTGAAAAAAAACAAAACTTCTTGGCAGGTATACCCCCGATAAAACCATTTATGCATTCAATGATGCATTTTTCTTTGGACTTATATCTAAAAATAGCTTGCAAAAGCTGTAGTTCTCTTGTCTGCAGCCTTTACAAGCCCTTGCCTTCTAACACCGGCCAGAGGACTTTCTGTGACTGTCCAATCACAGACTTCCCAACGCAGCTCAATGAGAACTCTCTGCAAGTCACATGCTTTGGGTAATTGCTGCTGTGGTGGAGCTCCATTGGGCAACTTCGCCAGGGACAGCAGGGGAAAACCTCAGCACTTGGCTTAACTGGGGTCTTGGAGCCTCTCTGTCCTGGAGCAGGTTAGGGACAGTGATTAGCCCGTTTCTTCCCCCCCAGTAACTGGATGACACACAGCTCTGAGAATCTAACTGAAATGCTTTATTGGTACAGTCAATTTATACACAGACCCCCAGAGGGGGTCTCCATTCTATTCAGCACAAGTCTCTCAGTCTCAAGCTGGAGGGGGATGGTTTACAGATAGCCATCTCCCGGTCTTGGGGATACAAACAATTCAACACTTACATACAGTAATAAACATCACATATGTTGGGGAAAACTTAGGGGGTTCCGTGCCCCAGGATGGGAAGGGAGAATACATCCTGGATAGCCCGGGTCCCAGCTAGGATCCCTGCAAATAGCGGGGCTATCGGATGTACAGAGCCCGATAAATCATTGTATAAAGTCTGGGCTTGAGGCTCTGTACATTCCCGCAATTAGTTTCACGGAATTGCATGGTTTAGGCCGGTAAATTTAAACTTCACGCTTAAACCAAGCAGCAACCAATGAGCGCTCAGGGAGTCGAGGCGTTCCGAGCTCAGCCCTTTAACTCGCACCGGCATATCAAGAGGAAGGGCGCGAACCCCGTTTGAATAGGAGCTCCTTCTCCTATTGGTCGGCACGGACTTCCAGGCAGCTGGCGGGACTCTGCGGCTGTGAAGCCAACCCATAGCTCCAGAGGGTCTTGCGTCTCTCTTTCTGGTGGATATATCTTCACCTAGGTAGCCCGGACTGGTAGCTACTAGGTAGGAAGCCCCTGCAGTCGCTGTCTGCCTTGCTGACAGTAAGGCTATTGGCATGAGGCTCCTTGAACTCCCAGTGACTGGGATTAGGCTCCTTTAGGAGTAGGTTGGGCAATCCCCAGCCTGAGGACCTGAGCACAATGCGGGCATGGTACTCAGTGACGGCGGTACGTTGAATTTCACTGAGCTAAACCAGGAAGTAACAGGACTGGTTGTCTGAATGACCGACATGGGCAAGAGATGGGATTGTAATAAGGTTGATTTAGAATAATACCAGCTTCTAAAAAAAATAAAAATATATACTCTTCACACATAAAGCACTTCAGCAAGCTAAAGTAATTTAGAGGTGTGGAGTGTCCCTTTAACAAATGGATGCATGATCCAAAATATTTACATAGTTGCACATCAAGATCCACATTGTAGCTTTAGTACTTAAAAAAAATCATCAAGCGGTTATAGCTTCAGTGATTTCTGCTCATACAGAGCCTCTGTCCCTCTTACATACTCGGATTCAATTTCATGTCTAAATCACATTATGCGCTATGTGGTCAGGCAAGTCTTCTATTCCACCAGAAAAAGGAACATTGCAGCATAGATCTACCAGCTGTTTTTTGTTTTGTTTTTTTTAAATCACACAGGTACCATGTACCAGGTGCTTCCCTCAATAGCACGCTTGCAGAAGGTTAATCAATAAATTCATGAAGGAAAAAAAAAATTACATTGCTGAAGTTATATATATATATATAGAGAGAGAGAGAGATAGAGAGAGATATTTTCTCTCCTTCTAGCATGACTCAGCCTTAAATGCGCTTTAGATCAAGAATATCTCTGTATATGAGCATGCCCTTCCTACAGGGAGAACTTGCCTTAAAGGGCATTTCAGCCACAGTTCTCCCCCTAATTACACATCTGAGACTTAGTTAAACCAATCAGTGTCAGATCAATAGCACTCTTTATCCCTCACTAACGAGGTTAGGCCCACCATATAATGAACTTGTTTAAAGCCATCTTAAAGAGACACAGGAGCCACTGTCACCCTGGTAATTAATTACTAAGCATTTAATCATTTTGTTAATTAACGAAGGAAGTGTAGGAGGAGAACAGGCTCACATGGTTGCCAAGCATATCCTACCGTGGTCAGCTACAGTGCTGAGCTGTCCCTCCGCTAATAAGACTGCTGTACACTTCTGTAGGGTGACAGTTCTGTGTACTTGCCTGTGCCGGGATGATTAGTCAAACTGTACGGGTATACATAAATATCCTGCTCCGTCTGAAAAGGTCCTGTCATGTATATATTACACAATCTGTTCATGTTCAAGCAACGGACACTCGTTCGACTCTCGCACAGCTGGATGATATTTTTGTAGCCTTCTGGCTCCGCATTGTAGAGACAGCGGGGCTCCCCACTGATCCTACAACCTGCTTCACCTGCTATACCAGAATCACCCTTGACTCAGCTACTTTTTAGACCCCTGCACCGCCCATGGCACCGGGACTCTGCTTGCAGCATGCGACAACACCATGTATCACCAAAATTGATATGTATGTCTCAGACTGCCTGAAATTAATGGGAGTTATGCTAGCAGACGACAGCTACTGTGTGCAGTTACTGACATTTTAATTCAGCCTTTTTCGTGCTTAGAAGAGACTGCAGTAGCATCTACACAGAACATTTGTTAATTTTATGTATCTCCCATACCCCTCTTTATTGGCCTCCCAAGAAGTGGGATGCTGGTGTAGGTGGGGGGGGGGGGTTAAAAGGGGCGGCGGGCTATCTGCCAATCAAACAGGCCAGCTCTATGAGGACATGACACCCAGGAAGTACTGTTTCAGTGCTCTATGCAAGGTATTCGTGAGTGTATAATGCACTCAAGCTACACTTTATGGCGACAATTCCCTTATGTCCCCACTCCCCAAAAGCAGGACACCAGGTTAACAATTCGGGACGAGGGGACAGAACTTGAAAACCAGCATGATGTCTTAATGTGGCCCTTAAATCAATGGATGTTTGGAAATCTAGTCCTAAAAAAAAATGTAATATAAAAGATGCACAATAGTGAAGCATGTGTT